CGGTCGATAATGAGGATGTTGTGATGATGATGACGACGACGATGAGAATATCATCATCATCATCGGCCAATAAACATCGCCATCATCATCATCACAAATATTTTGTTATCATCATCATCATTATCATCATCGTCGGCCGATAAACATCGCCGTCATCATCATCTAAAATCTTATCATCATCATTATAACCATCATCATCGTCCGATAAACATCGCTGTCATCATCATCCCAAAACGTTTGTTATCATCATCATCATCATCATCATATCATCATCATCATCACCACAATCATCAAACCCCAATCATCATAACCACTGTCATCATCATCATCACCACCACCACCATCATCATCACAATTTTTTTACCATCATCATCATCACAAATGTTTTGTCATCATCATCATCACATATTCATTTTACATTTTGTATTTTATAATTTGTTTCATTCAAGAGATTCAACAAACTTGTATTTTTTTCATTTATTGGTATACTGACAGGATTTTTCAAAGTAATATTGAAGAACATAGAACAGCATTTAAATTTTAATCCAACTGTAGCATTTTGACCAGACATAATATACATATATACATTCATTTTAGTAGCAGCCAAAATATCCCAAATGTGCTTCGTAAAAAGTTACCATTAAATGAGCAAATGAAAACAAATTTCCGGTAGAAGAACATAATCATCAATCACAAAAATAACATAACAGGTTTCCAAACACCGATATACATGTATATTTCACCTGTAATGTCTGTACATGACATCTATGATATCATACCAACCGATTCCACTAACACGCAAACGCAGCCATGCCAATTATTATTAAAATGTATTTAAATATAAGCATTAATACCGAGGGGTATTAAACGATTAAATTTTCCAAGAAGCGCTGGCGCGCTTCATGGATTTGCTCGCCTACCTTTACCCTTACAAGTTCACACTCTATGAACATAACCAAAATGCGATAATCCTCAAACTTTTACAGAGTTACCTGGAGCAAGCACGTCTCTAGTCTTAGAGTACTAGTACTTAGTAACCAGTACTAAGCAGATACATTCGCCAGTAATTGACAACTGCCCTACTTGAAACAGCGGTAGGGGAAGAATAGCCGTAGAAATCATTTCGTGACCAATCTCCACGAAAGTATCTGGCCCGCCCGGGAATCGAACCCAGGCCGCCTGCGTGCCAATCTGACGCGCAACCGACTGAGCTAGCCGGCGAAACAGTTACACAACCAGCAAAATCCATGTAAAGTGTGGTTAGGTTAGCTGTTTCTGTTACTGCTAGTTACGACGACGACGACGACGACGACGACGACGATGATGATGATGATGATGATGATGATGATGATGATGATGATGATGATACTTTTGTCACTTCCAATATTAGGTTAATACAATGTATTTGAGTTTGAAAAAAAGTTTACACATCGGCAGACTATTTCATTTATTAAGAAATACATAATTTATGTACCATATACGTAGGCCATTTTCATTTTATGAGTTTTATTGGTATGTACCAAATACGTTTTGGCGAGCATAGAAAAACTTATTCCAACCGAATATGGTACAATGTTTGTACCATATTCGGTCGAAAATTGTACCATATTCGGTCCGAATATGGTACATTTGTACCATATTCGACCGAATATGGTACATTTGTACCATATTCGTTTTTGTACTAAATACGGTCCAACACTGCACAATTCTGCGTAATTTTTGCATAAAACTTGCGTTATTTGAGCATTCCTGTGTTACTGGATACATGTATACACAATGGTTATAGTGGTTTAAAATTTCAAAAAAGAATTGTTGACAATTTAAGTTGTAACACATATACTATAAACAAAATGATAAACAGCACGTACACATTTTTATTGTAAATATTTATATATCATTGCTGAAAGAGAAGCTCACATCTCCCACGCACGCTTGGTTAGTAGCGCGGGTTATGAAATATAATCCAATCAGTATATTCGAACTCCTGTCCGCGGTTACTTCCCTTAGTCAATAAGAATAAGAAAGGGGAGGTCACTTCGTCGGGGTATATCTAGCTTGATATGCTCTATAGAAACCACATGTATGTATATATCTGCAGGCGATATTTTCGGGGTTATTTGATAATAAAACTATTATGTTTGTTTATATTGAAATATCAAATAACTTGATACATAATGATTGCAAAGAAGGGGAATATTCGAATCACTGTTAATTTACTTTCATCTTGTCTCAAAGTGTTTTCTATTTGATACAATTACCTTATTCCTTTATCCTCTTTAGATTTATTAGAATTAATATGTCTGACAAGACCATTTTTAAACATGGTGTATTGAATTGAGGTCTAACATCGTCGGATACCCACGACCGAACCGTTAACATTTATCATTACATGTTGATGACCTAAAGATAAGGTATCTTAAGTCAAAGTTATAAGTAAATACCTCTATATGTGCGTTTATATAGTGCTCAGTCCTGCCCTTGAACTGCCAAGTCCCGCTCGTTATCTCTTTAAGTTCCGGTATTTTCCACGTAGGTTCAACCCCTTCTGCATGATACCAGATGTGTACCCAACCATTGAGTTCAGCTGAAGTCCAAGCCTTAATTTTGGCAAAATCTGGAACTGTTATTAATGCATAAATTAAGGATGTTATATTCAGCCGAGGAAATGTTTTGAACGAACACGGATTAACCGGCTCAATCAGTTTAAAACAGAGTCTTCACGAAAAGTTGCTAACATTGGAGGACAATGCACGCTATGTAGGGGTTAAACCCCTTTATTTGAAGAAAATATAGTCAGTTTTAAAAAAGAACATCGCACACCCGTCAATAAACAATGGCAGCAAGGTTAAAAGTGTAAAAATTTACTTTAAGTTCCAACGACCTTGATCCAAATAAACGGAAAGGAAGAGGATAGTTTAACCTATCTATCAAATATGAAAGTCAATAAATAATGGCAGCATAAGCAAAATTTTGAAATCTTATTTCTTTCAGTCTCCTACCAAAGTGACCACTTTCTCAACCTAAAATTATAGGACCGCCAAAAAAATCTACCTACTAAATAATGAAAGACATCGTCATTGAATAAATGTTGTATAAGCAAACGTAAAAAATACACTATTTTTAGCACGGTGACATCAACTTTAGTGTCCCCTTACTCCACACAAAGCTAGAGGACAACCCTACGTGTCTCCCTACCAAATATGGATATCATCATTAATTAACAAAATCAGAATGTCTCTATTAATGTATGAAGTTTCAATCAAACGCTATTCAAGTTATTATTCACACAAGAGTGAGACGGACGGACGTTCTTCCCGAATTGATGTCACTGAGTTATTTCTATGATTTTATTTGATCTAAAACACCAAAAGCAACTTCATTTCATCCTATAAGAAACTTATTTCCCCACAAGTAAAGTCTTTACTGAATTAACACAGACATTAATTCAATAATGTCACCGGAGTACGTGCTGACATACGGATGGACTACGGCAACTACAGGCTTTCCCTTCGGTAAGCATGAAACCGTATTTTACTAAATAACTACCAAAATCGATGTTTTTTTTAAAGAATTTTCAGTCGTGCACGTTGTCCTGACGTCACGCAGGTGCAGAACCATAAAGAATCTGTATCATGTTTTAATCATGCTTAGTCTTATCTTGCTTTTTTGGTGTGTGTGTGGGGGAGGAGGTCGCAAGTACAATCTTCTCGATGTCCACGTCTCATAAATATATAAACTATCACATATAGCGGTACAATCATTACTGATACATCAAAGTACTACATTCTTCTGGTCTGTTTTAATACTGTCTCTCAATACTTTAGATATTTTGCATTATCCACACCGCACCTCATAAAAACATTACATTATTGATATGAAATATTGTATTGGTAAAATGATATTTATGTAATATATTGCTTCAGTGGCCATGAAATTTAAACTGGCGGTACGTGTAATGTTATCAAGGATCGTTTATATCTGTTATTACACCTTTTTTACAAATGCACTAATAATGTTATCACCCACTTTCTAAACAAACTAATGCAGAATACCACGTCATATTGTGAACTCATACAGCAAAACATAATTTACCCTTTTCACTGTACGGAACCTCGGTGCATTTTCCATCATAACCTCTGAACTTCCATCCATGAAAAGGACATTCTATGCAATCACCTACAACTCGGCCTCCGACTCCTAAATTTGCTCCCATATGTGGACAATAAGCGTCCAGTATGTGTGCTTCACCTTTCTCATCTCTAAATACAACAAGTTGTTCACCTGAAACACATTATAATATAAATGAATCTAAGGTATACGTCGTTTTATTCCGGTCAACGTTTTCCCATTAAAATGCATATGTTTACAAACTGTTTATTTCGACATAAATTTACGTCATTTTTGTATTCACAAAGGATCGTGAAAACAAAACTGTAAATTCAGAATGGGAGACATCGTCCACCCGGAAGTTTACGAACTGACAGCATCCACTTCCGATTACATCGCGATAAAAGTAGTTCTTCGGAACTTTTTGCAAATGTTATAAATTTAAAAGCCCATTATGCCCGAGAAATTCTTTTATTTTTTATGTCTCAAAAGGTTTTTTTTTATTTTTGGTGTCCAAATAAATAACTCACTAGCCATTTACCTTAACTATCTTTTGCTTCAGTGACACAGTTATATTGATTTAGTAGTTTGTATGGAAGTCAAAATACTTCTTTGTTTATATTTTGGTACGTTAATGATAAATGATTTACCATTTAAATAGCGCTACTTTCTTCAGGTGATAAACATCAAAACAGGCTCTAAAACCATCTATTTATAAAACTCGTTTGTGCTATATCTAAAGAAGGAAAAGTTATTCGTTTCTGAGGCAAAATGTGCCTGAATATTGTAACTGAAAACTTTTCAAGTACATGTAACTGCAATAATGATAGCACCCACGAAAGAGCACGCATAACACTTTACCGGAACTAAAGTACCTTTTAAACTTATCAACCGACCGAGGAAATACCACCGATACACCACAATTAATGTTTATGCACTGGATTAACACAAATGAGAAATAGTGAACATTCCATGAAAACATGCGTAAAATGGAAGTGGTTACAAGCTGAATGGTGCATCATGGAACATTGTTAAACGGGGTGAATTTTAAAATGGGCTCATCCGTCATCCATCTTTGGAAAAGTTCATTATCAGTTTTGGGGATATCAACATGAATATTAAAGTTGGCCAGTCAACAGTATTGTCAGAGTCTTGTCAGAAAATTAATACATTCTCGTATAATCACAAAGAAATGTCATGTCTGTAAACAAGAACATGAATATGTGACAAAATGAGCGTACATCTAGTGTGAAATCAAAAACGAGGACACTATGTCAACTATTGTGATGTATACAGATAATGCCTGATAATATTATCATCAACAAGGGGTTAGTTATCATCAACGTGGGGTTATCAATCGTAATCTGCTGATATAGCATTTGCTATTAGTGCAAAAAGAATCGTTAGTTTCCACTGATACGGGGTACACATCTTAAGCTATCATAAATGTTTTTAACTTTTTCATTATAAAGTTAACACACAAATGAGCATAAGCAATCAATAACGTAATTACGGTAAATGCTGAGTAAACTCTTAAAGTAGTGTATTTACATCCAAAGAAAGAGAACTGAAATACACAATAATAACTAGCTGAATATTGGCAAAAAGTACCAAATAAACACACAAAAACCTGAATATATACGCATTAAAGTAATGAATCTATGCAACAAGGTACAAATTTAAAACACCACACGGTACGTAATTAAATTAATATAAGCATAACGGTAGGCTACTCAATATTATGTAATGTACGCAATTAAGTAATGAATCTGCGTACGTAAGAAGACCTGAATATGAATGTTAAGATGCACACAATAGTTAATGCTTTCTTTTTATCTTATTCTAATCGCGTGTCAATGGGTTAAGAGGTTAGACAGATATGGATCATTTCGGCTTTGATCGATGGTTCCTTCAGGGTGTTCGATTTGTGAACTTCCCCTGGTCTTCTGCTACGGTACATGTATATATATATAAGGTTTTACTATATTACCGCTGGCCATTGAAAAGGTATTAAAGTGTGAAAATAATGATACACAATCACTTGTACTCCACTTTTAACGGTACAATATCGTACTCTAGGAGGAAGCAGAACGTACAAGTTTGTGCTAATCGTATACTGGTGCCTCATATATCCGTGGTACTTAACTGTTTAATGCTGACAACAAAAGTTAAGAGGATATAATTCTGGAAAACACAGTGAATATTGTAGGATAGACATGTCAATTGCATCATAGTTTATTCCATTTAATGTTTGCATGTAAACACCCATCTGCTGCCTTGTGAGTAAATTTGTGTTCTCATATTTCCAAGGCAACCAATAGTTAATCTTTATCTATTAGTACATCTATACCTAGGCTTATCTGAAAGGGGCGATTTTCTCTTTGGCATTTATCAAATGCCTCAATGGTTGTTTAACAAAGAAGATTTTCTTAAAAGGTATGCAATCTTAAAGAAAAATGGTGAAATATTAAATAACCTAACTCTCAATCTGAAAAAAATTTTTTTTAGTTCTATATATGTAATATTCCGATAAAAATACAATAAAATAGTAAAAGTAAAACTACTGGCAGGTTCATTAAGTCTAGCAGGCACTTTAGACTGTTTAAGCCTGATACCTTGGAAATATGGGTAACACGGAAATACGAGGCACCAGTATATTATCGATTTCCATACATTGATCAATATAAATGAATAAAATATACATGTAGAGTAGCTTACCAAGAACTGAGACGTATACTGGTTCCCTTTTAAGTTTCCAACTTTCTATTACGCCAAACCAGCCATTAGGGTATACTGGGGGTATTTCACCCACGACTCTTCGCTTTTTCACACTCCTCGCTATCTCCTTTTTAGTAAATTTTCCGTCTGGTCGATACCCAACATCGCCTAAAACCCGTATCCGGTCAATCGGCCGGAAAATAATTCCGTATAGGAAATATCCAAGAACTCCTAACACTATTGCTTGAATGTAGAATAATGGAGAATATAAATTCATATAACTCGGCAATATGTCCATTAGCCGTGAATTAACTACCTGTTTCATGTATATTTCACCTGCTTCCAAAATTGGAATTTTAAAGAGCGTGTCGTTAGCCGCTAATGCTATTGGCACGGTTACCGTTAATATCAGAAAGCCTGAACGTAAACTAAACATTTTGAGTTATTATCCGATCACAACCTCTAAATGTAATTGATAATCAATACAGTCGTCAAAAATGTAATACTGATTTTCATAAGCTAATATCCGCAGTCATAGATGAATGATAAAACAATGTAAACCGTTTTAACTTTACATTACTGTATCACTTGTAAATATATAGGTTCAACAAGATAATGTTTCAGTTGAATTAACAATGAAAAGCGGATATATTTCTACACTATAACACTGTTATCTCATAAGAATAAATACATATACATGTACATGTGGTGTAATTAACCGCACGAAGTTTCTGATGAACCGTATTAGGAATTATTCTCCCTCTCGTTTATATGGTAAATTATAACAAACTGACAAGTTATCTCATCGTAATATAATCTATCCAAATTGCCGTATATACATCATGTGGTAATATCTTACACGAATAAAGGTTTTAAATGTCGTGAAACTAAAAAAAGTAAAAGTACCGTCACAACGTGTGTACTGTTTAAAATACCGATATACGAGGTATGTTCAAAAAGTTCGTGGATTTTTGCTGTCATTTTCTACTTGGTTCATAAAAACACCCTTAGTGGATATGAATCGAAAGAGTGTCTTTATTTCTGTAAGTAAGATTTACTTTTATTGTAAACTTTTGTTTCCTTTACGAGTTAGGTGCACTTTAATAACCATGGCAACGCAACATCGGCGCATGCCGAAATTTTCTATAATGTTTAAATATAAACAAATGTTGAAACAAACTGAATGATTGTTTTATGAAGTAAATTACAAGTAATCATCTTATAGTATGTAAATGACATAAATCTGAAATTTGACGTCGATTGGACGTTGTATAGCTGAACAAACAGGTTTTGAGCAGTAGTAGACAGACGGGTATGTTGGGGAGTATAAAGCCCGTTTAAAAACTAGAAATTTGCTCTTTTCGGAAATGTTTACCAATAAACGTGGGATAATCCTTCATAGTTTTATTAGGTGATTTAATTAACTAATAACAATGGGTTGGCGAGCAAGTCTCTTGGTTTCTGGTCGCGCAAGGGATTCAAATACGGCAAATACATGCTCACAGACAGAAAGGGCGACGGAGAATTTTTAGCGGCAAATTGTTGGGACGTTTGTAACGTCAATTGCAAAAGATCTACAGAAGTCCAGACAGTATGAAAGATTTCCTAGATGTCCTACATATTTAATTTCTGCATCGGATCTTTGCATTCAATTCTAACAAAACAATGTAATTTAATTAAAATAACATGTTATTTAATTCACCAGGATATATGCGTATTTACAATAAATAATTGTTGTTATTTTTTGTATTACGTTGATTTACCCAGGTCCGTTTGATAATTAATGCTAACGGGTATTCAGTAGATTTACCGCATAAAATAATTGTCAGTTGATAAAATGTTTTTCTTTATCATTGATAATCATTTTGTTTAAAAATCGGACGAGGGCGGTTTCAAATTGATACTATAAATCAACAATTGAATTAAACTTAATAACACTGTCCTTTAAGTGTCGAAATTACTCAAAAATCCCGATAAAGAGCGGAAAGTATGCGGCACTCGGACCTTTATACTGAGAATGGAGCGAAAAAGATGAACCACTTTATATCTCGGGTCATCATCACACACAGAAAAATGGTTTTGGTATATGATCCGCAGATATTGAACACTAAAAAGAAACAATTTCGTTGGTAAAATGTTTCATTTATATTGCGACGTCACGAACGTCATTTTGCCATCAGCGTGCGCCGGATTGTGCACCCCTTGTGATTTATAACTGTCACAGAATTGTTATTTGTAAACATATTGTATTGATTTTTTCACTGTTAAATACGGACATATTTTCGTATATGTCTCTTGTAAAATCATATACGCAAATTAAAAGATGTGAACAGTAGAGCCGCAGTCCACGAACTTTTTGAACAGCCCTCGTAGGATTACCCAATGTATGACAAACAACTTATCATCTAAAAAAATGTAATAATAAGTTCCATTTTCAGTTGTTGGAATTTGATTTACCCTTTTCTGATTTATCACGCTATATTTTCCCCTTCAGAAAGCCACAGGTTGTTTTGAAAATCGAACAAAAAAATCACTGATAATAATATCGTATGTAAAGTCACTGGCGTGATCTTCTTGTCAGGGTTGTCACAAGCTTTGCACAGGAAAATATTTATTTAAAGCTGCATGCCTTCAGATGAGCCGAACATTTTAAGAAAAATGTACTAAATTCCTAAGGAAAGGAAAAAAATTAAGATTTGATTATCAATTTACATGTAATGACTGATTGTTCAGTGTTTATCTTTTTTATGTTTTGATTTACATAGTTTGTAAATGCCGTTTGCAAATTTTGTTCACTTCACAACATTCCGGTTTTTAATAAATTTACATAATTTTCATGAAAATTAGCATGAACCTAGAGGTATGTTGCTTAAATACAGCTTAAAGTATATATGATTATCCCTATTCGGATAAATTATGTAGTTAAATGAAATAACATTTTAAATTTCACAAATATGACGTTCACTTGTGTAATCATTGTTTCATTCACAACCTGTGTTTTCACTGATCAATAATGTATGGTACATGTATTGACAATCCGTCAATCTTCCGACACGGACTTGGAACACAGAACAGTTATTACGGTATTTCGGTCCAATTTAAGCGACAAAATTTGAACTTGCAAACAAAAAGTAGGTTAATGTCGATATTTCTTAATCATATCGTGTAAAATTGGTCTTAAATAATATTAAAACGTACATTAGTTATTATACTAATTATTATGTTTTTGAAACCGAAAGTCCGATATTAATTATATCCCTGTTGACGATATTTCTTATTTGATTATAAATGTTTGTCAATTGGCATTCTTAATTATAGACATATTTTTCAATCGTCATATTAACGAAACAGACTTTATTTTTTGATATATGTTAAATAAATACATTCCTTACTAATTATTCAAAGATTCCATCCTCTGCCTTTGTTATCATAAAGTCACTTGGTAGACCGATGTTATTTCCGAGATAATTATGACTAATCGGCGAGGTGTGATCCGGAACACGGAATCTACAGTGTATGTGGCTTATCCGGAACACGGAATCTACAGTGCATGTGGCTTATCCGTACTCTTGAAAAGACCTATTAAACTGAATTTTATTGCAGTTTATATGCAAATTGGCTTTTAAATCATCAAAACTTAAACCGCACAAAATACCTACATATTTTGTATCCATATTACATTCGTAACAAAATATGCATACAGTCATGTCTTATGTGCATTATATTCATAATGCAATAGAAACACCTGGGCTGCGTTTCATAGAAAGTCCTGAGTGTATCCTAAGTCCTAGGGCTTATGATAAACTAAAGGACTATTTTAGGACCGTTCCAATATATATTTTCATCTTTAGTCAAAATCTTAGATATTTTCTAGTATATTCTCATGAATAAAAGAATAAAAAACAATGGCACCGCTTCAATCGGCCATTATGTAAATGCACATCTGTAATGCTATCCAGCAACTGAATAGTCACGTCATAAGAGTTATAAGTTCTCTTGAAGACATAATTATATTAGACTTAGGACTTTCCATGAACGCAGCCGTTCGAACAGATATTATAAATGTGATTTGTTACAAATGTCGTTTTTTCCGAAGAAAAGAAGTAAATATCAAGGTGTTTTTCTAAATTTATTTTTTCATTTACTCTTTTGTTGCTGACTGTGACTGAATCTACCTATGATAACAGTGACGATCACTGACATTCGTTATTCAGTCGGTACATATTTAAAATAGTTCCCTACAATAATGAATGGTTTTAACCCAGAATGAAATGATATGTCCATAAGTTATTTTACGTTATTGAGCATGTTAAGGGTTAAATACTATTGAATTTTCTAATGTTATATTAACAATATCTACAAAAAGAAAACAGCCAAACAAAGCTATGAACAAAAGAAAATGAAAGATAAGTAACGCATGAAGTAAGGAAATATTTTAATATTGATTTAAAGTAATATTGATATTGTTTAAAGTAGTATTAAGTGAAAATGCTCTGTTTGTTAAGGTTACTTAACTTTACATGATAAAACGACAATTCAAAATACCATCGCTAGAAAACCAAAGCAATGAAATAGACAATAAAATCACAAACAATTTCAAACAATTTATTTTAAAATCTTTATTAAATAAGTAAAAATTAATTTAGTAACACTATCTTGAATAATCGAAAGTTCAATAAAACATACAACGGTATAAAGATATGTTTCAAAGTGTTTTACACTTACTATCAAACATTAAAGGAACCCAACTGCCTAAAATATAAATTTGAATTTCTTACAAATTTCAGTATGGACACTTTAAACAGAATGACGTGCAAACTATGATGAATAAATATACCCAAAAACAAGTTTTAATTCGTATTTTTATGCTATTTAAATCTGATTTTAATGAATACTGCGGCAACGCGTTGCAAATTTGGACCAATTGCCATATTTAGAATAATTATTCTGGAAAAACAGAGTGAGCAAATGGTCTGATATTTTGTACCTAACTTATTGGTCTATACCTACATCAAATGGAACATTCATCTTAAGATATTATTTCCGGTCCCGTCATGTCAAAAAAATCTCAGTGGAGTCCCTTTAATCACACTCCAAATTACACACTCTAATATTTTTAAATATGGTGGTCATCTCCAGAAGGTAATGTATTCATACACAGCATCTAAAGTAGCATCACCAGTCCAGCGTATCTTTTTGAAAGTTTAATCGTGGACTGTGCTCGGAATAAAATTGTGAATACCAGCGTCTGTGTTTGGTAATTAGACTGTCCTCACGTGACTTAGATAAAATCGGTTTAGACTGGAACTTTTTGTTGTTCCAAATACTCATATCTCTATCTACCTGTAACGACAACTCAATCATATTGCCATTTTTTAAAGAAAAGAATTTACATATTGAACAATAGATTAGTGTAAAAATCCATGCACCCCTCGTCATCATGTTTGAAGTTGAATATAATGTTGTCCGAAAACCGCGTTAGCATACAAGGTCATTGTGACCTTAACCTTTGTGCCCTCGAACTCAAAATCAAAAAGGGACCTCCTATTTCCCGAAGACCAATGCTTCTATGATTTATTATTTGAGGACCAAGGGCAAATTGGTTGTCGAGTTATTATTGGTCTTGACATACAAGGTCAATGTGACCTCGAACTTTGACCCCGCAACCCCAAAACAAATGGGGTCATCTATTGACCAAGACCAATGCACCTGTGAAGTTTGAGGGCCGATGGATTCATGAGTTGTTGAGTTATTGGCCGAAAACAGTTTTGTGTACAGGGTCAATTTGATCTTGACCTCTGATCCGCTGACCTCAAATTCAATACGAGTCTTCTACTGCCCAAGACTAAAACACCTATTAAGTTAAATTGTAATCGACCTATGCGTTCTCAAGTTATTGATCGGGAACGATGTGGATTCAACAGACATCATGCTGCAAAACAGTACATCCCCTCCTCTGGGAAATAAATAACCAATCCACATTAAAATTGCATAAGATAAAAGTTTTGTGCCACTAGTCAAACGTTATGCGGACAGTTTTGCCTATTTAACTAACCGAATTATAATAAGAATAAGCGCAGATGATTACAATGGCAATTACAAATATATTTATATTCACTTTGACACAATGAACATTTCATATCAAACGGTCATTTAGAAAGGTACATTACTATCGCTTAATGTGAATTATGCTCATATTTTCGTTGTCAAACTGAGTTAAATCAACTACTAGTATATATTTCAAAAGATTGACTGTTATAATGGTGATTATCAAACATTTGACTTTGAAAAATGTTTAGGGTAAAATATAAATTTGCCTTAAAAATATAAAAATACTGACAAAATGGATGTTACAGGTAAATCCTTATGGATATTTATAGTTAGTTATTAATCGTCCATGGAAGTAAATTATAAAGTTAAATAGAATTATTGCAAAATTTGAACTTATTTGGCTTTCAAGTGTTCACTTACTATACATGTATATCCTTAGATAGGCATATTGTCTCTTTAAATAAATTAACATCCTCATCAAACAAATTACCTGAATTCCATCACTGGCTAAAAATATTTTTCCAATTATATTTGGTATTGCCCAATGCATGTAAAGTGTTTGCACGACCTTCTGAACAACCGGCTCCATCGGGACAACCATGTGCTGCAGGACACACTTGAAAAATATTCCTTCCATTGTTATATGAACAACCGCCGGTCCAAGCTACAAATGATATATGAGCCGCGTCACGACAAAACGAACATACTGGGTTTTCGACCAGCATGGATCCAGACCAGCAGTCTGATGAGAATCCATGCTGTTCGCTTGCAAACCTTTTAACAAGTAGAGAAACTGATAGCGAACAGCATGGATCCAGATCAGACTGCGCGGATGCGCAGGCTGGTCTGGATCCATGCTGGTCGCAAACGCATTATGTTGGTTTTGTCGTGACGCGGCTCATATGTTATTGATAAGAACAATGTATATCAAAATGAGTTTATAGAAAATATACATACAAACAACATATTTCTTTTTATTTCTTTGCCACTGAAAAATTATTTTCCAGCGTCATCTTCAGACTATGGAGTTTTTGTCTTCACGCCGTGTGAAATGTCACGCAATGATAAAAATATGGTCTACGAAAGAAATCGCTTTCAAAATGTTTTAAGACTACAATGATTATTGTTCAAAAGATGCTGATTTGAGTTTCTTATTTTGCTTTAAAATCAATACACGGTTTATCGGGCAATACATTGTACATAGTATATATGGTACAAGTTGGTTAATGTACTGTACAGTTATATCTCTATAATATAACAATAAAAGACGAGAAAATCTTGATTCAAATATTGTGTACGCCCGTTGATATTTGTATACAATGATAAAGGTAGAACTTCGATCATTCTCCAATTCTGGAATAAAAAATAGCTTGGGTTTTCCCAGCTAATCCGGTGGTACAAACACATTTTAAGATCATATATGGGACGTTCCAGTTTTACTGGTGAAAGAAGATCTCAGGTGCCCTACGTATATAATTTCAGCCATTATCCTCAGTGTGTGACAGTAAGTAAAGGGACATGCACTTTCTTCAGTAGCAAAAACTTAACCAAAGTGCGACGGCGGCACCGACGCTGGGGCAAGTACATTCTTCGAATTGTCAAGATGAAAATATAACGTACATAAATGTTGACAATCTGACTTACCTGCAATGCTTTCACTTTAATTTCAAATAATTTAAAAAGACTATATCCGAAAAACTTCACATCATGTGTAACTTCCATACAACCAACATGGTCCTCGGGACTCGGTCGTTGACTCCACGTTGCATCCCATTTATGATATATCCAACTAGCATAATTACTCCAAATTTTGTCAAGTTCGTAACCGGCGCCAACAAATGGACGATGAACTTTCATCAAATGCGCAGCGTCCGCGCCGTTTTCTGGAATTTCCTGTAAGTAATGAAATCGTGATTAACCGTCACCTCTCAGGGACATCTAGCTTAATCATCTAATTAATTGTTACATTTAGAATAAAAGGGGCGTGTTTTTCTACAGTAAGAACAATTAATATTTCATAAAAGGCTTGACCAAAACTTACAGTGTAAGTTAATAGGTCTAAAGTCATGATTACTATGTAACAGAATAACCTTTATTGTAAAAAAAAATTACTTAATTATGCTATAGTTGAATAATCATTTCTGTATTTATACATTATATAGGGCCATTTTAACAAAACCCCAAAGCTTATTTCACCCCTCTGAGTCTCTAATTGACCAGCCATTGGTTTATACAGAATTTATTTTAGTTCGATTTTGCAGGAAGTTATAAGTTTATAAACGCACTTTCGAATCCGTTCCTGGAACCAACAAGTACTGAGCAATGAGTGTAAAATTTCTTGCTCAAGGAAACAACGATTTGCCCCTGTCAGGGTTTGAACCCATGCGGCTAGCGATCATTAGATTACTAGTCCGAAGCGTTAACCACTCGGCCATGCCGCCAACCATTGTCGCTATGTTGAGAAATGATGTGACCTCAGTAAGGCTCGAACCAGTTGGTTAAGAGACAGACACTTCTCTTATCAACAATGTAATAAATATTTGTCTTTTAATAATGTGTGAAGGTCACATGATTGCAGCAATAGAAGAAAGTCTTTGATACTTTTCATAAACGCAAGGAACATTTTTACAGCTGTAACTTTAGCTTGAGATAAATGTATTTTTATTTTTGTAACTATTTTTCACCGTACTTTATCCAATCTTTTTTATTCAATTAAAATTATAAAGAGGATGAAAATTAATGTCACTAAATATCTATCGTATATTAATGGGATTTTACTTCAATGTGCGCGTTCACGTGATGTTCTGTCCTTCCGTTGTACTGTAATTTACCGCTGGATATATCTTCTATTTCCGGTATTTGCCAGTATGGCTCCATCCCCTCTGCATGATACCATATATTTATCCAGTCATTTATTTCCACAGTCGTCCAAGACTTTACTTTAGCAACCTCTGGAACTGTTAAAAAAGCATTTATTTTTATACTTATTAATTATTGTGCATTTTGTTCATTAATTACTGTGTCTCTATTATTTGTATGATCGAGAAAAAACTCTTGTTCTGAATCTCTGATGCGCATTTTAATACTCGATGTACAGGGTATTTGTTAATTTGAACCTTGTTTTTATTTGTGATCTTCATAGTGATTCAGTATTATCAGTATGTAACGTAACGCTCGATATTTTTTTCTGATGTATTCAACTCAAATGATTTAAAAAAAGATGGAACTCAAATGATTATAAAAAAGATGAATAGTTAAGTGATTGCAGTTGTAATACGTAATTCTTCTTGATCAAAGATCAAAGTGTATCCTGTATATGTCCTTGAAAATACTTATTTGATTCACTGGTTTAAACAAATATTTATAAACAAAATTTGCACCCCACCCCCCTTTGCAACAAGTCAAGTATTAAATCGAGTAAAATGCATCACCTTTAACCACCACATTGTTTTAAGAAATTACTTTTTTCTGCATACGGGATTCCCATGCATTTTCCATCGTGACCTCTGAACTTCCAGCCATGAAAAGGACACTGGATACAATCTCCGGTAACAAGGCCTCCTACTGCTAAATTTGCCCCCATATGTGGGCAATATGCATCTAAAACATGAGCTTCGCCATTCTCGTCCCTAAATACAGCAAACTGTTGACCTGTTAATAAAAAATCACAAAACTTCATACGTGAATAGACTGAATACCCTTAAATTAATGTACTAGATCGGATGTTTAGGTCTCGAACTTAACACTTGGTTATATACACGTACGTGCTCTCTAGCATCTATTTGTAAATAAACTTAAAGTTAAAACAATTCTATTACCAAAGGTATACGATTGTTCAAAACTTTATAAATGTAGACATTGTATTCATCTTTATCATAATAACCATCATCATCATCCTTATCATCATGCTTATCATCATTATTATCATCATCATCATCATTATCATCATCACCACCACCATCACCACCACCACCACTGTGATACCACAATTGAAAGGGAAATATTTAAGTGAGTTTCGAACTAAATTTTGACGTCCGATAAGATAATTTTGAAATAATCAAACTATGTCCTTGTGAGGTGATATTTCTTCAATCTCTCACAATCTGTGTAATGTTTGTTTATTATTCAATTTTATCTGGCAAGATAACATTGTATCAAAATTGACACATATTTTATACTGTATGAATCCTGCACTTATCATATAAAATCATCGTATGAAAACATGTAAATTTGTCATTTACTTCACGAGCTGTAAATTCATTGGCCTTTTCCTGTTTATTTTGTTTATTCATAAAAAATAATTAAAAATTAATCACTCATGCTTTTTATCTACAAAAAACTGAATTTCAAAATTCATTTTAAATTATGTACCGTAAAAGCCTTTTGCTTATTTACAATATCCTATTAGGTAAAACGGTTAAAATTAATGAAATATTAATGCTACAGTTTCAAAATAAACGTTGATAGCTAACACAACTTACCAAGCAGAGTTTCTAATCAAATGTAAGCAGCTTCACAACTTACCAAGTGCAGTTTTTAATCAAATTTAAGCAGCTAAAATTAAATGTTAGCAGCTTACACAACTTACCAAATGCAGTAAGCAACTACACAACTTACCAAGCGCAGTTTTAAATCAAATGTTAGCAGCTAACATAACTTACCAAGTGCAGTTAGCAGCTACACAACTAACCAAGTGCAGTTTTAAATCAAATGTTAGCAGCTTATACAACTTACCAAGTGCAATTAGCAACTTCACAACTTACCAAGTGAAGTTTTCAATCAAATGTTAGCAGCTTCACAATTTACTTAGGGCAGTTTGAAATTATATATTAGCAGCTTTCACAATTTACCAAGTGCAGTTTTAAATTAAATGTTAGCAGCTTACACAACTTACCAAGTGCGGTTAGCAACTACACAACTTACCAATCACTGTTTCAAATCAACTGTTAGCAGTTAACACAACTTACCAAACACAGGCCAAAATCAGATATTATCTGCTTACACAACTAACCAATGGCACAAGTGACTCAACTTACCAAACAAAGAGAAGTTTCCGTTTAAATGTTAGCAGCTAACAGTTACCAAGTGCAGTTTTAAATTAAATGTTAGCAGCTTACACAACTTACCAAATGCAGTTAGCAACTACACAACTTACCAAGCGCAGTTTTAAATCAAATGTTAGCAGCTAACATGACTTACCAAGTGCAGTTAGCAGCTACACAACTAACCAAGTGCAGTTTTAAATCAAATGTTAGCAGCTAACACAACTTACCAAGTGCAGTTAGCAACTACACAACTTACCAAGTGCAGTTTTCAATCAAATGTTAGCAGCTTCACAATTTACTAAGGGCAGTTTGAAATTATATATTAGCAGCTTTCACAATTTACCAAGTGCAGTTTTAAATTAAATGTTAGCAGCTTACACAACTTACCAAGTGCGGTTAGCAACTACACAACTTGCCAATCACTGTTTCAAATCAACTGTTAGCAGTTAACACAACTTACCAAACACAGGCCAAAATCAGATATTATCTGCTTACACAACTAACCAATGGCACAAGTGACTCAACTTACCAAACAAAGAGAAGTTTCCGTTTAAATGTTAGCAGCTAACACAACTTACCAAGCGCAGAAATAGTTTTTGTCTCTAATAGCCCGACGCTCCAGCTTTCAATAAGTGCATACCAACCATTAGGATACACTGGTGGTATTTCACCGACGTCCCTCATGTGTTTGACACGGTTTGAAATCTCTTTCATTGTAAACTTCCCGTCCTTTTGATACCCTACATCGCCGAGGAGTCGAACCCTGTTGAGGGGTCGGAACAATAGATTATAAACATAATGCACAAGAAACCCTACGATAAGCGTGACTATGTATAGATACGGTGACTTGTAATCTATGTTCAATAAAACAAATGAAATATAATCCAAGTCTATTGAGATCACAGATATTTTAGGATTAAGTATTATTCTATGTAGTATCACAGACAGGTACACTACAAGAATACATGCAATAAACCCCTTCAACGAAGCCATTATTTAGCTATTTAAAGTCCATCCGGAAATTGTGTTAATTGTACACTAAACCGAAAGTACGTGAAACAAATTCTGTTTCCGGTAAAATACTCGAACTGAAAGTACTTCAAGGTTTAAAATCAACCTGCAATCTATCTAATGTCTAAGTTTACGTATTGATTGCAAGACCTTGACACATTAAACTATATACAAGTCCAATAGTTGACTGTATAAAGGTATAGTATCGGACTTTGCAATTAAAGGTGTATACCGTTAAATGGTTTACATATGTTTTTGTGCTGTCTCTACACATTTGTTTGTTTGTTTGTTTGTTTCATTTTACGCCTTTTTCCAACAGTATTTCAGTCATATTGGCGGGTAGTGTCCTAACCATCGTTCCTGGAGAGTTACACCAGTACTAGACTACCTTCCTCCGTGCTAAACTACCAAAGCATCTCCCGGGGATCGAACCCACGCCAGAGAGGTAACTTGATTAGAAGTCATCGACTCTAACCCCTCGACCACGGAGGCGGCTCAGCCACTACCAATATATACATTTGTTTCACAGATGTGAAAAGAAAAAGAAGGAAAAAGATTGGTTTTCGCTTACAGCAGCTTGAGTTGTAAACATGATACATGTAGTAAAAAAAAAAGATTACAAGCACCAAACAAAAACTCGCCCAGGCCTTTAAGTCATTATTTTATAGTGTAAACAGAAATTTTAATGTATTAACAATAAAACAGTGAATTAATTAAGAGGGAGTATATGGATGGTTAAATAGAAAATAAAAAAAGAGAGCTTTAAGGCAAATTATGCCACAGAAGCCATAACAATGTCATTAAGAAAGAGAAAGCGTGAGATTTATAACGTTTGAATAGTGGTTGTAGACAAAACAGATGCTAAATTATTATCTGAGGAAAGTAGAACTGAATGTGAAATTGTTTGCAATAAAATCAGCAAAATGTAAACAAAGTAATAAAAGTAATATTTTGACTAGGACCATATAGCCTGAGATTTAGGCGTTGATATTTTTTGCATATTCCTAACATACGCGCTATTTCATACTCAATCGTGTTTTGATAATGTTTACATCCGTAATGATTTCAAAAATCAGACCCACTTCTGAAAAATTCCATCGTTAAACAACATCGTTCAGGGAGACAGGAACCATATCATTATTGAAGCTTTTTCTTAAAACATAATATGTGCAATATCCCGCTGTTAATCAAACAGAAAATTTCTTCAAAGACTCAGCTGAAAAATTCTGTTAACTAGTGAATCAAACACGTTTCCACTCGTTGTAAACTCAAGAAAAAAATACAGAAGATTAACTGCAAAAGAAAATGTTTTACATTTAATTTATATATGTTAAGGGAAACAACTCTTCGTGAATTATGAGGCGGATATATTTAAGTTATCTATCTTTGACCTTCTATGTGACTCGACAATATCATTATCACCCTCGTCATCTTCATCATAATCATCATCACTACCATCATCATCGTTATCACCACCGCCAACACTATCATTATCATCATCTTTATAATCATCATCATTATCAACATTATAATCATACTCGAATTTCTCATCGCTTTCATCATGAATTTTAAGTAGTCTCGTGACTTGTTTGACATAGCTATGGTTTATTTATTGGCACATTATGCCTCAGAAATGAATATTGTTACCTTCTTTAGAAAGGGTAAGCATGATTTTTGTGCCCCCACTTTAGTGGCAGGCATTTAGATTTACCCTTGTCCGTCCGTCCTTCCGTCCGTCCGTCAGTCCGTTCTCTTTTGTGTCGCACGTAACTCAAAAAGTATTTGACCTAGAGTCATGAAACTTTTACAGGAATATTGATCAGCATGTGTAGTTGTGCACCTGGGTATTTTTGTCTGGATATTTCTAGCATTTTTAGAGTTATTGCTCTTGACTTAGTAAAATTTTGCAATTTTCAACTTGTGTCGCATGTTACTCAAAAGGTATTTGACCTAGAGTCATGAAACTTTTACAGGAATATTGATCAGCATGTGCAGTTGTGCACCTGGGTATTTTTGTCAAGATTTATTTAGTATTTTTAGAGTTATTGCTCTTGACTTAGAAATTTTTTGCAATTTTTGCAATTTTCAACTTGTGTCGCATGTAACTCAAAAAGGATTTGACATAGAGTCATTAAACCTTACGGGAAGGTTGCTCAGCATATTTTGTTTTGCACCTAGGGTTTCGCTTGTGGGTTTATCTAGTATTTGTAGAGTTATTTCCCTTGACTTAGTCAAAACTGTTTCATTATGTTGTTATTTGTTCCTTAGAATCAACCGGAATAATAATTCACATCACTGTGAAGCTATCACCTGGGACTTTGCTTGTGGATTTTTTTTTCAGTTTTGATAGAGTTATACCCCTTGACTTACAGTAGTATAAATTTGCAATTTTCAACTTGTTCATGCTCAGCTCAATTTGTTTGTTTGTTTGCTTCATTTCACGCCTTTTTTCAACAGTATTTCAGTCATATAGGCGGGTAGTTTCCTAACCATCGTTCCTGGAGAGTTACACCAGTACTATACTACCTTCCTCCGCGCTAAACTACCAAAGCATCTCCCGGGGATCGAACCCACGCCAGAGAGGTAACTGGATCAGCTCAAAAAAGTATTTCACTTGTAGGCCTGAAAGTTTACAAGAATGTTGGTCAGCATGTGTACTTATGCACCTTGGGGTTTGCTTGTGGATTTATTCAGTATTTGTAAAGTTCTTGTCCTTTACTAAGTAAAAGATTTTTAGTTTTCAAAAAATATTTGACCTAGAGTCATAAGATTGACAGATCAGTGGCGCAGTGGGGGCACCCGTGTCCTTTGGACACATTTCTAGTTTTAACTTTGAAATAATGATTTCAGGCGAGTTCTATGCTTTTCACCTGTAGAAAGTAGCAGTAAATGTGAAATTATTTGTCAACGTAGAAAAGAATAGTATATGGACTTTCAAACAAAATTCTAAATCACTATAACTGTATTATTTACCAAAATGCAACAGAAGAAAAAGTTGGTGATAAGTATTTTTGGAAACTATTACAGCACACAAAAAATAAAAAGCTTTTGAAAAATAAAAATAAAGCATTTCTGGGACATAATGGGCCTTTAGTCAAAACTGATATAACGCACTAGTATTTTTGACTTTACTCATTCCCTATATGCCTGCAAGATTTTGGTAGGATGAATAACCTATATAGATTAGCTAAGATTATTAATGAATAATGATATATACAAATTCAGTTAACTCCGCTTATAACAATATTCATAGGGTGGGGACAATTTAATATCATTATATCCGAATATCGTTATATACTAGAGGCATCCAATTTGAAAAAACAACAACAAAAAAACAACAACAACAAGAGTCGGGACCAATGTAAAGCATCGTTATAAGCGGTATATCGTTATAAGCGGTATATATCGTTATGTGAAGGCTTTATTGTATGAAGGTTTTACATTTGAAATTATCGTAGTTTTGTTCGTGCGTTTAGGTCCTTGAAAACATTCCGATTTATTACGGAACACTCAATGTATCAATGCCTAATAGAGCGATAAGTAGGCAGTAACTAGGTGTAAATGTATAGGTAAACACTCATTTTAAAGATAATTTTATTCAAAACCATGTAAAGATCGATATATAATATACTGCCATTCTAAAATAAATACACTTAGTAAAATAGATTTTGAAGATCAGAAAATAAACTAAAACAAAAATAAATAACAATTAGATAACCATGGCATATTTTCTTAAATAAATACATGTGCATTGTATTTTTGCAATAATATCGACAAACTTCGTTTATTTCCGAACATATTCCGGATGTATCATCATTTTTTCATGAAAAATAAAATTTTGATATTTTCTCGACATCTGAGAGTCAACGTTCGTAAAAATTAGAACCAAAAAATAAAATCCTAAAAATATTACATAAAACTGAACTTAATTGAAATTTGATGTCACACAACTACATTTAAATACTTTAAGCTTATAATTGACTAATTTCAGGGAATGACCTAAGCTTATGGTATTACTATTTTTGGTCCAGATCCTTTTGTATGTACCCTTGATGATTAGATCTGTAAATTAATGTGTATAATTATACAATAAATATTAATTCAAGCTAAACATGTGAGAGCTTGTGATATGTGTTATCATAAGATGTAACCGGAAGCAAACGAGTTACTATTTCTGGAAAACAGAGCTTGTTCCAAAAATAACGTCTCATCCCGGTCCAATACTAAACCAGTCAAAATTTTAATAAATAAGTAATAGAAAGAGCACCGAAACACGAGGCTATCTGATTTGTACGAGGGGGCGTAGCCCCCGAGTATAAATCAGATTGCCGAGTGTTTTGGTGTTCTTTCTCTTTTGAATCATAGTCAAACATGACAGCATGTTCCTTGTTGTCATAATACGAAACCACAGAAAAAATGAACCAATGAACGAGCATTTGAATATGATATTTCTGCCCCTTTCCACTTCTCTGCCGTCACAAAAAGTAAACCCCAGCAAAAATTAACCAATCAACGGGCTTATCTGGAGTGCGGGTAACTGATACCTGCACTCCAGTTACCGCACTGTGCATGTATATGTATACGATTTAACTCTGACACTTTTTCAACAGAAAGGTCCCCAAACTATGATACAACTTGAATATATTTAGAATAAATTGTGATAGTCTACTATACAGTTTATTACGGAAGAGTATACTGACCCCACTTATATATTTTTTATGCCTTCAAGAAAAAAAAAACATATCTTTAAAAAAGAGACAAGTTATATAATATCTAAAACAGATCTTGCAGAGTTTTACCATAAATCACAACTATGCATTGTTTCTTCGATGATATTTGGAAATTTAAGAGAACAGAATGTTCATCTTAACATACAGTAGTTGTACACTTTAGCCTTTATCATATGAATCTCATGAAAAAAGATGTATGAATATATAAATTAAATTAGATTCTTATGGTATAATAAGTCGGATCTATTATTATATTAATATTAAATGGGCCTTTTCTCGTTTTGATATAAAAAACCCATGTATAATCATTGAAAAATATGTAAGAAATATTTATAGTATAAGTTACTCAAAGTTTTAATACCATTTATATAATAATAATATATATCAGTTAAATTATAATATTTTATATAATACTGGCAAGATACTCGTGTACCGTCATAACGATCAACTTATTTTAGGAAACATATAAAACATCATCTAAGCTAAAAACTCAGGTAAAGAATATATATATTATATATGATTATATCATCTCTATATCCGTCAAACAAATAGTGCCTAGAAAACATACTGTTTTCAAATAAATAAAAGCATTTACTCCAAGAAAACGTCTGCTTCTTGAGGTAGAATTTCAATAAAAAGAAGAAAAAACATATTTCTTATAAATAAAAGTAAGGTCTTAAGAAAGACTTAAGTTTATAATACGCATCTTTAACAGTATAGTAGCCAAAGAACAGAAAAGATCAATATGAACTATATATATAACTTTAAAAAACCAGTACGAACTATGTTGTTATCATGTATCGTCGTATTTTAAACAGGCATATAAAATATATAAGGGGGGTCAGTATACTCTTCCGTAGTTTATACATTGTGCTTCGTTTACATTTATTTATATAAATATATTGTAATTATTTAATTTTACCCATGAAATATGGTACTATATCAGTCAAATATATTTCATATTTTTTAAAAATAAATATGAAATATAAATATGAAAGTGGGCGGAGTCAAAACTCATATTTATTTTAAGGGACTTCTTTCGCCGTTTTGTTTGAAAAATCTGATAAATGCAAAACAACTTTTTCTTGAATTTTGTTTTGAAAACTACCTAGCATGATAGAAAATGGTCTAACTAAGAAAATTAATCCGAACGCCAATATCTTAAATTCAGTAATTAACGCTCTACAGACGTTTAAAGAGTTGTTTACATGACGTCACAATGTAGCGCCAAACAGCACGTGCTTACACATAAATTACTGCGCGCTGTACAATTGCAGTTGGTAGCAAGCAAGGGGATTCGTTACCATTTTCTTTGATAATGAAATTAAATAAAAAGGTTATTTTTTCGTTTTCCGTGAAATATGGTATATATTTTCACTCAACATGATAAAATGCCACATATTTTCACTCGCCGTACCGGCTCGTCAAAATATGTGGCATTTTATCATGTTGAGTGAAAATATATTCCATATTTCACGCAAACTAAAAAATATCCTCTTAATCATACATTTAATTTCAAGGACATCTGCAAATTTATATAAAGGTCACAAACTCACATCATAAAATGTTAAAACTATTTCATACTTTATAATATTTATACATGTTTTATACTTTTTATCAAAGAAATCATACACACTACATATTAACATAGATCATCATACATATTTCATGAACTTTAACATACATGTCCGTACTTTGATGCACATTTACATTATTTGTGCCCACTTATGTTAGGAAAGATTTTTTACACTTTAACAAAGATTTCATGCATTTTTGTAAAGATTTATACCAATTGTATATATTTTTTTATGTTTCTTATAGTTCCATAAAGAATTTATACACATTTATCAGAGTAATGTCGTGTTTTTTTTTAATTATTTTTAACACAAAATATATACATGAACAATTATTTTACAAACTGTAGAGTGGATATCAGATATTCACGTCGGATTTTTTTTTAAAAAGGTAAAAAAATAAACATTGCATTGTATATTAAAACAAAGTAGAAAAGCATCAGCAAAATATGTAAATAAAGAGACTGAAAACATCACACGGGTTGCATTGCTTATTGCTTCTTTTAACACTATGATGTATTTTTACATGACAAAATATTTACATAAATGTCACGTGGTTAAAAAGTTGTATATGTGCCCCTGCTTGAATGTGGCACTTTATATTGAGATTGTCAAAATCAAACAAATTAAGGTAAAATGCTGCGCAGATTTAATGTATTCTGAAAACAAATTTAGGTATGAGACATGTTGTTCAAATAAATGTTTAAGAAAAGTTAGAATTTATATCAAATAACGACTACTAGTATCCCTAACTCTTCATGACTTCGTGAAATTTTAAATTTATAAGTAGAAAATATATATTTATAGTGCTCGTTGGACCTCGATGGTGGGCTGGTTAATGCTAATTTACTACGAAATATTCAAAATAAATAATAAATAATACCTGTAACATTCAACGCCGCGCTCAACATTTACTTGTCAACCACTCCAGTGGGGTCAGACTTGGCGTTTAAAAATAGCAAAAATAAATTAATAAAAATAGATAAAAAGGTCTACACTGTCTACAAAATCTTTATTATTGTCCAGAGCGAAAGTGACTGTTTGTAAGTATTTACAAATATATTTTAGACACACGTGGAGATACATGTTAAAACACATGTGACTATGTTAATTTTCATATAAAGTGTAAAATGCAATAGAGAAGTAAAGAAAAAACGCGTTGCGACAAGACATGTACCGTTTATAAGAAAAAAAAACACATGAATATGCAGAAATTATAAAGTGCACCTGAACATTTTAATTCAGCATATTATATTGTATTCTTTTCCCGATACGAAACGAAACGCTCTCAATTCAAGATATCTTAAAACATTTGTTTGTTTGTTTTTTATTGTCGCTTTTTAAATATAATATGAGTAACGGGATGAGTAACGGGATTTGACGAAACTGCACGCATTCAAACGAGCTGTTAGGTGTGGTTGTACTTATTTATACTTATTGTAATCGATTGGCCAGTTTAACTTTAACTCGAGACACTGCATATAAATCTAGACTAAGATGTACGTCAATAGATCTAATTATAAAACGCTGGATTCACGCCATGACGTATATAATTATATACATTTATATATACTTATACACCCATATAATAGTAATACAGTCTGTCAGGTCATATTGGCAATCTTTTGTTTGTTTATAATATTATCAGCTTTTTCAATCACTATTACACAAAAGTACATTGTCAATTCTCCTCTAAAGTTTTTAATGCTATGTTCCCATTTTCCTATATTGCACTCGGAAATATAATATGAAAAAACGACTTTTGTTTTGACAGTTACCAAAATAACAAACAAGAAAATGGAATAGTCTGGATTCTGTTCGTTGTACACAAAGGAAACCATGATAATCTTTATACCAAACTTTTAGTTTATTATTCTTAAACAGTTAAAAATAATAAATGCCATAACTTTAAACAGCACAAAATACTCATATTTTATCGCATTAAATGTTATATGTACTCTTACATGTATATTTTGCCGTAAAATGTGTGCATTATAAGGACTTTTGAAATGTTTACAGCGGGCAGTGGTTATGGCAAAATAAATGAAACTTGACACTATGGAGTATGGACAATACTGAGCCATATATTACCTGTTTAAAAATGTTTATAACGTATCACAGAGCGTATGTAAAAGTGCACCAAAATAAATCATTATAATATAAATATACTAATATAACAAAAAAGTCCCTAAAGTTCACACTAACTTATCTACAGTACCCCAAAAGCTGGAAGATAAAGGTGCGTACAAGATTGTTTGACATTAGTAATTTTATGGTTAAAACAAACTTTACAAATATCTAAGATTTAATCCAAGTTTAAATAAATAAAAATGATTCAGATAATAATATACGTACACACGTACACATGTACATTGGCCAACATTGTATAACTTCATTTAATAAATGTCATTTTAAAAAATCTAATACTTTTATTGTATTTGAGCAAACGTTATTTTTTATCTTATCTTTTCGATAACTTTTGTCTTAACAAGCTTGTTTACAGTCGACTTAAGGCATTATACCATGTACTTGTACTTGTGCTGCAATGCAATAATGATGTATAAATGGTATTGGTGATGAGACAAACCTGTTGTTTTCATAGTGATGATGATGATGTGTGATGATGATGATTATGATGATAATGATAAATAGTTAGCGTTGTTGGTGGTAGTAGTAGTGGTGGTGTTTGTGATGATGATGATGATTTAGCGTTGTTTGTGGTAGGACTGTTGTTGTTGTTGTTGATGATGATGATGATGATGATAATGATGACAATGATGATAAAGAAGATGATGATGATGATGATGGTGATGATGATGATGAAACCGAGTGACATCCTGGACGTAATGATTAAAAATATTTATACAAAGATTTAAATTAAATAATATATAAAATACAATAAATCAACGTGTTCCTGTACTAGCAGGAAATTAGAATTAAAATATTCATCACAGCCTAGCTATGGTTTTCTCTACTGCCTTATCACATTTACATCTGATCACCAATCAAGCGAGTCTTTTTGGAACTTAAGTTTTGGGCTGTTCTCCGAATAGAACTGCGTATACCAGCGTCTATGTCGGGCAATCAGGCTATCTTCTGTTGATTTAGCAAAAACCGGTTTTGCTTCGTATTTCTTATTGTTCCAAATCATGATGTCACGCTCTACCTGCAATAAACGATCATAACTCAGTTATTGAATTTGGCAAGTCATAAGTTATCTTCCTTTGAAGAAAATACTTTTGCAGAAGTAAATCAATAAGTAATAAGTAAATGTTGTAAAAATCGCTTAAATTCTAGTAATAAACATATTGAATGTCTTTCCTACACATATGAAATCCAAAGAACTTTATCTTTTGAGCGAGAAATGCTAGGAACTAACAGGCTACTATACGCTCACCCTGCTGAAACTTAAGATGATTAACCTTTGTCACCAGGAAAGAGCCAGGTCAGCCTGCACATGCCGGTAGATTATGTTTATAAAGACCAGACTTGACTTTTATATAGGGCATTTCCAACAATGAACGCTAGACAAGTTCATTTAAAAATTCAGCAGTTCATACGGATTAAACGCAGTTCTGTATCGTGGCATGGGTACCCATTTTGTATTTTAACATAGAGGGATGTTTTAAGTAATAAACGAAGTTCACGAATTATTATAGATAAAAAAAATATAAAAGTTTCAAGTTGTATAAAATGTATTATACCTGTATAGCTTCTCCAAACATGAAAAACTTTGCTATAAAATTTGGCACGGCCCAGTGAATATAGATATTATGCACGAGTTTTTGAACCATCGGTTCCACGGGGACAAGAGACTGGATGAAAACACCCCTTCCGAAGAAACTGTCAAACTTCAGATATACAATGCCTGGCCCTATCTGAAAATACATAATGTAGATATAAAGCTGGGAAATATACATATTTATAATGCTTCAATATATATAGTTGAAAAGTATTGTCAATAATTTATAATAACAGAAATTTGTTTTTATAATTACGCAAATAACGCAGCAAAATAATGTTTAGTAGTTTACAAAACTACATGTATTTAATAATTTCCTCAAAGAAATAATTATGTTAAGCCCATATGGACAATGGTTCATGTATATTTGCCTTCAGCTAATTAGTCGATGTTAAAAGTGGTATATATTAGACAATACATTTGCATGTACGGGGTGTTAGAGAATTTGATGGGAAAGCATGCAAGACCAGGGACATCATCAACGCGAATGCGTAATGCAGCAATATTCATCCGGTAATGTAAATGTAAGACTATATGTTTAATAGAAAAACCCCACCTGATTGCTGACTTTAAGGAGAAAAATGGAAAGCAAAACCCAAAAGAGTCAGATATGTGTAATTTAAGTGCCCCAAATATGTCCTCAGGATCGGCATTTTCCATGCTCCGCCCAAAGGGGTTTGACCCCAACTTAGATATTTATTCCACATGCCGACAAGATCAATGCCAGCGGCAATGAAGGGCTGATGTACCTGTTTGAGATGGGCCACGTCGGCACCGTTTTCAGGAATTTCCTGGAAAGCAAAGGAAGACAAATGTAATTAGAGTAGGAATAGATACCTGCTTTGAGAATATTCCAAAGGTAATAAATTATTTATTGGATGTATAATTAGCATAATGGAATACTCCCTCGAGACATTGAAATATCTTAAAGTAGAATCAAGCCGTTAAATCAATAAAAACTCTGGGAGCTAAATATCAAATAATTGTCTGATAAATTAAAATAACAGTGAAAAGAACCTTCGGTACAAATGGACTACGTGCATGCTGTATAAAGACCGTATTTCACAGTGCGAATAAAGCCAATATTAAGTACATGTTCTATTCAACTATAATCAAAGAAAAAATAAATCCACATCATATAAAACTAAATCAAACCTCAATATGAGCGTTGATAAAATGTTCTGTACGACCCTTGTATTGCCACATTCCGCTTTTTATTTCCTCTATCTCCTCCGGGACCCAATTAGGTTCGATACCCTCGGCGTGGTACCACATATAAATCCAACCATTTATTTCCATGCTTGTCCATGCTTTCACCTTGGCAATATCAGGAACTGAAGGATAATAATATACTATGATTTAATAATTCTGTAGACTATGGTGGCTAATTTGTGCCATGTCGTATTCTTGCTTCGCGAGGCGGCGAAAACAGGAAAATACGGAAAACTGACCACTTTGTTGTATTTTCGTTTTAGTTGTTCCGCTTGCCCGGTCAATATAGTGTTTTAACTGTTTAGTTTTTTCTGGTCCAGGGAATGTATAAACTGTTTAGTTTGCTGTGGTCCAGGGAATTTTTTTACTGTTTAGTTTGCTGAGGTCCAGGGCAAGTTTAGTTTGCTCCAGTTCGAGGAATGTTTATATTAGTTTGTCGGTCGATCATTGTATCGTTCTGTGCTAGTTGGAATGTCATAGGTTACCCTGGTCCCGGTTTGACATACTTCACAGCCGCCGCCATAGTCCCGGTTTGACATACGTCACATCCGTCAGGAGCTATTAAACTTAGTTTCCGTACGTACATTAATTTGTCGTTATACATGTTTAACACGACATTTTGTTCTCTAGTAATTTATAGTCATAGTCATCGTTACATGTGCAATCAACACGAGTTCTTGTCAAAGATCTAGCCTTATCTGTTTGCGCATAACTATGAAAATTGATAAGGCAAAACAAGCAATTATCATAGTATTGCAAGCAATCCATAAGTCCCCTACCGGTTAGAACCCAAGCAACATTCTGATGGGCCATTGGCCATTCAATTTTACCAGTGAATGAATTACATGAATGAACATAGATCTTTTGAGTTCTAAGTGTGTCTATATCACAGTAATGTGTTAAGTTTCCCTGCCTAGTAAGGAAATAAACAACCTTGTCATATTATTACAATGTGGTATTTTAAAGTAAATCCTATAAGGAATGAAGAAGTTGGAGTGAAAAATACCAATTTCTCGAAAAAATCTAAGTTCAGGGGGGACATAATCCTGGAAATAGTCTTCCTAGAGTATGTAACCTCCTCAAAAATGTTAAGTGATAATAAGAAACATATATATGAAGTTTGAAGTAGATACATTAGGAAATAAAGAAATTATTTAAAAAAAAAACTTTTTTTTTCATAAAAATTCTAAGTTCAAGGGAGGTAATACTGATATTTGTTGTGCTAGAGTTGTAAACCTTGTCACATATGATGTGGTTGATGGCCAGAAACTTATATTTAAAGTTTGAAGTAAACACCTTAAGAAATAAAGAACTTATAGTGAAAAGGCTGAAAAATTAAAATCAGAAATCTTGAAATTCAGGCTATTTGTTGACATAGCAACCAGAATTTTTAACATAGGAAGAAAAGAAAAAGATGTGCATAATCTCCAGACTGCCATCTACCCATATTTCAAGTTTCATAAAAATATTTTTAGTAATTTTTGAGTTATCACTGGATCCAGTTTATGTGTTCAATTTGCCATATTTTCAGACTATTTGTTGCCATAACAACCATAATTTTCAACATAGGAAGAAAAGAAAAAGACGTGCATAATCTATACTGCCATCTATCCATATATCAAGTTTCATAAAATTATTTTCAGTACTTTTTGCGTTATCGCAGGATCCAGTTTTGTGGACGGACGGACTGACGGACTGACAGACAGACAGACAGACAGAAAGACGGACAGACAGACAGACAGACAGACAGAGGGTAAACCTAAAGTCCCCTCCGGTTAAACTGGTAGGGGACTAATAACACATGTCAAAACATACCAAACGTATACATGTATACATGTATGTACAAAAATATCTCATTTTTTCGGATATACTATGATCAAAATGTCATCTCACAACTGATATCTATTTCAATGCGCGGTTTTGCAAGAGATTTAAATAATTCCAGGGATTTAGTCTTAAAAGAATTGCCATTCCCAGTTATCAGGGAATTATTAAGTGGTTTTGTACCGGCATTAACGGCATTTAGTCGACTTATACGGAGACAGACGTGCTGTTTTAAGAGGATTTGTACCGCACCACAGTATTAGATACATTGTGGGGAAGTGCAGTCACACGTATGTCACACTGCTCACAGAATATCATCATATTCAACCAGGAAACATTTTTTTTCTATATCTCTACAATTCTAACGTAATTCAGATTAAGTGCGGGTGTGAATATGCATGCCCAGTTTAATAGTTTGAAAGGTTTTAAAATGATGTGTTTTAAGCCGAAAAAAAGAATCATTTTTGTAATTCGGTACCTTTATCTGCGTACGGAATCTCCGTACATTTTCCATCATGACCTCTGAACTTCCATCCGTGAAAAGGGCATTCTATACAATCTCCAACAACTCGACCTCCGACAGCTAAGTTGGCTCCCATGTGCGGGCAATATGCGTCGAGCACATGTGATTCGCCTTTTTCATCCCTGAACACTGCGAGCTGCTGACCTGAAGATAAAATTGAAACACGCAAGATAATAGTTAGAACTTGATTGAATTATACGTGTATTTATGCATGTTCTATATGCTGTAGGAAGCACAGGGACTCGGCACAGTGTTAGGATAGATACGGGGCTTTTTATTTTCCCCCAAAAGATAAAGAGATATAAAAAAAAAAACAAAAAATATATTATTTTTGTATATGTTTATTTTATAGCGTTTTTTTTTCTACAATTACTTTTTGCACTATCCCAAAAACTGTACCAATCCTGTGGGATGGGAAGGATTCAAAATTGGGTTTGGGAAATTAAAAGTCCAATGATTTCATTAAAAACCCCATAGCCCAATTTAACTTGTGCTTTTCCCGAAATTTTGTACCATACTACTTGCTTAAAATTAAAACTAGTGGCTATAGAAGGGTGTTTTGAACACCCTTTGGGTATTTTTTCTTTCCGTAATTACGAAAGGGCCCAAAAAATAATTTCGAGTAAACGGGCTTTTTTTTTAAAAATTTTAAATTTTTTATTTAAAAATTTCAAATATATTATATTACCCATAAAAAAAAAAAACATAAAAAAAAATTTTGTATAAGAAATGAAAAGTTCGTTTAAAAAGTTTTGAAAAACTACGTGTTAGTGCAAAACTAAATTTTTTTTTCTTTGTAAAATTTCAAAAAAGATCTTAATGTCGTCTGCACACAGTGATTTATGATTATTATATTTGTTTTAACAAGTGTTAAGAACAGTTTATATTGATTTGTTAATGGTGCGCCTCATAAATAATTGATTTATATTCTTTCTACCCGTCAATGTCCCATGACTGCTGGTATGTGATTGCATTGCATACTGACGTCATATGTTGTCACGTGAGTTTATCGGAAGTGCTTTATTCGTTCTATGTTTGTTAATCTTAAAGTGCCGCCAATTATTTCTTAACGCATATTTAATATATATTTTCAAATGGTGATAAATTTGAAGTAGATCTAGGCACTAAAGCCTGTCTGCTCACTCTCCGTCTGGCCAGTTATAAGAGTATTAATTACTTCAAGATACTAGTAAATGCATTTATCAAGTATTTTCTCATCAAGTTTAGTGAAGGGTTTACCCGAAGTTTAGCAAGTTTTAAACATTAATTCAATGATGATTTTATTATAATTACTTTAAAGGGGAGTCCAATGTCTTTATAATAGTACAATATTAATTTCAGTAATTGACAGTAATTGATTAAGATAATCATAACATTATAACATAGTATGACATTTGTGCTGTTTAAAGTAGTTTATATTAAATGTATTAAATCAATAGGCCTAATTATATGACAAACTTTATGGCGGACGTGACACCTTTGTGCAGTATTGTTGTGCACGTATTTAAAATCGATTATTTCACCCCCTATAATGCATATTTCCTTTTGAATTGGAGTGTGTCTCAAATAAAAGCACTAACAAAATACTTTATATTCACCCCGTCTTCGTTACTCGGAATGTGTGCAGATTAAATGACATTTTTGAAATATTAAACAGTCTTAAACGTACGTGCAATATTAGACGTAATGCAATAATATGACTAACAAAGGTGTCAAATACACGATCATCTGCGTCGCACATGACATTTTGGAATTCCGAAACGCAAGCAAAGATGCAATACAAGATTATTTTACATATACCATACGACTAAAAGATTTCTATATTCTATCGAAAATGGATCATAGAAATTGCAGTATAAATAACGTTGGGCTTTAATTTGGCGAGGAAAATGTCTGCCAATACTTAGTTTACGAGCATTACGGTCTGAAGATAGTCATTCCCAAATATAGAATGAATGCACTTTAAAGTTTCAATAATGATATATTACCATAGTATGTGTTACAATAGTATGTATCACGTGTAAACAAATACAAACTCGTGATAAACAATCTACCTAACTGAATCGTTTGCACACTGAAAACAGTTCTATATAAAACCTTTTTTATCATTTAATATAAAGGCAAACAATCGTTGTTATTACTTCAAAAGAACAGAAATTCCTATTAAACATTCAAAAGATAGCCTTCGTGGTGATTGATGTAAAATTATCAATTGTGTCCTACAATCCTTCAAAATTACCATTACAAATGTCACTTTGAATATACAATGCCAAATGTAATTGTGTAATTTTAGAAATGTATTGTCGGTTTAAATATTGTTTTCAACCATATTTGAAAGAACCTGGTCATATATTACGACATGAAGTGACATGAAATGTATAACTATATGTTGCATGAATACAAAACTGCTTCTGTTAGCTCCATATATTTATCATAGCATCGTTTGAAACAGTGACATCGTACAAAGTATATAAATATGATACAAATATATCTTTTAGGGACATTAACTTATTTCTCTTCTAAATATGATAACGTTATCATGAAATACACAGTGACTGATATACACAGTGACCGATACACAGTCACTGATATACAGTGACTGATACACATGCAGTGACTGATATACAGTGACTGATATACATTGACTGATATAAAGTGACTGATATACAGTGACTGATATATACAATAAGTTATGCACAGTGATTGATAAAAAATAATACAGTGACTGATGATTGACATACAGTGAATAGACAAAATTAATCAATCAAATGTGTACATGTTCAGGTATACTATGTAGTGTTGTTTCTTTTAAGAATGGGATTATCGGTAATTAATCCTCAATGATTACAGCAGCAACTTTAATCAGGATATTAGAAGACGATGTGTATTTCACAACCTTTTATCTTTACAAAAGTTTACGTTGTTGTACTTCACAATATTTATTACCTTGAACTTTAAAAATTTGCTGAAACAGTTTTATTCCTTGTCAATCGGGGAACGTCACACAAAAAAGGCAATGACTAATATAAGATACTGACTACATACGTGCGGTCAAAATCTATCGCCTGCTGAAAATATTTCACAATAAATATGTAAGACTCCCCCCCCCCCCATTATCTCTTTAAACTTTTGTGAACGATACCGGTATTATATTGCTTACTTATAGTCTTAGGATGATAAATCAATTTATAGTTTACTATTTGTGTATGTTTTGTCTGCCATGTTAATATCAACGTGACGAAGTTTAAATAACGTTAAAAAGACGATTTAAATTTGCGCTGTGTGTTGTCCTTGTTTTTATAATACTGCACGTTTGTAACGTCACTTTTCATTGGATAATCGTGACGTTTATATAGTTTTTCATAATACTGCACGTTTGTAACGTCACTTTTCATTGGATAATCGTGACGTTTATATTATTAGTTATAAAGATAGTTGACAGGTTATATGGCCCTATATAAACGGCTGTTTGTAAATATAACCCGAGCCGCCAGGCGAGGGTTATATTGCAAACAACCGTTTATATTCGGCCATATAACCTGTCAACAATCTTTATAACGAATTTATAATACTGCAAACTTCCTTCTTTTAGAGAAAAAAGTGAGATTTCTTTATAAATTGACAGCAGTCGTGGATATAAAACTATATAAACGTCACGATTATCCAATGAAAAGCGACGTTACAAACGTGCAGTATTAAGAAAAACTATATAAACGTCACGATTATCCAATGAAAAGTGGCGTTACAAACGTGCAGTATTATAAAAACAAGGACAGCACATATTTACAAACAGCCGTTTATATAGGGCCATATAACCTGTCAACGATCTTTATGACTAATAATATACACGGCTGCCGTCAATTTATAAAGAAATCTCACTTTTTTTCTAAAAAAGTAAGTTCGCAGTATTATAAATTCGTTATAAAGATTGTTGACAGGTTATATGGCCGAATATCAACGGTCGTTTGCAATATAACACGAGCCGTTTATATAGGGCCATATAACCTGTCAACAATTATTCTAACTAATAATGTACTGGTATAGAACACTTTGTATTATTAGTCTTAAAATTTTGACAGTTATATAGCCTTATATCAACGGTTCTTTTTGTAAATATTAACCCAGACGCTAGCTAAGGGTTATATTGCAATCAGCCGTTTATATACGATCATATAATGACTGCTGTCAAACTATGAGGAAATCATACTTTTTCCTCTAAAGAATTATAAATTCATTATGGAATTAATAGCCCTTGGTGTTATATTGCCGTTTATAAACGGTTGTTTGCACTGCCAAATATTTTATAACTAATGATATTTACGTCACGATTATCCGATGAAAAGCGACGTAACAAACGTGCAGTATTATAACATGTTTTAAAGTGCATGTCACATGAATGATGGAGTCTAACTCTAATTGTTTGGTCAAAAATTGTTTTAATTGGTCGTAAAAGTTTATTTGTTAACAGTATAATACTATCTTTACAATTGTAATTTAGTCATCGGAATGGTTTTATTATTTATTTCTAAAACCACTCGACACACTTACTTCCCAGAACAATAAACAATAAGCAATATAAATGTACATGTACATCAAAAGTGTATACAAGACTTTCGTCATTCATTATACAATAGAATTCATCATATATGACGAAACAAACACGTATCATGTCTGTCCTTTCAAAAAAATAAATAAAAACAATTCAATGTTTAATATGATAAACATGAATCTTTTTCTTTTGATTTTCTTATCAAAATATAGGCGTAGTTTCTGATAGAATGGCAGTTTGGTCTCGAACTAACATTATTTGTTCGAGAAGTACAAGTCCGATACCCTGCTATTCTAACATTTCAAGATACTAGGGGCTTCACGTCAAATGTATTAAGACTTAACGTTTAAGTGTCTAAGGACATGGCATTAAGTTTACTATAAATTCCAATTTGAGTGCATTGACCAGTTCATGCTTTAAGTGTCTAGGGACTCCGCGTTCAGTGTACATGCAAGTGCATTTACGACTCCATGTTAAAAGTCTATGGACTCCACGATCAGTGTACATACAAGTGCACTTACGACTCCACTTTAAGTGACGAAATACTCGTTTAGTGTACTACTCACTCCACGTTGAGTGTTCTACTGATTACACAGTTACGTTGGTTTGTACTGAGCATTGTAATTTGAAAAGTTAACTCTGCAAACGTCAAATATAATGAAGATTTGCTTATGTGCACCTGAATAACATAATACAGTTTTTGTCCCAGCTAGTGTACACTAACTCATCTCTTGATTCATCCAAAACAATCTTGTATGAAATCGGCCGACTTCTTCACTTACGGTAAATCGATTAAACTCATTTTTTTGAGAACCTTATGCATAGCTTCGGAAAATGTCGAACTATGCCGAATGTTCAAGATCAGAGTGAAAATGGGTGCGTTACCTAAACGATTGCTTTTTTTATTTATTTGTTTGTTTGTTTTTCTTAAAGTGATCATATACACTTTCTAGTGATGTTTCAATGGTGGGTTGATACAAGGCGTGTGCCTATTCTAATAAAGTTTTGAAATATTTAATAATGAATGAACGCACGGCATTGTTGTTTACTTTTCAAGTATATCGGCGCAGTTTATTGATTAGCTATATTTTGAATAGTAAAGCACACCTGATTTTCTCATTCTTCTAATGAACATTGTTGGACGCGGTATATTTCACAAATTGGTTATTTAATTAGCGTCGACGTTCTCTCGGGTATTAAATCTTATAATACAACATTAGTTAACACTTTTCTGGCAATTCTTTTGCGAAAAGGAAAACATTTCTCGACATTTTAAACATTTTTTTTGTGTGCTCGACAAATGCTTTACTTCGAATATGTATTATAATGCAAATTGCTTAATAAAAGTGTTATTTACATGCAAATATGGAGGTGTATTTCGGTCAGTGTATAAAGTCACTGTTGTCTTATATTTACGTTTGTTGTTGGTTTTTTTTAGCTGGCATATTGTATGGAACTGAACAGTGTTAAATAAACTTTTCATTCTTTTTCTATTGTATCTTTTTAAAAAAGCAAGCAAGCAAACAAAAAAACACCCTTTTTCATGGTGATAGGGAACAATCCATATACATACGTCTTATATGTGATATGCTAAAAAGTATCTACTAGTATGCGTGAGTTGTATCCTAAACGTTAAAAGTACTTTACAACTAGTATAGGTTGATCCAATAATCTTGTTTGTTTTGTAAGAGATTTATAGAAAGCCGTTAGTCAATATAACGTGACCTGATTTCATTCAAGACCTAATACCGTTAATAAATATCTTTTTAATGTAACCCACTTGCCTAAATGATTTAAATGCCCTGTAAATTATCTTTATCTTTGAAGAGTACTGTCAGCATAGTATGACGTTTTATCCACTTCAAATATTTTTGAACCGACATTAAATTTGTTAAAGCTTCTTGATCTCCTACATGTTTTGTTAGGTTAGGGTTTGACTCTCACGCCCATTGTTAACCCCCTAACATGCCGGCACCGGCAGTGATTAATCCTTGCCAACAGTATACATGTATAGCCCAGTCAACCAGAATATCCATACTGGCACTGACCAGGATCTATGCTGTTGACAGCTCAATTTCTATAAATCTAAGACAAGGCAATTCAGTTAGATAAAAAAATCAGCAGGGTAAGGATGGACCTTTCCAAATTGACTGACTGGTTATCTACTACTACGGGATTATTCATAGACTGGCAGACCTAGATTAATACGCAAAAACACATGCATGGTTTTGTTGTAGTAAATAGGCGGGGCTAACTTTTTTTACATTATGAAGCTACGTGTTTTTGTTAAGCCTAATATGCCAAGCCACAAATGAGCCGCGTCACGACAAAACCAACATAATGGGTTTGCGACCAGCATGGTTCCAGACCAGCCTGCGCATCCGAGCAGTCTGATCAGGATTCATGCTGTTCGCTATCAGTTTCTTTACTTGTTATAGGGTTTGTAAACGAACAGCATGGAGCCTGATCAGACTGCGCGGATGCACAGGCTGGTCTGGATCCATGCTGGTCGCAAACCCATTATGTTGGTTTTGTCATGACACGGCTCAAATGTTTTGTTCTAAGTGGCAATAGGCTGTATCGTATAGTAAAAGTAGTATAAACGGCAACGATGTAAACAAAAATGCTTTGAAGTAATAAATTATCTTATTCTATAGGTGGTATTTGAAGACTTTTAGATTATATTTGTTTTTAATGAGTTTCAATATGTATACATAGATATAAACATAGGTCTATCTAGGCAGGCGTTTTCTTTGCCATGAAACGAAGAAAACATTACCGAAAAACAAAATAAATTTGAGCCGTGTCATGACAAAACCAACATAGTGGGTTTGCGACCAGCATGGATCCAGACCAGCCTGTGCATCCGCGCGGTCTGATCAGGATCTATGCTGTTCGCTTACCAACTCTATAACAAGTAGAGAAACGGATAGCGAACAGCATGGACCCTGATCAGACTGCGCGGATGCGCAGGCTGGTCTGTATCCATGCTGGTCGCAAACCCATTATGTTGGTTTTGTCGTGACGCGGCTCAAATGAAATATATCAGTCCGACATAATTTGCCGCTTAGTCAACTTGAAGTTCGTTTAAGCATCAATTTAATCACCCTATACATGCACGACAATCACGTGCTGAAACGATAAAAAAATACTTTTCTCCTCAATTTTGACCTGATCATAGATATTAATAGCATGTCATATTTATGAGGATATGCAATTTAATTGGAAAGAACGATAAGTATTTGACTTACCAAGAACGGAAACGCTTGCCGAGCCCCCATTCTTCAGCCGCCAGCTCTCGTAAATGCCGTACCATCCGTTCGGATAAATTGGCGGAATATCCCCGAGCGCTCGTCGCTTCTTTACGGCATTTGCTATTTCCTTTTTGGTGAATTTACCTTCGGGTAGGTACCCTAAGTCCCCAAGAACTCGTATTCTGTCAATAGGCCGGAACACTAATCCATAGAGCTGATAAATGGCAAATGTAAGAACAGCCAGAGACACGTAAAACGCCGGGGAATAAATATCTATTATATCCCATATATAGTTAATTAATCGTTCATTCAGTTTATAAACGGAATTGATCCACAATTCTCCAACCTCAAATAACGGTATCTTTAGAATTTTTTCTGTAACCGATGCAGATACCGCAAAAATCAAAACACACAGAATTACACTTCTACTTAACATAGACATCCTCTCTAATTAGCCGAGTTAATTTATTATAGTATTTAATTATTTATAAATGTACAACCGACTGCTCTAACGCGTTAAGTCAATTAAATACGCCAACGTTTAGTTACATTTACAATCTCGGAAGTAAGTTATTCAGATGTCACTTCTAATGCTCAGCTTCATAAAATACACACCTTCATATAGGAACAAATCCAATAAATACTGGAAAATTACACCACGTGATCGGTTAAGTAAGTTCCAAATGTCATCACAGATTTAAATAAACTATCTTAAGATAAATCTGGTTAAGCCTATTGCGTAACTGATTTCTTTTTGTTTGTCAAAGTTCTACTATTTTTTTTTTCTAAAGCGTGCAATTTTGAAAGAATAATAATTTGCATGAATAAGATATGAACTTAGCGAAGCGTTGATCGATTTTGAAATTTTGCTATCGTCGGTAATTTTTTCAACAGTAGAAAAATGCTCCTAACGCGTTAACTAGGGTATATACCCGTATAAATGTCAGACATGTACAATCGTGTGTATTTGTTTACAATCAGTTGCCTGGAGAAATCACCGCGTACATATTAAAGGCATTCAGATGGTTTTGTTAAAAGATCAAATATAGATTTGCGGTCAATAAGTGTGTTATAAAGATCGACGTTATAAATAATTTAATAATTAACTGTATAATTCATGTTTAAACAGAGAAATTGACCGTATTGGGCAGAATTGCAAACGTGTTGAACAACATACTTTATTATTTACTTTTGATTGGTAAATCGTTTTAGCGTTAAAAAACATAACACTTGCTTGGGCATGTCGTAACTGATGTTTTTTTTTTCAAAGAAAATATCCGAAAATAGAAACTATTAAAAGATAATAATTAACATAAAATGATGTGAGATAAATTTCTGTGTCATAAAATCGATTTTACATTAAATTCATTGAATGTGATCAACGACTTTTGATACCAATTAAATAATTTATAAAATTGTACGTCAGAAATATTCGGAAAATAGAAAAGAAAAATAAATTAAAAGATACCGGTATGTGAAATATAAAAGAAAACTATCCCCAAACAGAGACCGCACCAAAAGAAAAACAAGAAATAAATTATAATAAATAAATAAACAATGTTTACAAATTTTGAAAAGCTTCAAAAATGTATTTAGCCAGTTAATTCATTCTTTTTTAAACATTTTTTAGTCTTAGCAACGATATATATATGTACAGTATTTCCTTCTTTAGAAAGGGCCAACGTTCGTTTTATAATGTTAAAATAATGGTTTTAGAGCATGTTAGATGCTAATCACCTGAGGAAAATAGTACAGGATGTAAAATTATATGTCATAAACGTAGCAAAAAGTTAACATGCAAACATTTGAATCACTATCATATACTTATTGTCAAAAAGGCAACAGAAGCAAAATTTGTTTCACTATTTGGCAAATGAGAGCAAATGAGTAACTTTTTTTGAAACTGTTAACTTTCGTATGTTCGTCCGTTTATTCTTGTCCAATTAATTTATTTGAAAATGAATAAGCTGTGGTATTTGAAACTTCGGACATTGTCATTGTCAAGAAATGACTGGTTTTGAGGTAAGGTCAAAACTCAAGGTCAGAGTGACACTTGATAAAATGTGCGATTAAAAACTGGAGATGAAAAAAAGCCGTGTTTTATGGTATTTGGTAAAGTCAAAGTCTATGGCCTAATGATTTTGAGAGCATTAGGTCAAAGGTCAAGGTTACAATTAATTTGAAATTCTTGAAATCCTTATATTCAAACAATCACTTGAGAATGAATAGGCTTAAGTTTGTTGAAATCTATAGGATTGCCATTGCCAATTGATTTTATTTTGAGATCTTTAGGTCAAGTTCATAGCTCTACACATGATGTGAAATCCTTTTCAACAATGTGACAGGTTTATATAATTTCCTCCTCAAAAGCATGGATAATCTCTTGGTTTGCCATTTTATTTGCCCTTTTTATGCAATAGAATCTTTTCGCCGAAGTTTCCGATTGCTGTATAAAGTTGGACTTATTAATCCAATACATGTTTACAGTTATATATACGCTGCACATATATATATATTAGCTATCCATTATTTACGGGAAGTAGTTACGATTGGTCTTAAAACTATTGCAAATTGAATTATCTCCCTTATGGTAAGAATGTAGTTCATTTGTCAACATGTTAGGAACATATATTTGTATTCTTTTTCTAAAAATAATGTTACTTCTGTTCTATCTAAACTGATTAATTTCAGCAGGTAATTCATATATAATGTATACTTGCAATCTATATTTGAGCAGCATGGCTCGGTTATTATTCTAATTTTCATGACTTTTTTTGAAAATGTGAACAAAAAGAGTAATTTACACATTGCAAACTGCAATCCACATTAATTACCAAATTGAGGTCAAAATATGCAAAAATGCTACTCACTGCGTTGAGTAATGCGGTAGAATTTTAACGTGTACGGTCTCGCGAAAAAGCATCCCGAAAAATTTAGCGTCCGGAAGCGTTCCGAAGCATTATTTTTAATTTAAACAATCAAAAAGGCTATATTTATTTATACGATGTATATTATTATGTATAAGGGTATCTATGTTAGAACAAATTATCTGTATTGACATCTTTTTTCTATTTTTTCTATTTATATCAATAAAATTAACCTACGTTCGAGTGCAATTCATTTGCTCAAAAACTATCATTATAACGACTATACGCGTCCGGAAGAATTAAGTAATTGATATACCATTGCTGCGTTGACGATTTCTGGGTTTGCGTAAATTATACCATAATCACGTGACCTTTCTTATGCCTTAATCGTCAACGCACCAATGGTGTATCTGTTTTAACCTATAGCTCCGCCCAGAAACACTTACTCCTTCGATCTTCAAAACTGAAAATTATACCATAGTCTGGGTATGGTATAATTTACGGTTATTGGCAATTATACTTGGAAGAATTTTACATAAGAAGCGCTGAAGAGCTATAGGTTAATGTTTACCTAAACCAAGATTATTTTAAAATAATCGTAATTAAGTTTTATAATAAAATTGTTTGTGTAAGTAACATAAACAAGATAAGGGTTTTTCATCCTCCAAATATTAATTTACAGCATCAAAACCGACGTTTTAACGTGCGCGTTTCATGTCGCTCTAACGAAGCGTTTCGAATTATAAATTTACAGCACGTAAAATGGACCCAACCGTCCATATGTAAATAATATTTTTTTTTGGATCCAATACGGGAATATATTGGACGATCACGAGGTACAAATGCAGATTGTCGATTGGTTAGATTTATTAGATATATATATAATAAAAAATAATATTTTGTGGATAAAAGTTTTTACTCATTTAGATCTTTGCCATTCAGTTAAACAAAACATTTACATGGATAGGCCTAATCATTTTTTTTTCAACCATAGGGCCTATGATTTCATTTTTCTCGAGTTTGATTTTCATGAAACATTTGACTCGTCTGGATACGTGTACTTTTAAACTGTATACAAATACATGTACTGAAATATGTTATTTATTTTTAGAAAGTTAATTGTAGATCTAGATCTACTGTATAAACCATCATCTACATTATAATATTACTGATTTTTTCTTTTCAATTTTGAATAACAGAGAACTAAATGTTATTTATGAATTATGTGAAAAGTTACTTTATACATAATTCACAAATGATCAAAACGGAAAAAAAATAACAAAGGGAGACCACTGCACCAATCTCCACACAGTGATCTCCCCTTAATTCTTCGGCTTAGTGTATTTATAAAGGGAAGTAACCGCTGCGAGAGTTGGTACAGCACCCTTTCACATTATGTAAATTTAACAAGACACCGTTTCAAGAAAATGGGTAAAAAATCTTGGAGGCCGAGGAGTCTTGTTATATTAATAACATCGGTGACGTTAGTTGCCGGACATTTTGGTCACTTTCTGTTCAAAAAGTATTATTATTCAAAGAAACCTGCACCAGTCGATATATATTACATGAAAGATTAACAGCCAAGTATGTAATAAACATATGTTTTCGCGACTTTGACTTTGGGCTATTGTTTTTGACTTTTCAATTTTTAAATAGTAAACTTTCAGAAACTACCTCTAGATACCTGTTTAAATGTGGTATTTATCTTAAGCTGTGAAATAAGATTGTGATATATAGCTATGAGCGGGATAAGCGGTGGAATATGTTCCCGTCCAGACACACAATCTTGGTGTTGATTGATTTTTCGCTATTTTCTTTTTTTGATGCATTTATTTAAGGTCGCCGCAGAAGGCCAGGGCCCTCGATCAACCAAATCTGCGGCCGATATTCGGCCGCAGTCCCCCACCAAAATAGTATGTTTTTTTCCCCCTAACAGAGGTAAAAATTCCCCCTCAAAACATATAAGGTGTTAAAGAGAAAAATGAAAACTAATGTTGTTTTTGAAAATTAAAATCCATCTATTTGACGGCTATTGTGTAAGCGGAATATCGTACAGTACATGTCTGCACGTTTCCGTTTGTTTTTTTTTCCCCAAAATCTACCGTCACATATTGGCCTTTCATCCTGTAAAAATGCTTAAATTTCAACAGAAATATGCAGAAAAAATCACAATACCCATCAACAATTCAATTTCAAATTGTTTATTCATAAAATCATTTTTTTTTTGTCTTCAAAATGTTACATCAACCGCGGTAAATTTTGCCGTAAATTACAAACTTGTAAGTTTTGTTTTCATGATACTTTATGAAATAACTGATGAAAAACGATCTTATAATAAACAATCAATTTAATTTTATATAATTTACATCAAAAACAACTAGAATTGTGGATGTGTAAACAGAAAACAAAAAAATTTTCATTTGTCACATATTTTCGCGATGCCAATTTTTACGAATGTTTTACAAAGCCAAGAAAAGGAAGCTTTGCCTTATTAAAAGGTGTGTTAGAACACTAGAAATGTGGTTTATGAATACAATTCACTTTAGGTCCATGTATTGTTCATATTAGTGGAAATGGAGACATTTGTCTGAATGTGTTTCTAAATGCTTATTTTTTTCCGGGGGGGGGAAATCATAGAGAAAGCTAAGCAGCATAAAGATCTGATGGTGTAAGGTGTTATAAACTTTTCTTTAAATCTTATCAATCACTTCTGAACAGTTTTGTGTTACCTATTTGGGATTTTTAAAAAAAATAATATGCATGTAAATAAAAAAAAGCTGATATTTAAATAAATTTGATATTTGATCATAAAAGAAAAAGAGGAAAATTCCCCCCATAAACTAAAATTCCCCCTGCTGAGGGTAGCGACCCGCTTCCCCCAAATTGAATTGAGGGCCCTGAAGGCCCATATGGGCGACCGTACACTCAAGTCGGGCCATCCTAGAGTGTCCCGCCGAGATTTTTTCGTTGATTTTTTTCCAGCTTTATTCAAATTATTGGTGGAGGAAGACCCCAGGTGCCCCTCCGGTAGGGCTGTGCATTGCCATTTTTTTCTGTCACGATACATATCATGATATTTGTTTTTCAAAACGATGCGATTCACGATATTTATTGCATACTTTGAAGAAATGCGATGCATATTGCGATTCTTATGTTGCGATGGTTTTTGCTGATGACTTCCAAAATGTAATGCTTTTCCTTCTTATATGAATAAATGTGACTTCCAATATCAGACATTTTGCAGTGTCTAACTTCCAAATTTTTTTAACTAAATGTAAGCCTTGGTAGATGTTTATGTTGAGTTATGTATGTAAAACATAGTCCAAGGCTTGTATCCAATTCCAACCCAAATACAACATCATGCAGCGGTTATTCTAATGTTTTTTGTTTATTTTCAGACATTAACATTAGATTTTAAAGGTGTACATTATGGGACGAAGACGTTTTGTAAATGACAGTCAGGTGCCTGGTACCAGTCAACAAGTAAAGAGACAAGGACCTCTTAAACCAGGGAAGAATAACTTCACAAGAAAGCCAGACATGAGGAAACCAAAAAAAAACGATATCATAGTTAAGCCAGAAACCAGAAAATTGAAAAATGAACCAGTAACTGGAAAAGATTTCAAAATAAAGAGAGTGAAAAGGAATTATAGTCAAGGAAGAACAGATACAGTGAAAGTTGAGAAAACCGGACGGCTTTCGGACTGAGGGTTTTGTCCGGTTTTCTCAGCGGTCCGGTATTCTCAATGTCCCCTTCAGCTGTTCAGGATCTTATATTATAACCGAGCAATGACTTACTAAGGATGCTGTATATTTGCATTTCAAGATCATGTGTACGTATATTGCTAAATAAAGAAATGATAAGAATACAACAAAAAATATGTTTTAATTGTTTTTGTCCCATTATTGCATATAAAGACATAAAAGTTTGGATATAAATGAACAATAGTGACCTCATAACGATCAAGTCCGAGTACATCCGCATATGTTTACATTTGGGTAATGGGTAATGATTTAACGAATATAGTTTACTTTATTTGTTTATAATAATAACATATTGGTCAGATTTTTAAAGTAGGTTTCGGCAAAGTTTCACTGTCTTTAATTAATCTTACTTTGTCACATGTAGACAGCTCTCGTCGAATTATTTTCGGCCATGGAATAGAACTTAGCGCCGATAAATTTCGTTTCCGTTGCGAAACACAATAGAAAAATACTCTATTTTTTTATTCATACTAATTTTAACTGATCAATATCTCGTGCATTTTGGCATTTATATAAAACGGTAACATCTACACCTTACAATAAATCAAACTGAGAAAAGAGACAGTGTAAACAAATCAGACAATTATTGTTCCGTTACCGCTCAGTTAGCGTATTAGACAAACCAATTGATAAGTACACAAAGTTTTTCACACATTCGGCGTCCGGTATTGTCAGGGTAATTGTCTATATAATTGACTTTGTAGTCCCCAATCAACCGTCCGGTATTCGGTTTTTACAGATTCCGGTATTGTCAATGTTTAATACAATAGTTTAAAGAAGGGAAAATTTGGGACTGAATTATTCGTCCGGTATTTAGAGAGTTCCGATTTTCTCAGCGTCCGGTTTTCTCAAATTTCACTGTACAACTTTTTTGAAACATGGCACAGTTAGACCTGCTAGAGGGCGTAACAATATCGAGTCAGGAAGCAAGATCAAGAAGAAAAATAAATCAACAAATACAGTTGATGGTAAAAAGAAATTCGTGAAAAAAATACATAATCCAAGCAAACAGCTTGTATCAACATCAAGTCAGAATTCTGTGATAAAATCATCTAGGAAGAAATCTTCATCTGTGAAAAGAAAGAAACAAAAGCCTTATGGAAATAAGACAAAAAATAACAGAAAATCAGGCAATTTTGTCATGCATAGCAAAGATTTAAAGCCAATGTTAGGAAGAAAAAGAAAAAGCTTGATGAATGCTTCAGGCCCACAAGAAAATAATGAGCCACCTAGTAAGAGGTCAAGAATTCAATCATCTGCTTCTATAACAACAAGGTCAATGAGAGCTAAAAAAGTCGGTGTCACCAGATTTGTTTTTGATAAGGTTTGTGACTGTGCTGAAAATAAATATTTCAACATTTTTACAAATGGTGGCCTGATTCGTGGATGTCCTTGTGGTAAAAGAGATGAACAGTTTATGAAACTAACTGGCGAGTTTGATAAATGTAAAGAAGGTGAAACAAATAGTGTGAGAAGGTCAAGAGCACATGGTGATTATTTTTCTGTTCTGTCCGTTGAGATGATTTGTCACATCTTTCAGTATCTGACGCTACGAGAGGTATTACGCTTCGAATCTTTATCATCAAAGCTTCAGAGGGCTGTTTATGCTTGTTTAGCAATTCGAGAAGAAATTGATTTTAATGAAGAAATCGGCGACAAAGGTCTGTTTAATAACAATCTTCCAAATATGACCAATAAAATGTTCTCGAGTCTGCTCAGAAAGTTACCAAGGTTACGAAATATTTATAATTTCCATCCTGCAAATATTTCATCATTCTCAAGCTCTGGTTCAAATGTTTTGACAACTCCTAGTGTATGTGATGCTTTGACTGAGTGTAAATTTCTTGAGGGTATTGAGATTTCAAACATGGATCTTCTTGAAAATATCGTCTCTAAAAATGATAACCTGAAGATTATCGGTAAGTTCGCAAACCGAAACAGGGAGTTTCCAGTGTTGCATGGTGGAACTACAGTTCTTAAAGAAGACTGTTGGATAACAAATTTACACCTAGTGGGATGCTCATTATACTATATGCCACAGATGGACAACCATCTTGAACATCTGTACTTAAGGTAAGCAACAACCAATGGTACCATATTAGATAAATTATCAATAATAATTTAATCAGCAAATTTCTGTCTAAGATGTCATTATAGACTTGTTATGATTTGCCTGGCTTTTATAATTGACGTCAAATCTCCAGATGTTTGCTAAATTCACTAAGATTTTGCAACTATTTTGAAAAGTAGACATATTTTTAAATGATTAAACATTTTGAATTCACTTTATGCTTGACCTTCTGAATGTTTGGAAGTTATTGTATTTATCAATTTAGCGATTTTCAAGGTCAAACTTTGAAAATGAATTACCAACAGTAAAAAGCCTTGTCAAATGACGTAACCTTTTTTTTAAAATGACTTAAAACGATGTAAGAAGTTGAACAAACCATATTTCAGTTGTGACCACCAGCTGTAATTTTGTACGCTACAGGGTACACATAAAACTATTACATCTATGTCTGGTTTTGTTATGTTTTCAGAATGGTAAAGTTTGTTCATCACCACCCATTCAAAGACTTCTCTGCCTGTAAGTTGAAATCGTTTGTGATGTCACACTGTGTTGGTCCAACCAGTGCCTTGAAATATATCCCACTACTTACAGCATTAGCCGATGCTAGAGGGCTTAAAAGACTGGAGCTTCAGAGAGTCCCATTTCTAGGTAATTTCAATGTTAGATGGTTAAAGCAGTTTGCCTCCAGATTCATGCTAATTTTATTAAAAATATTTGAAATGTATGAAAAAGTTAAAAGTAATAAATTTACTCATTTCAAATGGCACTTAAAATTTATGAAGATTACCATATATAGGTTAGTATATGCAAAAACACTCCTTACTTCTGAAATATGGTGTCAGATAAATAATGGAAAATCAGTCGTTAATTGCTTATAACATGTGTAATATATAATCTTGAAGTCAGAATTTTTTCAATTTTCCTAAAATCTTTTTTCTCAAGGTTGATTTGCTTAAAATATTTTATTAACATGCCGTGAAAGTGGCTTTAATCAGTTTCAGGACTTAATTGGTTTTAACAGTTAGATGACTAAATCAAGATTGAATTACATTTCTTTAAGAAAGTTGACTCGTGCCATTCTGACAGGTGTTAGTCACATAACAGCCTAGGTCTTGATGTGTGTTATCAACGTAAATGACATAAAAATTTGTATTATTAATGTTCTTTCATATTGCATACATTAATATTTATTTTTGGTTCACGAAAGTTGCTACTTTCGTTTTCATCCGATGATCAATTCACTTCAAATATTGGAATAATTATTGTTGAAATAAATGTGTTATTGTGCTTTTATTGTAATGAATTGTCGTGAGTGCTTATTAAAAACATGTGCTTTACTGCTGAATACTGACAAACTTGCATTTATGTCATTGCTACGAATGCTTGTGTTTATGTTTCACTATTAATATACATGTATTAAATTTTGAATAATATATTTTTGCTCATTTATAATTTGTAGTTGTAAGTGATTTACCGTCATTTCAACGATTAAATATTGCAGCAGTGCCGCTATCAACAATAACAATCCTACTTCTTTGCACATTCAATCAGACACATGTATATACATTTACAAATGTCAGCGTAATGGCGGCAGATGCACGTTACTCGAATTCTGTTTCTCTCGAATTAAAATACCCAGTCCCTTGGATTTCGAGTTACCGAGAGTCAACTGTATTTCAATAGATTGACTTTGAAAATGGTGATTTACCAAAAGTTGATATTTGAAAATGTGTATGATAAAAAATAAATTCTAATGCATATTTACAGAAATTTCCTTTGGTCACACAAGTTACATACAGAATCTACTTGATGTTCATGCAAAGTAAATTAAAAATTTCTGGCAAAATGGAAAGTTATTTGCACTTCCAACTGTTCACAATACATCTTTACCCTTAAATTGGCATAATGGTCACTTAAAACACAAGATATGAAATTTTAATTCATTGAGAAAGTACAAAATTAATGTTATTTGCTAAGGACTCGTTAAAATATTGAATGTAGTAAATTCCTCAAACATGTACACATGTAATAGTATATGATAACGATTATAATAATTATGATATTTGATGTTTATATGTTTACAACACAACAACATAAATGATAAAAATAAGGCAACAACAATCCATTGTTATGTATTTCAGGAGGAGTTATACAACATATATGTGAGGATAATTGGCAGAATGGAGGATTCAGGAGACTTACAAATATAACACTAGGAGATTGTAAAAATGCTCTCGATGCTGATCTCGGTTATCTCATCATAGCTTCGGCTGCTCAGTAAGTTCCATGTTGATACTGACTTTATATATTAATATGAGACTGGCATCAATAGAAACAATCACTGTAATTTTTAGCTCGACTATTCGAAGAATATGAGAGCTATTGTAGTTGCCCCGGCGTCGGCGTCAGCGTCCGCGTCGGCGTCTGCGTTGGTTAAAGTTTTTTGTAAAGTCAAATATCTCAATTATTACTTGAGATATTCAATTGAAACTTACAATACTTATTTATAGTAACAAGGTACATCAGATTGACAAGTTGGATAACTCTGCCTACAATATTGACAGAATTATGCCCCTTTTTAACTTAGAAATTTTGGTTAAAGTTTTTTGTAAAGTCAAATATCTCAATTATTGCTTGAGATATTCAATTGAAACTTACAATACTTTATTTATAGTAACAAGGTACATCAGATTGACAAGTTGGATAACTCTGCCTACAATATTGACATAATTATGCCCCTTTTTAACTTAGAAATTTTGGTTAAAGTTTTTTTGTAAAGTCAAATATCTCAATTATTGCTTGAGATATTCAATTGAAACTTACAATACTTATTTATAGTAACAAGGTACATCAGATTGACAAGTTGGATAACTCTGCCTACAATATTGACAGAATTATGCCCCTTTGGAACTTAAAATTTTGTTTAAAGTTTTTTTATAAAGTCAAATATCTCAATTATTGCTTGAGATATTCAATTGAAATTAAAAATACTTTTTTTATAGTAACAATGTACATCAGTTTGCAAAATTGCATAACTCTGTCTGCAAAATTTGCAGAATTATTTGCCCCTTTGAAAGTTAGAAATTTTGGTTAAAGGTTAAAGGTCTTCAAAGATATTTACTTGAAACTTTACACATGCACTTAGGGTCATAATTGGAGGGTCATAATTGTATGTCACTGACCAAGTTCCATAACTCTATCTTGCATTAAGGCTGATTCATATTCCCTTTTCTACTTAGTCTCTTGGTTAATGTTTACATGCAAGTTTTACATATCTCAATAACTATTAAAGATATTTATTTAAAACTTCACATATGCATTTAGGGTCATAATTGTAGGTCACTGACAAAGATCCATAATTCTATCTTGCATTTAGGCTGATTTTTCTCCCCTTTTTCAACTTAGAAATTCATGGTAAAGTTTTGCTTGTAAGCTGTTATCTCAATAACTACTGAAGGGTTTGTGCCTTTTTTGGGACAATTTTATGCATTCATAATAATAAAGCAGTGATTTACTTGATAAAACATCTTAATAACAAGCCTTTGTACCTTTTCTGTCAAATTTATGTATTCATAGGTTATTAGTATTATTATACTCAATAAAACACCCTTGTGATATTACCTTCCGAATAGTCAAGCCAATACTGTATAATTGGCCTATAACATGAATTTATAAAAAAGAATTGGCCCTTTAGTGAACTTAAAAAATTTAACATTTTGAAGGCTCTTTTACTATCAAGCACTTAGAATAGTCGAGCATGCTGTCCTACTGACAGCTCTTGTTGTCAATCAATAATCATTACAAATTTGTAAAAATCAATAATTTTGACTAATTAACAAACTGTCTAGAAATAATGAAATGCCACCAAAACATGTGCTTCATCAAACTATGTGATTGCCATCTTTTATAGCCATGGTGATAAAAATTGGTCTGATAAAAATAAAACATGCAGTGGGTATTTATAAACAATAAACATAATAATTGTATGGACAGAACTAGCATTTTACTGAAATCATAAAAACTGGTATGAAAGTGAGATACTCGATAATTGTCATCCAAGATTGATATATCATCGATATTCTTTGAATTGAATCAATGACCAGTCTATATTCATACATGCATCTTAATGCTTATTGATAAATCATTGTCAAATATATCAAATATGGATATAATATTATAAAGATTATCAACATCACTGTAGATATGACCTGAAATAATGCATGGAAGGGTACTTGAGGTCTTCCTCCACTGGAAGAGCTGGAAAAAAAACGCCATATGAGCTATTCTGGTCGGTTTGATATGAAACCCACCCAAAAAAAAAAATACTCATTTCAATTGGAATATAAACAGAAGGAATAATACATCAAAACACACTTGTTTAAATGATTCATCCACAGTTTTCATCAGAGTTATTTATTTATTTCAGTATTGAATGTTTACGTATTCAACCAGCACTGACAAAGGATGCCATGTTCTCAGCTCTCTCTGTATCGGATGTAACAATCAATCCAGGATTTGAGGAACTGTGTCTTGGATGGAAAGAGTCCATTACATTAAATGGTATATAGAGTTCTTTATTGGATCAGCTTCTTTTTTTAGTCGCACTAACATAATTATGGTCTTATGGTGAATCATGATGCTCCAGCTTGGTGGAGGAAGGCCCCAGGTGCCCTTTTGTCACAAGCTAGCATCTGAGTAGAACAATTGACTTCCCTAAGGTAGCTTGATAGCTTTTTCACATGAAAGAATCTAAGGTTTCTATTGGGATTCTAACCCACAGCATTGAGGGGCAAGTGGTTTGAAGTCAGAGACCTTAACAACTCGACCATGGAGACCCCTATTTAATTTGGATTTTTTAATTGAAGTGGTACTCTTAAACATTTTTAAATATGTTCAGAAACATAATAATTATCATCTTTTGAAATATATTGCTAAATCATTTTAACAGTAGAAAGTTCTTCAAAAACACTAGTATGATAATGGCTAACACACTGTCTCTGTCAAAAATAAAAATAAAAAGTATGTTTGAACAGCTAATGAAGAACCTATTACTGAAGTTGTGATGGTCTGTTCCAAGTTATCATTCTTTTCAAAGATTTAATTACATGTATGCGGTGTTTCTAAATTTAGAAACGTTGACAGACGCAGAGCTTGGTCTTGCTGATCTCCCGGAGTCACATTCACGCATCACTGATTCCGGTATGCAGCTGGTAGGGCAGTGTTTCCTGTCATTGAAGAAACTAGAGATCCATAACTGTCCTAATTTGATCAACCCTTTACTGTGGGTCACTCCAGGTATTTAGAAATAGATTTTTTGACATATATTTAATGCTTTAAAGATCCTGTATGTTGTAATTAAGGTTGTTACGTCACTTAAGTGAAATTTTATGTATGTATATAATTATGCTTTTAAAGCAACATTCAAACATTGAGGAATATGTAAAATATGTACTGCAAATATTTGTCAACATTATATGTAATAATTAAAATATACGAGGGTTGTTCGGGAAGTTCTGGGAATTTTGTCATATCTTCTATATTTTTTGTTTCTCAGACGTAATATTTTGCACATACTAAGATTAGCATATCATGGAACTATTCCTAAAAATTGAATAGAATCAGACAAAAAAAGCCGGAAATAGCAGTAACCATAGCAACACTATAACGCCACACCGGAGCAGTCCGACTCTAAAGATTTGGTATAACGCGCTACACTAATGATATTTCGTAATTTTGATAACTTAAAAAATGCGCGAAAATGCTGGTTAGAAGTGGAACGTCATGACGTCATTTCCTGAAAATATCATAACGTTATTTAATTTCTCAACGGATCAACATTGTTTTAAAGTTGTTGCCCAGAGCCACTGAGTAAACAACATGATGTTGATAGGTGACGTTGAATTGCGAAGCATCGTGAAATTTTGTGTTGCGCTGGAAAAGTCTTCCACAGAAACAATGAAAATGATCAATACTATAGGAAAATACAAGAAATGCAGTCTGGCTACAGTGTACAGATGGCATGCTCGTTTTAAAGAAGGAAGAAACCCTCCATACAGCCCGGACCTTGCTCCGATGGACTTCCATGTGTTCCCGGAGCTGAAATCACAGCTGTGTGGAAAACGCTTTCACTCAGCTGATGATCTTGTTAAGCATACGCAAGCTATAGTCTCGTCCTTTACCGATAGCTGATATGTGGAAACATACAATAAGTGGATCAGCCGACACAGGAAATGCATCGAAATTGCAGGTGACTACGTTGAAAAGGTGCAACGATCGATGGACTTTAACGTCGCATAACGTTGCAAATGACATCGGCGTGCTCCGGGTGTTTGTTATATGGTTATTTACTATTTTTATTATGTTTTAGTTTCTGTGTGTATGATGATGATATTTTCAGATACTGTACAGTATGTATTGAAATAAATGCGTATATATTTATATTTACGCTAACCCAACTACAACGTGTGCTATAAAACAATTCTCAGAACTTCCCGAACAACCCTCGTATATGCATTTATTTCTAATGGAAAAATTTTGATTTAGACTTTATAGAAAATAAATTTCTAATTACCTCCCTTTGTTTTCATGAAATGCTAAATTTGGTAATATCTTTATAAATAATGCTTTTTAGAACTTACAATATTGATAAATGTTAATTTGAGCATCATATTAATATCTTAAAACCATAAAAAAATTGTGTTACAGGATTTTATTGTTCTTTGTTTTTTGTTCATTGACAAGGATTCTTTGATAAAACTTTGTTGGAAATGGAATATTTGCAAATTAAATCACTTCAGTTTAATAATGGTGTTTATTTTAAAACATTGATTATATATAAATTATATACATAACATCAAAATTTACCAAACTTAAAAAAATGCACAGACATGGATATGAAAAGTAGTGATGAGCAGATTAAAGTTTATAATTTTTGCATAAACATTATTATTCGTGGGACACTTATGTTCGGGGTTATGGTGGATAGGTCATTCATAAATTTAAGATGCAATGAAATCTTATTTTGTCTGCTGTAAAGTTATCATGACTTTTTTGCTCAAACAGAAAATCCAAGAATTTAAGAATACACATAAACAATCTTTTTTGACAAATGCCCACACATTTAAGTGAATTCATAGTAACCCTTTACATGTGGAATTTTATAAATGGATTTGTCCATGTTCCTTTGTGGAACAGTTCATTATTAGTTGTAGGGATTTGAAGTTGGTCAGCCAACAGTATAGAGCATGGTCAGACCTGGCCTGGCTCTATTATACTAGTGGCAAACACTAAAATAAAAAGGTTTAAATGATTATATTTGTATTTTTAAGACGTTAAAAAAACTGTAATAATTGTCAAGTGAATTTTAATAATTCAAAAGCTATAAGTCATTAGATAATGTTGAATTTTACTTTTTCAGGGCCGCATTATTTTCTACATATTCAAGAATTGACTTTGGAAAATTGTCATAGTTTACGTGTAGACAAGTTTTGGGCTTTCCTGGCATTTTTACCTGAACTACGCTACCTAACTCTGAGAGATATATTTAAGGAACAACCTGTTGGCTGCTCTAGGTATAACTTTTATATAACTTTTGTCTTTTCATCTTTTGTTAATGGAATATTTAAAGGCACATTATGCCTCAGAAATATTTTTTTTAATTGTTTAGAAATGTCAGACAAATAATTAACAATGTTCAAATAATTGGATTTAGAGCAAGTAAGATGTTAAATATTGATATACTGAGGCTACTCTTCCATATGTAGGAAGCATTTGTGTCTTTCTGACAGCTCTTGTTACCATTTTGTTTCAGAGTTGGACTAAGTGCTGGTACAGGTTTGGGTATATCTGCAGCTTTCATAAACCCTCAACCGTTGGCAAATAATCCTGGAGGATTAAATAACAATGATGATGATGACGATGATGATAATGATGCTGATAATGTTCCTGAAGATAACCAAGAAAATGATGTTTTAAATAACAATGAACCTATGGACCGAGGTCATGGTCAAATTCAAGGTCACAACCGAGGTTTAGCCGGTAGAGAGAATTTAGATAATCAAAATGGTGCTGCTGCTGAACTAGAAAATGCAAATGGTGGATATAACCTTAGAAACTCAGTGAGAAATGATTCTAGTCATAGTTGTAAAGAACAGACTTCTTCCAGAAAGGCAAGGCATAGAAGTAGGTCTGCAAGTACAAGGAAAACGTCGGTCACAGATGAGGAACATGGTTCTGGAATTCAGCAGAAAGATAGCAATCAAGCAGGCTGTGATAAAAATAAGAACTCAGGGCATGCGTCCAATTCCAGTAGCTCCGGGGTAGAAGCAGATGATAAAACCAGATTGGTTTCTAAGAGGGGTAAAGCCCTAGTCACCAAGAAAGGGCTTGTTAATAAAGTGAAATCTACTAAAGGAAAGGGAAAAAGCACTGAAGATTTAGGAAACAGTAGTAAAGATGAACAAGTGAAAAAGGGTATGTTTCTAAATTTCATAGAAATAATATATGTATTTAGCATTTATTTTAGCATGGGAAATATCAGTATGATACTGAATATTATAATCTGAGATTCCATGTAGAGTTATCTTTTCCGATGAGACATATAAATACGTTTTTCCTTGAAACTTTCTTTAGTGTTAATATTTATATTATACATTGAATTGTCTGTATGTTTACGTTTAATTTAATTGTATAAATGTATGTGTAAATGTTTGTTTGATAGCCTCAAGCCCAAGTCAAAGAAGATAGGCAGGGCCCTCAATTCAATTTGGGGGAAGCGGGTCGCTACCCTCAGCAGGGGGAATTTTAGTTTATGGGGGGAATTTTCCTCTTTTTCTTTTATGATCAAATATCAAATTTATTTAAATATCAGCTTTTTTTTATTTACATGCATATTATTTTTTTTAAAAATCCCAAATAGGTAACACAAAACTGTTCAGAAGTGATTGATAAGATTTAAAGAAAAGTTTATAACACCTTACACCATCAGATCTTTATGCTGCTTAGCTTTCTCTATGATTTCCCCCCCCCCCGGAAAAAAATAAGCATTTAGAAACACATTCAGACAAATGTCTCCATTTCCACTAATATGAACAATACATGGACCTAAAGTGAATTGTATTCATAAACCACATTTCTAGTGTTCTAACACACCTTTTAATAAGGCAAAGCTTCCTTTTCTTGGCTTTGTAAAACATTCGTAAAAATTTGCATCGCGAAAATATGTGACAAATGAAAATTTTTTGTTTTCTGTTTACACATCCACAATTCTAGTTGTTTCTGATGTAAATTATATAAAATTAAATTGATTGTTTATTATAAGATCATTTTTCATCAGTTATTTAATAAAGTATCATGAAAACAAAACTTACAAGCTTGTTTGTAATTTACGGCAAAATTTACCGTGGTTGATGTAACATTTTGAAGACAAAAAAAATATGATTTCATGAATAAACAATTTGAAATCAAATTGTTGATGGGAATTGTGATTTTTTTCTGCATATTTCTGTTGAAATTTTAGCATTTTTACAGGATGAAAGGCCAATATGTGACGGTAGATTTTGGGGGAAAAAACAAACGGAAACGTGCAGACATGTACTGTACGATATTCCGCTTACAAAATAGACGTCAAATAGATGGATTTTAATTTTCAAAAACAACATTAGTTTTCATTTTTCTCTTTAACACCTTATATGTTTTGAGGGGGAATTTTTACCTCTGTTAGGGGGAAAAAAACATACTATTTTGGTGGGGGACTGCGGCCGAATATCGGCCGCAGATTTGGTTGATCGAGGGCCCTGATAGGACTTATCTTATTGAGTTACCTTCATTCATTCATTCATTCATTCATTCATTCATTCATGTCAAGCTTTCTAAAATAAAATATCAATTTTGTATTAGATCATTTATGATGTATTTAGTAATAAATATACATGTATGTATACCTTTACAATTTACATGTACCTGTATATAAAATCATTATATGTTTACAAAATTTTTTAAATCTTCACCTGTTCCATGCTGAATTTGTACGAGGGATGTCCGGAAAGTTCATGTACTTCTTCATTTTTTATTGTATAACAATACATACGATGTACAAATTTTGTCAGCAAAAATATACATATCTAGCGAACACATTTATCAAAAAATACTGAACTGTAACTTACATTTGTATTTTAACAGTTATTACATACAACATATATACATCATCATGGTGCACTTTGACAACGTCAACGGCGTCAAATTAACTTCATGTATGCCCGCTATTCAATTTCTTCCGATTTCAACAGTCATAGTACCTGTCTGGCGTATACTTAATAAATGTTATGTTCCTTTTACTTTATGAATTTCATATTTAAAATTATTATTTAAAAACAATACAGTGTGTGAGAAGTCTGTCTTTTTTCAAAGGTTGTTGTAACGCAATATACGATATTTTGCCCATGCTACCTTTGGTCGTCTGGAGCGTTTCTTTTACGATATTCTGTAATCGCCGCTCCTTAATCTTGTTTGACATTAAAACACAAGTTGACTTAACCATTTTATGGTTGGTTTTGTTTTTAAAGTAAAGATTAAAATCTCAGTTGGTGCCATATAAGTGTTGCTATAAAGTTAAATATCATTACGTTGCTCCATCCGTGAATTTGACGTCATTTTTGCAACTTAAAATTTATGCACTTTCATTGCCTATAATCATCGTTAACAAGCTGGTTATCTGTGTATGACGTCATAATTTTCACTAAATATCATGTAATAGTATCTAATGATGTCACAAAAGTTAAAAAGGAGAGTTTGCGTTAAAATTACACTTTTTAGCAACATAATATTCGAGTAGTTATCGTCATGAAATGAAAGTGCTCCGTGATTCGTTGATCATGTTGCCATGGTGATTCGCGCTTTGCGAATATTTCTTTAATCATGTCTTTTAATTTAGAAATATGTAACAGATAAATACTTTAGCAAAATATTCAATCATCATATTGATATGACTTTGAATGATTTTATAGCCTTGTCTACGAAATTTCCGGACAGCCCTCGTAGAACAACAGATTTGTAGTGCATTGAGTTTGGGATGTCTGTTTCAATTTTGAGAGACTTCAAATTAAAATTGATAAAAGTGATCAGCTAACCTGGCCCTATCCAGTCATGTACTTGTAGCATATACAATCCCTGCCAGCACTATTAGGTTTGAAAGACAATTAAATGGTTGCTAAATAACCCAGTTTGTGGAAGTGAACCCTTTATGCTCAGTATTGCAATATTGTATGTAAGCTGCATACAAAATTAAAGTATCATTTGGCAGTTACATTTTACTTGTATATTTTATGATTATCAGAATGTACATGTGTGAGGGAGAAGGTTGAAGTACGTTGCCAGGCAACAAATGATGATATTAGACAAGCTACCACCCACAAGAAAAGCCGGAAAAAGAGGGCTTCACAAAAACCCCAAGATAAAGAGAAAATAATCAAAGCAAGTAAGTTTGAAATGAACCATTATTTTTAATACATTCCTTTAAATAAACATAAATGCAATATCTTTATGAAGTCACATTATGCCATAAAAAGATCAATATTTTTTTTTAATTCTTTAGTTAGGTCAGACATATATTTTATAATGTTTTAATTTTTTTAAAATGATTTATAACATGATAGCTGTTAAACAACTGAAAAATGTAATTCTGAACATGCAAGCATGTGTCATAAAGGTAGCAAAATGTAAACAAAGTAGTATTTTGTCTTCCGTACAAAAAAACTAAATCACTAGAATAATACCAATTGCTAAAGAGCAACAGATGCATGGCGATTGAGTAACTTTTTGGAAAATCATAACAATAAGAACAATTTGGGGATGGGGGTTTAATAGGCAGCCCCTGATCATTAACAAGATAATCACATTTTGGTTGGACCAGGCCAGTTTACATTACCTGGCAGTCTGTCCAGGCTTTATTCCGTTGGCTGAAAATTAGTTTAAATTTCCATCATGATATCTCCAAAGTTGATAGTTGACTCTTCCGAAAAAATAAGTGGTCAAGGATTTCAGCAGGTTAAGAGTATAAGGGACATTCGATGTTAATTACAGACAAAATATTTTTGAAGCTTAACTGTAAAAGTTTGTTTGTACCCCATATTAGCTTGGGAAAAACCAAAAATATTCTTAATACCGGAGTAAATCTATTATTATTACATGGTACAATCTGATTTTAAGGGAAGTATAAACCAAGTTCTATGTATGAGGCTGCAGGTCAGGTAACATCATGTGAGGTTCATAAGAGAAGAAGAAAAAAAGAGAAACCTGTGACAGCAGATAAATGTGACAGTACAAATGACCCCGTCTGGGAAGACGACCCTGTCATGGTAACCAAATTTGTATTCTTTTTTCCCCTCTTTTTGGGGTATTTCAGGTCAGTTCATTTCAAAATTGGAATTTTTTGGAAATTGAGAATGGATCTGATTACAGGTTCTGTCTATAGAGGGAGAAACACTAGATAGAATGCACAGATCAGTTGTAAATGCGTGATACTTTCACCAGAGTAATACACTAGATTATCAGGGTTAAAAGGAACAAGACCACTTTTGTGTCGAACGAAAATGCATTTGTTATGGTCAGTGTGCATACATTGTATCTAGGTATTTCATTAGAATTTATTTTCAAACACTAAGCATAATCAAGTGCTGTTAATGGTAGCTGTATATAACCTATGATATCATTTGGTATCAGTTGGTACATTATTTTACTGTATATTTCAGGAACTGACAATTTTACATAGAAGACTAGAATACTTGAGAATTGATGGTGTTGGAGTGTCAGAACTTAACATAGTCTGTTATAATCTACAAACTTTATCTGGTATGTGAAAAACTTGTATACATTAAACCTGCAAAACAGGATCTTTATTTAAACCAAAATCCTCAGAAAACCTGGACATTTATCAAAGTCCCAACTTTTCCCCTTTTATTTGAATCATATAATGATTCTGATATCCAGGGGAAAAGCATTGTCTGTTATTTATGAAATTTAACCTCACAAAACTTTACATGTTTTTCCTAGGGCTCAAATTAAGCACTCGCAAAACTGCAAAAAAAAGTCAAAAAAGAAAAATGCCAAAAAACTTTTCTTTACACTCACAAAATTATGCTTGTGTAGCAGATAGTTTAAAGAACATAAATCGATATGATTTTCTAAAAAGAAATTAAATTTTAACAAAAATGTTATCTCTATGACAATTTGTGTAAAATAATGATACACAGATACATGTATATGTAAAGAATCATGTAGTTACCAGTAAAGTAGTAAATGATTTATTGAAAAAAATGCAAGTTTTGTTTGATTTTATGGAGTTAGAATTTCTTGTATTCGCCAAAATTTTATCAGTTTAAGATATTTAAATTTTATATGTGCATTTATTTTTTAAAAATATTATTTGCTTCTTGTCATGGAGAGCTTTTATATTCAGGTGAGCAATTTCAGTGCCATCATTGACCTTTTGTTTTTATTAGCTCACCAATGCCGAAGGCTCAGGGTGAGCTATTAGTATCAAAGGGCGGTGCTCCGGCGTCCATCGTCCGTCGTCTAGTGTCAACAATCGTCTTCTTCTCTGAAACTACTGGGCAGATTTACTTCAAATTTGGTCTGTAGCATCCTTGTGACAGTCACACTTGTATTTGCTCATGTCATTCCAATTGGCCCCTTTTAGGGGTCAGCAGAGATAAAAATAGAAAAACCTTTAAACATCTTCTTCTACAGAACTAATGGATGGATGGTCACCAAACTATGTCTGTAGCATTCTTGGGTAGTCTTTTATCGAGTTTGCTAACATTAGTTTGATTGGCCCCTTTTAGGGGCCACTAAAGCTAAAAATAGAAAAAACCTTTAAACATCTCCTACTTCAGAACCAATTGATGGATGATCACCAAACTTTGTCTGTAGCATTCTTGGGTACTCTTTTATCAAGTTTGCTTATATTAATTTAATTGGCCCCTTTTAGGGGCCACTAAAGCTAAAAATAGAAAAAACCTTTGAACATCATTTTCTACTGAAATAATTGATAGATGATCTAAAAACTTTGTAGCATTCTTAGGTAGTCTTTTATCAAATTTGCTCATATTAATTTGATTAGCCCCGTTTAAGCTAAAGCTTAAATGCCCCTGGTCATGGTATTTCTTCAAATTATTGTTTAAACATATTCTATGCTCAAGTTTAATATGAGAATATATTGATATTCCAACACTGAAAAGCAGTTGTTTCTGGTGAGCGACTCAGGGCCGTCATGGCCCTCTTGTTATTAAATACCCAACCAACATTTTAATGTAATTTTTCACTGTTATGTGTTATGACTGTGAGCCAGCCATTCATCATTGATTTTATCATGCAGAGCAGAGCGACCAGATGGGAGAACTAGAACATGAACGTTTTCTTAAGTCTCTGTAGGTTACTTGCCCCTGGGGAATATTGCAAAAAAATTATTGACCGGGTGATATTCATTTTAAGGTAAATGGAAATAACACCATGTGATGTCACATAAGGCTATACATGTATAGTAAAAAGTTTATGTCAGGTATAATACAATAAGATGACTTATTTTTTCAGTTTCAAGATGTCGGGTGTTGAAGAGTATAAAATTAAAAGAGGCTCCCTTTCTAGAAAATGTGCATGTCTCTCAGTGCAGGAAATTTGACGAGACAATGTTCCTTGATGAAATATATAGACTACCTCCAAATCGAAGTAAATTTGTCTCCCTACGCCCCTTACACTTCGTGAGTACTTACTTTTTATATGGTATGAACTGCTTCAGGTACCAATACTCATGTTGCTATGGAAAACTGAAAACTGTTTATATGGGTACAAGTAGTGGTCTCATTTTCTTTTCTGACAGAATTTATACTAAAAACAAGAGTAGGTAATAACACTCCAATTTCACCAATATGAATTAAAATTGTATTCAAGATATAGCAAATCATGCAAACTTTCCAAACTATGAAAACTGAACAAATTTTGAAGAAAAAAAATCTTAAACCATTGAACTGCTGAATTTGTGTAATGAAATTATGAATTTGCATAGCTTTGAATTTTGAAGTCTTTTCAAATTTTTCGGGAATTTCATTCTCAAAATACAGAAAAATGAGCTTACAATAGTATAGAGCCTGATCAGACTGCACTGAAGTGAAGTGAAGAAAATGTATTGGCTAGCCTAGCTCTATACTGGTGTCAAAGACTAATTACTTGGTTAATCAAAGTATAAGAAGTTAAGAATTCATAATAGATGTTTTTCTTTGCATGTTTTATCATAGTGAATGTGCATGGTGGGGGTAAGAATCAACTTTAGTGATAGCTGTAGTTCATTGTAAATTTAACCGAAAATGCACATACACTGCAAAATCATTATTATTCGTGTGGAACTTATTTTTCGTGGATAAGTCAATCCACGAATTTAAGATTCAACAAAATTTAATTTTGTCTGGTGTAAAATTATTTTGCATCACATTATTTACATTTTACCTTTTGGAAAAATAAACAGCCCACAAATTTAAGAATGTGTTAGAAAATGTTCTTTTTGACAAAACCACAAAATCTCATGCCCACAAAATTACATGAATTTACAGTACAGTACTTAATTTTTATAATCTTGCAGGTAGATGAGAGTTTGTATGACAGCCTGATGTTTTTCGCAGATTTTCGAGACTATAACTTCGGTACGGTCATGCTGTATGACTACAGTGATGAACCAAGTAAAACCAATTATAACAAACTACGTATGAAGTCCTGGATGAATGTCCTTGAACGAATGACATCGTAAGATTTCTTTTCATTTTTTTCATTATTTTTTTAAATATAGAAATGTTGAAACATTAATACATAGAACATAAGAAGTAAATATTGACTAAGGGGAGGTAGAGCAAGGGAGGCTGCTCATTTACGATTTGTTTTCTTAAATTTTTCTCTGACTTAAGTCACAATATACTTTTTCATTGATCTGTGTAGAATCAGGAACATTACCTCACCCACTATTCCCAGGCTAAATATATGTATCATTGGACATTTGTGAAATGTAGGGGTAGACACTTGCCCTTCAGTATGGAAATTTGCTAAATGTATGTCAAATTCAGTCTAAAGCTTAAATTCCAATAAAAATGTGGGGGGGGGGGGGGACAGTGATTCATTATTAGAATGGTGGGAAAATGTCCGGGGGGTCAAATGTTTGTATACCACTTAGGTAACTTTCTAATACAAGAACATGTAATACTATTATTTTGTAACAATATGTTTTATAGTGCTTAATATGTTTATAGTATATGTACAGTCATGTATTTTATAAAGACTAAAGCAGTCAGCATTATGGAAAGTATTCGGTTCTTCCCAGATGCCTGCTCATGCCTGAAATAATGTACAAAGTTGCAGTTAGTTTTACTTAAAATCTTACCAAAACAAAAAATAAATGTACTTAGTACATGTAAGTACATTTTTTATGATAATTGGTTTTTTAATGTTCTTTAATTGTAGTATGACAATGATGGATCATGGATGGCAAAGATTTCATGAAATGGATCATCCAAACAAAGGTCTTACTGTAGAAGAAGGTAAACATTTTGTTTTAAAACTGTAAGATACTTTAATATGTTAAAGCAGCCCAGCTCCAGAACACTTAAATAATTCTTGAGGGGAAAAAAAATTGAAACAAAATTGAAAAATATATTTGTAATGTATTTGTATTGATGGATCCCTGCTCTCACCTTTAATATGAATAACTAATAGATTTAACCACAAACACTGACATGTGTTAACAAATACGTTATGAAGAAATTCTTATTGTAATTCACTCATCTGATAATTGACTTACTCCGGAGTTCAGAATATTAGGGTTTTCCCAGCTAATCAGGGGGACCGGGTACAAATAAATGTTTACTGTTAGAATTTTGAAAATAAGCACAATAGGTTGACTAATCTATTGTGACCAGTAGTGCACAGTGAAGCTATGACAGTAAAAGTTTGTTTGTAGTGGGGGATTAGCTTGGAAAATCTCACATTTGCCGAGTTCTGACTTAAAACTATTGCAATTGTGACTAGTTATGGTCATGTAGTGATCTATGTGTTTTAAGACATGTATATATATTTAAAATCATATTAGTTACTTGTATCTAGGAAGCTGTTAAGGTGATTAAGCCGGTTCACTTGAAATGACAAAAAAATTATGATGAAATTATCATAAAAACCAGACAAACAGACAAGATGTTCCACAGCTGACACTGGCTGCTTTCATCTGCCAGCACTGACAGTACACTGTAGTTATATAGTATTATGATGTGATGTTTGTGCATGATTTTAATTGCAGCATCTGTAGCCAAGTGGTTAAGGTTGTTGACTTCTCTGCCACTGCCTCTCGATGTTGTAGGTTTGAGTCTGGCTAGCGTCTTAAGATTCTTTCATGTGAGAAAGCTATCCAGCAAGTTTACAGAACGTTTACTTAGGTGCCAGTTTGTATCTGAAATAATGCACAGAGGGGCACCTGAGGTCTTCTTCTAACAATAAAGCTGGAAAGTCGCCATATGACCTTTACTGTGTTGGTGTGATGTAAATGCCCCTAAAAAATGTTAATGATGAAATGTATGTTTAATCATTAATTGACATGTTCATGAACTGTAGCTTATTTTTATCACAAAAGGTTCAAGTATTGACGGGAGTGGCTGGAAGATGTTTTCAGATATTCCATGGATCAGTGAACTTAACCAGTGTCCTGATATGGAGGAACAAAACATTAGAAACCCAGACTGGAAAAAACGTAATTATTAATTAAAGATAGTTTCCTTCCATAAGTTTTCTAAAAAAGAATTAATAATTGATTTAAAAAATGAAATTGTGAGTACTATTTTTTATTGTAATAAAATAATAAAGGCGAGGAACATACATACAACACCAGGTCAAGTTTCAAGATTTTATTGGCTACTAGTTTCCAGTTATATAATACTCTTCATACGGCATATCCTTCTTCCTTATAGTTTTAAAAAACAATAATTATAATTATTCAATTTTGGTGATTTACTGGATGTTGTATACAGCTGAAATTTAGTCAGTCTTTAAATGTTAAGAAGATGTTAGGTTATACCTAGGAAAGTGTTGATGTTTGCATTGCATATTTTTCCAATTGTTTACATTTCACACATTTTAGTGAACTGTATCAAAATCTGACCAAGAATTCACATAATAAAACATAGACCAATGCCTTAAGACAATAATTTTACTGCTAATTTCTGAACTGATTTAAGTGTAATACATATCTTTTGTTTGATATTTTTAGCTGGTGTTTACTGTATGGAAGCAAAGGGTCACTTTAGTTTCTGGGATGCCTATGCAGATGTACAAGGTTTTATAGCTTACCTAGGTCCTGATCAGTGTGGATTGTATGAATGTAATGTTTTAACATACATCAACATGTGTGACATCAGTGGAGTACCTACACAAGATGCCCTCAAAGTTTTGTGATTATTTGAAATGTGGCACCAGTTAAAATATATACACAAGATGCCCTGAAAGTTTTGTGATTATTTGAAATGAGACACCAGGTAAAATATATACACAAGATGACCTGAAAGTTTTGTGATTATTTGAAATGTGACACCAGTTAAAATATATACACAAGATGCCCTGAAAGTTTTGTGATTATTTGAAATGAGACACCAGGTAAAATATATACACAAGATGACCTGAAAGTTTTGTGATTATTTGAAATGAGGCACCAGTTAAAATATATAGTAACACAAGATGCCCTCAAAGTTTTGTGAACATTTGAATTGTGACACCAGTTAAAATATATAGTAACACAAGATGCCCTCAAAGTTTTGTGAACATTTGAATTGTGACACCAGTTAAAATATATAGTAATAACAAAATGCCCTCAAAGTTTTGTGAACATTTGAAATGTGACACCAGTTAAAATATATAGTAACACACGTTGCCCTGAAAGTTTTGTGATTATTTGAAATGTGTTACCAGTTAAAATATATAGTAACACACGTTGCCCTGAAAGTTTTGTGATTATTTGAAATGTGACGCCAGTTAAAATATATAGTAACACAAGTTGCCCGTAAAGTTTTGTGAACATTTGAATTGTGACACCAGTTAAAATATATAGTATCACAAGATGCCCTCAAAGTTTTGTGAACATTTGAATTGTGACACCAGTTAAAATATATAGTAACACAAGATGCCCTCAAAGTTTTGTGAACATTTAAAATGTGACACCAGTTAAAATATATAGTAACACACGTTGCCCTGAAAGTTTTGTGATTATTTGAAATGTGACACCAGGTAAAATATATACACAAGATGACCTGAAAGTTTTGTGATTATTTGAAATGAGGCACCAGTTAAAATATATAGTAACACAAGATGTCCTCAAATTTTTGTGAACATTTGAATTGTGACACCAGTTAAAATATATAGTAACACAAGATGCCCTCAAAGTTTTGTGAACATTTGAAATGTGACACCAGTTAAAATATATAGTAACACACGTTGCCCTGAAAGTTTTGTGATTATTTGAAATGTGGCACCAGTTAAAATATATAGTAACACAAGTTGCCCTGAAAGTTTTGTGATTATTTGAAATGTGACGCCAGTTAAAATATATAGTAACACAAGTTGCCCTGAAAGTTTTGTGAACATTTGAATTGTGACACCAGTTAAAAAATATAGTATCACAAGATGCCCTCAAAGTTTTGGGAACATTTGAATTGTGACACCAGTTAAAATATATAGTAACACAAGATGCCCTCAAAGTTTTGTGAACATTTGAAATGTGACACCAGTTAAAATATATAGTAACACACGTTGCCCTCAAAGTTTTGTGATTATTTGAAATGTGGCACCAGTTAAAATATATAGTAACACAAGTTGCCCTGAATTGTGACACCAGTTAAAATATATAGTAACACAAGATGCCCTCAAAGTTTTGTGAACATTTGAAATGTGGCACCAGTTAAAATATATAGTAACACAAGTTGCCCTGAAAGTTTTGTGATTATTTGAAATGTGGCACCAGTTAAAATATATAGTAACACAAGATGCCCTGAAAGTTTTGTGACATTTGAAATGTGACACCAGTTAAAATATGTAGTAACACAAGATGCCCTCAAAGTTTTGTGAACATTTGAAATGTGACACCAGTTAAAATATTTAGAAACACAAGATGCCCTGAAAGTTGTGAATATTTGAAATATGACATCAGTTGAAATATGTACACAAGATGCACTTATTGTTTTGTTAACAATTGAAATATGACACTGGTTGAATACATACACAAGCTGCCCTGAAAGTTGTGAATATTTGAAATGTTACACCATACATAATATTTGAAATATGACATCAGTTGTAATACGTTCACAAGATGCCCTAAAAAGTTTTGTGGGTATCTCAAAAGTGAAATGTGACACCGGTTGAAATATATATACAGAATGCCCTGAAAGTTGTGTAAATATTTGAAATACAAATGTATGTAATTAAACATCTGTATGGAATAATGATCTATCAACATTGTGCCAGTATTTGAAATGCTACTTTTACTGAATCCATATTAACTACAATTTAATGTAAATTTTTAAATGTTTATCAGTGATAAAAGATGAAGTGTATGAAAATTTGAATTGTCAACTCAATGGATTATTTTTGAATAAGTTATGTTGTATAAAATTAAAATTTAAAATGTGACCTGTACACAGTATATAAAGGTAGTTTTTAGCTTACTTTGTCTTAAATGTCAAAGTGGGCATTTGTGATAGAATGTTGACCATCAATGCATTAACATTCACTCTTTCCCTCACTAGCATTTTAAAGCAGCTTTCAGCTTTTATTTTATGTTGGAAAAACAATTCTGTGTTGTTTCAAACCTGAGTATGTCAGTTACTTTATCTTTGGTAAAGTGTATCATATTACTGTTAAGCCTTCTTCAAAACATTGTCCTGAGAGCTATTTATAGCGGGTCAGTGATGTCCGTTTTTAAAAATAGAAGATTGGAAACGAATCGTCTGCTTTATTAATTTACATATAGAGAGCAGTTAGAACTTGCTATATAAATGTCAGTTTCAATATATATTCTTTTTATATGTCACTTTTTAATTTTTTTTATAAACATAACTTTATATGATATCTTGTGCAGCAATTGATTGTAGTATAAAAAGACTTACCAAACATAAAACTTTTTTACCTGGAAATGCAACCAGTTGACTTGTGTGTTTATTACTTTCTTAATTGTCATTGTTTACAAAATAAAACATCACAACATTTTAAACTGCAGAAGGAAAATGGTGCAAAGACTTTATTAAATGTTTTTTGCAAGGCAAGGCATGTATGAATCATTTAGTTCCAAATAAATGTATGCGTCTGTTGTGAAATTTTAAATTTTGAGGATATTTTATTTCAAAAACACACAAACCACCGTGTGGGATAGAAGCTTTACAGGTATTCACTTTGTTGACTATCAAGTTATATACTTGCAATCATGTGACTGAAATGTGACATGTATGGAAGGTGTCTTAAAGCTACATCATAACATGCCTCCAGATGAGTCAACATATGTCAATAAAATCAAACTTGAGAAAAATGTACGAAGATGTAAGGAAAAGTAAAACAGTTCTAAGCTTCAAGTAATATTTTACGTTTTATGTGCGATTAATGACCGATTTTCACTATTTGCAACTATATTTCTACTGGGTTACTAACGCAGTAAAGGCTATTTATGCATATTTTGACCACTTTTTGGTAATTTACGTGGTTTGTAAGTGCCATTGATAATGTGCAAATTGCTTCTTTTTGGTTACTTCACAATATTATACAATTACATTTTCAAAATTTTCATAAAAATTTGCATGAATCTGGAGGCGTGCTGCTTTAATTACATAAATCAAAAAGTTGGTGGTTAAAAGAAAATAAACATAGCTGTACATAATTGTCATATTATTGTTAGAGAATTGTTGTTTGTGAAATGTGTGTCTGTAAACAATGAAAAGTATGTCACAATTGGATAATGTAATAATATTGTTATTTTAAATGTGATGTAACACACAAGCTGTGAGTAATAAAAAGTATTGATACTGTTGTTAAGTAATAAATTTGAAACATTGATGATTATTTGACAGTGGAGTAAAATAATGTAACAGTCATTTAAATGTTGTTGTTTTCATCTTATCTTCACAGGAATGTTCCTTGGTTAGTCACCTTTGAAAAGTTCAAAGAATTGAATTCCATGTAGCACTCTGGTTGCCATGGCAACGCAAAGAAAAATCTTGAAAACTCTGATAAGATAGCCAAAGAGCCAGAGCTTAGATATTTAGCATAAAACATCTTCAAGTGGGTGTCTATTAAGTTTATTTAAATAAAAGCCATGGTCAAAATTTGCCAGTCACCAGGGGTCATTGATTTTCCTTGTATGTATATAGAAAAAAACGCAAACAAAAAATCTGATGTTATACTATAGAGGCTTTAGCTTAGATATTTTGTATAAAACATTGTCTGGTGGACCTCTACAAAAATTGTTCAAATTGTCCCTTGGGCCTAAATTGATACCACCTGGGGGAACAATATAGTAAAAACTTAAAAACAATTTCTTCTCTCAAACTACAAGAGCTAAAGCTTAGTGTTTTTTACACAAAACCTTATCTAGTAGACCTTGACTAAGTTTGTTCAATTGATGGGTCAAAATTGGCCCGAGGGAGTCATGACTTTTCTTTATATAGTAAATACTTGAAAACTGTATGATATTTAACATAGTCAGGTGAACCTAAACAAAAATTAATCAAATAACAGCCCTGGGGCCAAAACATCCATTGACCTCTATAGCAACTCTTGACTATTTCCATAGCATCTAAAGACTTCCATAGCAATCAGTGACATCCCATAACAACAAGTGACTCACATAGCAACCGCTGACTTGCAGTTGCACCCAGTGACTTTCCATTACATCCAGTGACTTGCCATAGCAACCACTGACTTTCCATAGCAACCAGTCTTCCATAGCAACCAGTGACTTCCTATAGCAACTGGTGTCTCACATAGCAATTGACTTTCCAAAACATCCATTGACTTCTATAGCATCTATTGAGTATTTTCTTAGCAAGCAAAGACTTCCACAGCAACCAGTGACTTCCCATAGCAACCGGTGACTAACATAGCAGCCATTGACTTTCAAATGCATCCAGTATATTCTATAGGTCCCAGTGACTTTCAAAGAAAAAATGTAGAGCCATTGTCTTGACACTTTTGTCGGTGTTGGTGATTTACTTCTCACTGCTACACGTTTATTGTCATTAAAGGACGCCATTTCAAAAGGGCTGATAATCCTAAAATGATCTTTTGCAAAGTTATGCCCCGTTTTCTATATTGTTTTTATTGATCTATCTAGCACTGAAAAGTGGAGCATGCTTACCGCTGACAGGTCTTGTTTTTTCATATCAAAGCAGCTGATTCTCAACTAATAATTTCATGAGATGTTGACACTCTAAAATCAATGCTCGAGATCAATTGTCAAGGAGAAAGTATACCATGGCCGAGGATTGAACCAGTGGCCCCAGGATTGCTTATCTGGTGCTCTTCCTCTTGTGCTAAGTAGGCTGACATTATTAAAGATGTAGAACAGACTTTATTACATGCTTTTCGGTCGTTTATAGAAAACCTATTATGGCAAATGAAAATTATTAACTAAAAGCCTAATAATTTCTTCAACTGTTTAAAACAGTTAAAATTTCAACTTTTGATTATTTCTAAAGCCCAAACGTTGTTTCAGGTTGAAATTTTCCAGCAATCACCTGCACAAATACTTGGAAAAACGCAACTTAATAATGTGACGTTGTATTATCATTTGGTGCCCTTTTCATTTAGTATTAGGTTAAAATGTCTTTTTGGACGTTTCTTTGCATAATTATAATAAATAGAAAATTTGTTTTGTTTAGCGTTAGTTCGAAATATATGTTTTACCTTCGTGAACACCAAAAGTTCAATTATACCTTTTGGTGCTCACTCTGTGAAACATATTCCATTCTTACACTGAACTCAACAAATATCCTCTATATAATTAATAAACATTACAGGCCCACTTACTCCATTATCTGACAAGACTGCTTTTTATACAGATTACATTTATATATAAGTTTTGTTTCTTTTCTCCAAACGGTTCAACAGATTATATAAAGTCTTGCACTATTTTTGCTACCTAATAGTCTCTGTGAAAAAATGCTGTTACTGATGTAAACAGGTAGACTCTCTTCCGACATAAAGTCATCTGCCAACAGTGAAATTCATCAGGTATATGTATAAACAAAATGGAATACAAAAGACATGTGCAACTGTTTTTTCTTTTATTGAACATAGACTTGGAGTCCAAAAAGAGTCAAACAAACAACACTTTCTTGCCTAGTTAATCATTTAATTGAACTAATTGAGTAAGCTGTAATAGGTAAATAGTACTAACACAAATTGCATATGAGTCGCGTCACAACAAAACCAACATAGTGTGTTTGCGACCAGCATGGATCCAGACCAGTCTGATCAGGATCCATGCTGTTCGCTTACCAACCCTTTTACAAGGTGAGAAACTGATAGCGAACAGCATGGATCCTGATCAGACTGCGCAGGCTGGTCTGGATCCATGCTGGTCTCAAACGCACTATGTTGGTTTTGTCATGACACAGCTCATATGTAGAAAGGCACTAGCACTAGCATGAAACAATCCATTTCTTTACAAAGACCAGTTTCTGGTTGAATATTGATTATGTACAACTAGTAAAATTATGAGTTGTAATCATTTGGAATGGGGAAATGAAATTCCAACAAATATTATATAGATGGTAGTCAATCTACATAACAATCCTTAACAAAAAGCAATTTACTTGAAATAATTTCAATAACAGACATGTACTGTAACCCAATTTATATTCGCGGATACAAATTTTCGCGTTTTGCCGAGGTCGGACATATTCGCGAATATTAATTTCTGCGTTTTCTTGATTTCCGAAAAAAAAAAATTCGTGGATTGGAAAGTCCGATGGGGCCGTCAAATCCATAAGCCGACTATTAATCTTCAATAATTGAGGTCATTATTGGTGTCTTAAATGGGATTAACAATACGCTAGCCTTATATTGTATTGGTAAGTGAATTGTGATCACAATTCAGCAAAACATTTTCTCTATATATGTACATGTACGCATCGTTCGTCTTCTTTTCTAAACATGTCGTTAAAAGGGTGGTTGATAAAAAATAAACCCTCAGAATGCAGGGATGTTAACTGAACTATACAGACTGTTTAGTTTGACGGGTAAAAATCGATACTAGTATGAAACCATCTTGTATTTCACTGTTTGTAAGTATGTACACCCAATACCCTTTTGTGATGCTTGTGATAGGTTTATACCATCTTTGTAACAATTCACTTAAACAATTATTTTATAGGATCAAAAAAACAATAGCCTTTTGTGATGCTCGATAGTTTTCCCACTTTTGTCAAACGATTTATTCAAATAGTACCTTATACGGAACGTGATTGACAATAGGCCTACTAGTATTTCATAAACTGTATTAAAATGTGGATGTTTATTTTGATTGCTATATTGACATAGAGTTCTTTTGATATTTATAAAATAGTAGTAGTTTACTTAGTTTGTGTTTTTATTGCTTTATGGCAATATTCATAACAATTCATTACTTCCTAAGAGGTGCCCGTAAAATTCGAATATATCCGGTCAAGTAGCTTTGCATGAACGTCTAAAATAAAAATTTCTCTCTAATTTATTTGTGAAATCGTGCGGACTTATTCGCGCAAACAAATATTCGCGCTTCGTGGCCATCCGCGAATATTAATTGGTCGCGAATATTCGTTGGGTTACAGTATTATAAATCATGTTTTAACATGTTAAAAAATCTCACTTTAGATGAGGAAAGGAGAATTTATTCTAGTGCAAGTTCATTTAAATTGATTAATTATGTTGGCTCATTCATCCAGTATGACATTGAAATGCATGGCAAAAATGTAAATAAACCTACTGGAACCAAGTCTGATAAGCCTTTTCCACCAGTATAGAGAAATGTTAGCCAGTCTGACCAGGTCTATACAAATTTGGTAGCCAAACTTTTATATTTTGATAGTGAATTTTCTTTTGATAGTGAAATCTGTTTAACTTTGAATGATCTGTTTTAAAATTCAACACAGGGCTAATCTTTTTGGTAAAACACCAATTCAGCGATGTAAAGATTTTAACAACCCTTTAACATTTTGATCACAACCATAAAATCATTGTAATTTTAAAATCTGGATGTAAGCTAAAACATATATTGTTTAAATAACTGGTTAAAAATAATCTTATTTAAAAAAACCCAAAAAAACATCAACAAAAAGATTGTTTTTAATGCAATCATGTATCAGTAATCTGAAACTCAAGTATAGGTTGCATTTATTAATACACAATTTAATTTTGAGCATTGGCAATGTTAATGACAAGAATATTGTTTTTTGATTTTGTTTAACAACATGTATAAAAGGTGTACTTTTAGCTGTTTTACACAAGCACAAATTGCATTGATATTCAACTATCCCTTTTAAATGTAAACAATGAAAATCTATGATAATGATTTATATCAAGAAGTCAGTGACGATACATTATGCATAAACCAAACTATGTTGAAAACAGAGTTGTCACAATCTTTTGATCGTTCTTTGTTAGTTTACAATTACTGTACAAGCAAGTGGCTGTACCTTGCTAAGAAATTATTAAAGGGACTCCCCTGAGTTTTTTTGACTTGACAAGACTGAATTGATTTATTGAGATTAATTTTCTATTTGATGTAGGTAACTGTGAAAAATGGCACAAAACAAAAAAGCATTGCAATGTTTTTCACTCGAATACAGCTAAGAAAAGTAGAAAAATAAAACTTTCAATTCATTTCTGAGTATATCTTTATTATCTTTTGCATATCACTCTGTTTTAAGTGTCCCTGTTGATATATGAGAGAAATTCAAATTTTATGTCTTTAGGCTTTTGGACCTCAGTGGAGTTCCTTTAAAACCTACTAAGTTCACTTTCTTTTATAGCAGTGTTTACAATATAACTTATTCTAGATAAAACTATAATTTACTACACTTGTGTTTTTTTTTATTGATTGAATACTTGCTCACGTTCTTTTAAAGTTGGAATAACTTTAGATTTAATTTTTATTTAATTGACCAATGAGATTGCTGCTGCTGTTTTCTCTACATAAAAGCACTATTGAAGTAGAAATGTTGTCTATAATGCACACAGAAATTCGGCATCTAGTGAAGGCACCGCTTCCATCACAACACCAATCCTGAAAATATAAAAATGTTATAGAATCATCTTCCCTCTATGATTGCTGCTGCCTCCAGTAATATTTAAGTCTAATAAATCTTTACACTGTTGCCTCCATGTTGTGGCACGTTTCATGCACTTTTCAAGGACTCTTACCCACTTAATTTTTTTTCATTTTTAAGCACTTTTCAAGAAGGAAGCTCAAATTTAAGCAATTTTTTAGACTGTATGAACTCTTCTGATAGATATTTCTATAACAGTTCAAATTTCAAACCATTTAATTTCCAGAATCACAAATTAAGCACAACTCTAGCAATATAGAGGGGAAGTAGATAAGATGTATATAAAAGATACTTTCCCTTAGAGTTTTAAAATTTAATCTACTTAGTTCAGATCAGTTGGATACTTATCAGAATCGAAACGGCTAGGTAATTTACTAATTCAGACATTTGGTAAAACATTGTTATGAAGTAGAAAGGGTGGTTTCTTCAAACAAAGTTATTATTTAAGTAACTGGTAAGGATAAATCAATCAGCATAATGTACATATATCATAATAACATTCACTCAATCTCTCAAGGTGACCTTCACTGATTCACACTTAAAAGTAAAGATGTCTTGTCATTGCATTTGAACTTATTAGTGACTTTGTTGGAATATCATGTACAAGTGTTTGGTTTTGGAAATATTTTATCTCTCTAAAGTTATACATCCATTTGATTTTATTTATATTACAAGTTTACCTTCATTTGTATGCAACTTTAAAATTGTTTTACTCATATATAGGTATTTCGTCTGACATATTTTCTTTAAAAATATATTCTCTCACTATTAAAATTAAAAGACCACCCTCAAACTGAAAGTTGAATAAATCCATAACTGTTAATTCAGCCATATAAATGATATTGAAGACTGCAGACTTACTCTTTAAAAGCTGTAACAACCTCTGTCACCTTGGATGGATTACAACAGACTGCCCTTCTTGCTTCTTTCTCGTTGAATAACTTAGCAATGTACTTGTCACCAACTCTTTTCAGGTCATTTAACGTCACCATTGATATCAGCTTTAGCAAATCTCTGTACAAAGAAAAAAAATGTGTGTTATTGTCTTGAATTATTCTGATAATTATTCTGTTACTTTGTATGAATAACAAAACACTTTCATTTTGCTACTTTACGCTGTATTCACATGATAAACATCAAACATGTTCTACATCCGTAATAAAAACATTATAAAACACTGGATTGTTTTTAAATTGGAGAAAAAAAATCTTATTATTTTCAGACGCTTAATGTGCCTTTAACATTTTGAGCAAAAATTACTAATGCTACAACTACACACCAGATGGTACATCCATGAAAACTATAAATACTGGCTAAGACTTAAATTTGTCATTTTGATTGATTTTTTAAATTAACCATAGATTGTTCACAATTTAAAGTGAAACCAGCCCATAAAATGAAACAATTAGATTAGGAAATAGAAAGATCATCAGAACAAAAAGGCTATCTGATTTGTACGAGTGGGTGTTATCTCTTTCCATTTCGTCACAATAAGTTAACCCCTGAAAAAAATGAGCCAATTAACAAGCATGCTCTTGACAGTAACTTATACCTGCACTCCATCCAGTTAACACACTGTGCATGTATTGGTATACAATTTAACACGTTTTCAATAATAAAGTCACCAAGCTATGATACAATGTTTAGTTTAACAACACCTGTACTTACTTGTTATATGTGTGTGGTACACCTTTAAAGTAGGACAACAGTGATTGGGTTGATACATCAGATACTGTCGTCTCCTTCTCAATTACTTCAAAAGTAAGACTACTCTTGGCTGACTCTAACTCTATATCATTCAGTTCTGTCTTACCATTTACATAATTCATCTACAATACACATATACATCTTGGTTTTATTAGTATATAGGGTTGGGATATAAGTCAAATCAGCACTGTAAAGGTTAAATTGAGACTTTCAAGTTTAACTGGTGAAGGAAGTCTTCAGGTGCCCCTCTGTGTGTTTTTCAGTAAAGAGAAAGATACCTGTGTAGAACAGCAAACTTATAAGATAGGAAATACATATCTAAACAAAACATTGCTACAAAATGTTAAACACACCATAGAGATCATAAAAAATATTGTTAAATACAAAATGCAACATTTTTTTCAGAATGTTTACAATTCTTTATGAACAAGAATAATATTTTAGCAGTCACTGATAAAACCACAACAGATAGGCCAAAGACTGTGTATCAATGCACATTTATTATTTTACCAATTAAGATTTCTCACGAAAGAACTACATGTAGCTGTCTTTTTAATCAATACAATATAATAGCTAGGTAGAACAATTGTACTCTGAAATAAAAATGATATAAATTGAGACTTGTTCTTTTAATGGTTTAAATTTGTAAAAAAAGGCATCTCTTTGAATATAAAATCAACTTTCAGAATGGTACTTGACATATAGACAGGCATGTTCTGTCAGAAAAGCACCTATTTCTATTGAGGGGTATTTATTCCCATAGAAATGAGACTTCTAGTTGTTTTTGCAAATTTTATTGAGGGATTTTGGCCACCTTAATTCGAGGTGTTTTTTTATTAGTATTTCTATGAATCAGCTGACATACTGGTGTCTAGATGCCATAAGAATGTGATCAGTGTAATAATGATAGAGAATGAAAGATTAACTTACCACAATATCTTGACCTTCCTTGTATGCCCTCACTATATGAGTAGATTTTGCTAACAGAAAATACAGTAACCCAGACTCTGGCAGAACATACATACTGAAAAAATAAAAATATTGATAAACTAGAACTGCCACTGTCTTAGAAAATTTACATAAACAAAGGGCTAAGATTGCCTTAGATCGCTCACCTGACCCATCAAACTCATCCAAGCAATTACCTTGACAGGCATTCAGACCAAGTTTCATGACAGTTGAGTCAAAAATGTGACCTCTAGAGTGTTAAACAAGGTTTTTCCGTATTTTAGCAGTTTGACCTAGTTTTGACTCCAGGTGACCCATATTCGAACCTAACCTAGAAATGATCAAAACAAACTTTCAGACCAATTTCCAGGATATTTCGATTAAAACAGTAGCCACTAGAATGTGAACAAGATTTTTCTATTTTTAGCTCCTTTGACCTAGTTTTTCATCCGAGATGACCCATGTTCAATATCGTCCTACCAATTACCTAGACAAGCATCCTGACCAAGTTTGATGATGATTGAGGGAAAAATGTGACCGCTAAGAGTGTAAACGAACAAATGTGGACGGACGACGGACATTCAACGATCCTAAAAGCTCACCCTGAGCAAAGCTCAGGTGAGCTAAAAAAAACAACAACAAAAACCAAGTAAAAAACTATGCAATTTTTCTTTTAATTAATTTTAAGAAATAATACATTTCTCTCCTATGCAATTAATTCATATGTGAAGTTTCAAGTTGATACCTTCTAATACATTTTGAGTAATGCTCCAGACAGAAATTAACTATAAAAACTAGAACTGCCACTATCATGGCATGAATACCCCCGCATACCACTTTGTCAGAATCAACAGTGGCCATTTAGAGCTCAAGGACAACCTCCCTGCCAAATCTGAGGTTACTAAGCCAGTGCATTGCTAAGTTATGTATTCTACATGCTTCATATGTGAAAATGTCAAAATCAATACACTGCGGATAGGCATTCTTTAGCAATTGAGAAGAAAAGCTTCAAGGTCCCTTTGACCTTGACCTTTGACCCAGTGCCCTCAAAATCAATAGGGGTCACCTTATGGTCATGATCAACATCCATGCCAAATATGAAGACTGTGGGTCAAAGGAATCTTAAGTTAATGGGTGGACAAACTTTTTGAAGTCAAAGTTCCTGTGACCTTGACCTTTGATCCAGTGACCTCAAAAAAGGGGTCATCTACTAATCATGACTAACCTCCATTCCAAATATGAAGACTGTGGGTCAAAGGAATCTTAAGTTATTGGGCGGACAAGCTTTTTGAAGTCAAGGCCCCTGTGACGTTGACCTTTGACCTGGTGACCTCAAAATCAATAGGGGTCATCTACTAATCATGACTAACCTCCATGCCAAATATGAAGACTGTGGGTCAAAGGAATCTAAAGTTATTGGGCGGACAAGCTTTTTGAAGTCAAGGCCCCTGTGACTTTGACCTGGTGACCTCAAAGTCAATAGGGATCATCTACTAATCATGACTAACCTCCATGCTAAATATGAAGACTGTGGGTCAAAGGAATCTTAAGTTATTGGGCAGACAAGCTTTTTGAAGTCAAGGCCCCTTTGACCTGGTGACCTCAAAGTCAATAGGGGTCATCTACTAATCATGACTAACCTCCATGCCAAATATGAAGACTGTGGGTCAAAGGAATCTTAAGTTAGTGGGCGGACAAGCTTTTTGAAGTCACGGCCCCTGTGACTTTGACCTTTGACCTGGTGACCTCAAAATCAATAGGGGTCATCTACTAATCATGACTAACCTCCATGACAAATATGAAGACTGTGGGTCAAAGGAATCTTAAGTTATTGGGCGGACAAGCTTTTTGAAGTCACGGCCCCTGTGACCTTGACCTTTGACCTCAAAATCAATAGGGGTCATCTACTAATCATGACTAACCTCCATGCCAAATATGAAGATTGTAGGTCAAAGGAATCTTAAGTTATTGGGCGGACAAGCTTTTTGAAGTCAAGGCCACTGTGACCTTGACCTTTGACCTGGTGACCTCAAAATCAATAGGCGTCATCTACTAATCATGACTAACCTCCATGCCAAATATGAAGACTAAGGGTCAAAGGAATCTTAAGTTATTGGGCGGAAAAGAAAAAACCGACGGACAGCCAGCCGGACAATCTGATTCCAGTATACCCCCCTTACAACTTTGTTGTGCGGGGGTATAATAACTAACATATGGTGAGAATACCAAAAGGATGCAAAAGAGAATTATGATAAACAAACTCTACACTTCACAACAATCAGATGTATCTATCTATGAAGTTTAAGTTCAAACCTACATTACTTTTTCAGGTATGCTCTTGACAAATAAAATGTGAAAATTATAATGTGCATATTTATCTAAAACTATGCAAAAGGAAGTTATGGTTAATCAACACTGAAGATCAGGTAATTGTGTAAGATCTACTACAATAATATACCTGTAATGATAGGCTAGTCCAAGACCTCTGATTTGTCGCCACATTGGCCCCTCTAACTGTGTCAGATACTGTATGAATACCATTATAGCAGCCAAATCTTCATCAACAGGTGATTTCACACAATCTACAGCCTGTTATATATATGTTGTTGTCTATCAGTCATAATCAGTAAGTCAGGTGTAAACAAACAAGAGTGATCAGAGGACATCAGACTTAATTATTTTAATACTGGACAGTATGGAAACACATACAATGTACAAAACTCTTCTTCTTATAACACAAGCAATGCATGCAGTGTTAACTCTTGTCTGTTAAAATAACCACTTTTGACAAAAATTCTAAGTTAAACAAGAGGGCCATGATGGCCCTTAGTCGCTCACCAGAAACAACTGTTTTTTAGTGTTAGAAAGCTCAACTTTAACTTGCCCATGTAGCTATATACTTTCACAACAGTGATTGTTTTTTTCCTTCATAATAAACCATATGGCCAAGATGACCCTAGATCACTCATATGGCCCACCATTCATTGTCCACTTTATAAACTGAAATATTTTCTAATATTTTGGAAAGGCTTTATTAAAAATATTTATGTTGCAAGTGTATTCCTATGAGACTATGTAGAATAAATGCAGAATAATTGACCAATAGAGCAGGGGTAATTTTGATAGGACTTTTTTCATAACTTTTGTGAATGAATACACAAAATGTCACATGCAAAATATGTAAGGTGAAGATGTTTGAAATAACAATGTTTTTATACATTCTATATGTTAATATAACTGTACCTAAAATGACAATAGGTAAAACAATGTAAAAAATATCAAAAGAAGGTCAGCTGATATCAAAATTCAATTCAGCATCACAAATTACACCCCTTGTCCAAATTACAAGTCTGTATGTCAATAAACAAGAAAGTAGGTCAAATGATATCAAAGAAATCAAAACAGGTCAGCTGATATGAAAATTCAATTCAGCATCAGAAATTACACCCCTTGTCCAAATATCAAGTCTATACATAAAAAATCACATAAGTGATACCTGATATCTCAACTGATATCAACTTTCACCTATGCACATGAAACATCAGGTTCAACAATGTCTCCCAAAATTAATTGAAATGTGCTTTCTCCAAGTTTGAATCAAATTCAATAAAGATTGAAAAAATTAAAACAATTTTTCACAAAATTTAATATAAACAAGAGCGATCAGTAATCACATGTGTCGCCTCATAATGGCCAATTTCATGTTGGGACAAATTTTGTGACAGACGGACAGTGCACAACTAGACTAAGTACTGATCAATCATGTAAAGTTTGGATAAAATTGCACCAGTAGCTTATGAGGAGTAGTCCGGACAAGCTTTTGTGTATCTGGCAACACACAGAAAAAACACCTTTTTATCAAAGGGCCATAACTCAGCCAAAAATCATTCAACCGGAAAACCCGTGCAATATGCGCAAGGACTTGAGCTACAGATCAATCCTGTAAAGTTTCATTGAAATTGCATAAGTGGTATAAGAGAACTAGTCCGGACAAACTTTAAAAATAAAAATTATTAAAGGGCCATAACTCTGACAAAAATCATTGAACCGGAAAATGCTGACAATATGCAAAACTAGACTTGGTACTGATCATTCCTGTAAAGTTTGGATGAAATTGCACCTGTAGTTTATGAGGAGTAGTCTGGACAAGCTATTGTGTATCTGGCAACACACAGAAAAAAACACCTTTTTATCAAAGGGCCATAACTCGGCCAAAAATCATTCAACAGGAAAACCCTTGCAATATGCGCAAGGACTTGAGCTACAGATCAATCCTGTAAAGTTTCATTGAAATTGCATTAGTGGTATAAGAGAAGTAGTCCGGACAAACTTTAAAATTAAAAATTATTAAAGGGCCATAACTCTGACAAAAATCATTGAACCGGAAAATGCTGACAATATGCACAACTAGACTTGATACTGATCATTCCTGTAAAGTTTGGATGAAATTGCACCAGTAGTTTATGAGGGGTAGTCCGGACAAGTTTTGTGACGGACGGACGGACAGACAGACAGACAGACGGACAGACAGACGACGGAGAAGTGATCCCTATATGTTGCCACTACTCCGTAGAGGCGACACAAAAATGATCATACAAACTCATCTTGGTTATTATAAGTGCAGAAAACAAAATCTTTCTTTTGGCCTAATTTTATTTCCTGGGGAAAAATTCTGTACACTGACCTACCAATGACCCTATAGACAGTTTCTGATGCAATCAGTGTCTTAACAAGATTGCATTTGTGAAAAAAATCAGAACATTATTTTTTCTTTACCATTGAACTTTGCCATAGTGCATCAGTCTAGTGCGTTTTGGGATCAGGGTTTTTTATTTTAGCATGTAAAATGAATAACTATGTGCAGATATGTTTACAGTTCAGATACAAAGCATAATAATTGATTCAATGTGAAAGTATTCAAACTTGAAAAAAAATATAAGCATTTACTGTATTACATAGCTGTATACTACCTTTTCAATTAAGTATTACCTATTTCTGAAAACATTTATGATAAATCATCACTATAAATTTTGTTGTTAATCATTATGTTCAAGTGATATTGTAAATCTTCCCATAGGTCATGACCTCAAATAATTTCATCAGCAAACAGCTTAGAATAATTGCATAACAGATCACATTTATGAAAGACATTCCAACATAGGTTGTTTGCCTTTCATCAAATTTCACATTTGATCATACTTATACTTGCTACACAGTCTCTTTGTAAATATAAAATAAACATGTTTCAACTTCACACAAAGCTGTGTTTTAAATTCTACAAACTAAAGGAGGTTACAATATGAATATATAGTGTCATTAAAAAACTGGCACTTATTTTTTAAGAAAAGACCAATTTTACTAGAACCATAATAGGGCACACAGCTTCCAATAGATAATTATACATTCTTTTGTTCAAATTGGAAATACTTGATAAAAATTACATACATTTCAATAAAGTTATGTGATGAAAATATTTTACCCAAGGATGAGCATAGTATATCTTTAAACTATAATTTGAAGAAATGCCATGGCCTGGGGCATTTTAGCTAATCTAATTAATATGAGAAAATTTGATAGAAGACAACATAAACTCGCTACAGACAAAGTTTGCCGATCATCAATCTTTTACTTCCGTACAAGATAATGTTTAAAGACTTATCTATTTTTAGCTCTAGAAGCCCTTAAAAGGGGCAAATCAAATTAATATGAGCAAATTTGATTAAAGACTACATAAGAATGCTACAGACAAAGTTTGGTGATCATCCATCTATCAGGTCTGTAGGAGATGTTTTAAGGTATTTTTTTATTTTTAGCTCTAGGAGCCCCTAAAAGGGGCAAATCAAATTAATATTAGTTAACTTGATACAAAGCTACCTATGAATGCTAAAGACAAAATTTGGTGATCATCCATCCATTAGTTTTGTAGAAAGAGACCTTTAAAGGTTTTTTCTAATTTTAGCTATAGCGGGGCCAATCAAATTAATATTAGCAAACTTGATAAAAGGCTACCTGTGAATGCTACAGACAAAGTTTGGTGATGATCTATCATTTACTTTAGCAGAAGAAGGTGTTTAAAGGTTTTTCTATTTTTAGCTTAAGTGGCCCCTATAAGGGGCCAATCAAATTCATATGAGCAAACTTGATAAAAGATTACCCAATAATGCTACAGACAAAGTTTGGTGATCATCCATCCATTAGTTCTGTAGAAAGAGACGTTTAAAGATATTTCTATTTTTAGCTTTAGCAGCCCCTAAAAGGGGCCAATAAAATTAAGATGAGCAAACTTGATAAAAGACTACCCAAGAATGCTACAGACAAAGTTTGGTGATCTTCCATCAATTAGTTGTGTAGGAGAAGATGTTTAAAGGTTTTTCTATTTTTAGCCCTAGAGACCCCTAAAAGGGGCCAATCAAATTCATATGAGCAAACTTGATAAAAGACTACCTAAGAATGCTACAGACCAAGTTTGGTGATCATCCATTAATTAGTTCTGTAGAAATAGACATTTAAAGGTTTTTCTATTTTTAGCTTTAGCGGCCCCTAAAAGGGGCCAATCAAATTAATATGAGCAAACTTGATAAAACACTACCCAAGAGTGCTACAGACAAAGTTTGGTGATCATCCATCCATTGGTTCTGTAGAAGAAGATGTTTAAAGGTTTTTCTATTTTTAGCCCTAGAGACCCCTAAAAGGGGCCAATCAAATTAATATGAGCAAACTTGATAAAAGACTACTTAAGAATGCTACAGACAAAGTTTGGTGACCATCCATCTATTAGTTCTGTAGAAGAAGATGTTTATAGGTTTTTCTATTTTTAGCTCTGCTGACCCCTAAAAGGGGCCAATTGAAATGACATGAGCAAATTCAAGTGTGACTGTCACAAGGATGCTACAGACCAAACTTGAAGTAAATCTGCCCAGCAGTTTCAGAGAAGAAGACGATTGTTGACGCATGACGACGGACAACGGAGTATCCCCCTTTGATACTAATAGCTCACCCTGAGCCTTTGGCTCACCCTGAGCCTTTGGCTCTGGTGAGCTAAAAAGGGGCATGACAATATAGCTTTCAGAGTTAGCCCCTTGTCTTACAAATCGCTCTTGTCATGATAAGCAAATATTCCAAGTTTCATATTGTTACGTTTAAATTTCTTTAAGTAATGTGCTACATTAATTTAAAGTATTTGCATGATGACAACAATGACGACCTCAACAGCTCATAAATCAAGTTTTCAATGGCAGGAAATTTGTTTGTTTGTTCTTTCCCCAACAGTATTTCAGTCATATAGGCGGGTAGTTTCCTAACCATCATTCCTGGAGAGTTACACCAGTACTAGACTACCTTCCTGGGCACTAAACTACCAAAGAATCTCCCGGGGATCAAACCCACGCCAGAGGTAACTGGATTAGAAGTCATCGACTGTAACCCTTCGACCACGAAGGTGGTTCAATAGCAGGAGAAAAATTCAGTGACACCACATATCATGATTGAATATCATCAATTGTGAATATAAATACTAGTACATGTACTACAGAAATTCTTTATTATTCCTAGATATTTCTGAAATATTTCTCTTCTTTTCTGAATGAACATTCAAAATGAGATACAATTCTTATAAATACCATTGGTGCCAATTATGTGCCCTGTTGTATTGGACGTGGATGGTTATAAATAGGGAATATTGCATGAATGTGCTATTCTAATGAATTGTATCCCTTGATTTGATAGTGAAAAGTTGCATTATCCCAAGCCCATATGGCGAGTGGGAATACACAAACCTTAACTGAATTAGAAATGAACACAAACCTAACCTGGACTAGAAATGAACATTAACCTTACCTGAACAGTTAATGAACACAAACTTTACCTGTATTAGAAATGAAGATTCTATAGAGCCAACTCCTACTACGACAGACTTGTGTTTACACTCTGACAGTGGTACTACATATTCATATGTCTTCTTCATTACACAGCTGTAACACAGAATAGAATAATCTAATGAATGAACTATTTCACCAAACTTCTTTCTGTTGTCTTGTTATTGCATTAGGCACTACATACTCAATGTCAAATAAAAAATCTGAATATATTTGTGACTGGCAGGGACTAGTGACTGAGAGGGATAGTGACAAAGTGGGTAGGTCTTGAGGAGATGCTATGCTAAGTTTACATTCTGATGAATAAAACTTCAACAATTACATGGTTTAATAACAGAGCCTGCATCTTTTAAAACATTGTTTCTTTTAACAAATAATAATAAGAATAGTTTCTAAATCAGTCATGAAAGACAAAAGAGCACTAGACTCAATGGTAGAGATCAATTGTCAAAGAGAAGTGACTCCTCATCTGAGGATCACACAAGCAACCCATGGATTACCTATCCAATACTCTCCCTATTGAGCTAAGCATACAGACGTCTTAAAAATGATTAATGTTTTTTTGTATTTAATCTATTTTTATGCATTATATATTTGATCTGACCTGTTTTCTGTAACTTGTTTGTCTTCAGGTACCAATGTTGACCACACACCGGCAGGTTTATAACCATCAGCAGATAACTTCTCCACGTCTACTGACAAATGAACGGTCAGGTTACTGGGGTTAGTTAGTAATCTACGTACCTCCTCCATTTTCTCTTCAACCTAAAAGTAAATCATGCTATTATACATTTGAGCCGTGTCACGACAAAACCAACATAATGGGTTTGCAACCAGCATGGTTCCAGACCAGCCTGCGCATCTGCGCAGTCTGATCAGGATCCATGCTGTTCGCTTACATACCCTATTACAAGTAGAGAAACTGATAGCGAACAGCATGGATCCTGATCAGACTGCGCAGATGCGACTCATTTGTTTGTTCTGTTTGTCGAGCTCATTCATTTTTGTCAAATTATATAGCATGCGTTTACATAAAACATAGTCTTCTTCTATACATGTATCAAAATGAAAATACACATACAGTCACCAGCGAATGATTGGTCATATGTCACACAATTTATTAACTTTTTCTTTAAATCCTTTTGCTATCTTTAAGGAGGATATGCCCATTCCACTATCCATACCACCTTTTAGTCGACAATACAGATATGTAACCATTCATGCAATATTATAACTGAGAATTTTCTAAAGGTCATAATTTATTCACAATCATAAGAAAATTTCTAAATTCACGAAGGGCTACAGATCAGTCAAAATCCAATAGTTATATGCCTCCAATTTTGATCACATAGATATGGAAAAGTGAATTAGTGTAGTAGTTTGAAAGTTTTATGTAGCATGGAAACTTTAACCAGGAGGCCATAATTCAATTAAAATCCATAATTGATACCATATGTGAAAAGTTGGCTTAAACCACTTCAAGCTACATATGGGGAAACAACACACAATAGATAAGAAGACTAGCATATTTACCTTTTTTGGATCAGATTCAAGTGTCTTGAGCAAATTTTCTAGGAATTTATGTTGCTTCAACATGCTGTTTACTTGATGATTGCAATCTAAAATAAAACAAGATCAATATGACTGCCATTATTTCCTGACCAGAATGAAGACACTAGAAAAGATAGCATTACCTATAGATGCTATATACCAAGTTTAATGCACTATATACCAAGATCTATCACCATTAATGATCTATTTATAGATGAATATATACTAAGCTTACAGTGCTATATACCAAGTTTATTGATGATCTATACCAAGCTACTGATAAATAGGTGCTTCATACCAGCCATTTATTCTAATGTTACAGATAATAATGCTAACAGTAAGTAATATTTCACCAGTATTAAATATTGATACAATTTGTGGGTAGTGATTTCACAATTAAGTAACTTATCCTATATAGAAAAAGCCACCTAAATATGAAGAGCTCAAAGTTAACTTTAAAAGGCAATAACTCTGTAAGATCAGGTTAAATAGTAACATTTGACAATTTACACATATATAGTTGCCAAAGTCATTTACACTATCTTTAGAGTATCAGCTGATTAAAAAAATATAACTGTGTAGGAAAACTAGTTACCTACCTTGAGAGAAAACAAGACTTCTGAAAACAGCTTTTAGTACTGCGTTTCCTTTTCGTTTATATTTACTGATGTCATTATTCATCCTCTTTGCAATGACCTTTAACCTTTCAGCAGGAAATTTAGTCTGATAGAGAATTTCTCTCAACCACTTCACACCAAGTTCATACTTTGCCTTCTCCACCTAAAATAAGGTTTAATATTGGCAAAATATAACCTTTCTACTGCAAAATCATTATTATACATGTTATATATGGGAAAGTAATTTTTGTGGTTTTCGTGGATAGGTCAATTAACAAATTTAACCTCCAATGAAATTTCACTCTGTCTGCTGTAAGATAATTTTACATCACATTATTTACATTTTACCTATTGAAAAGTAAACAGTCCACAAATTTAAGAACCCACGAAAATGTTCTTTGTGAAAAAACCACGAAATTTCATGCCAACAGAATTTAATGAATTCACAGTACTTGATAACCCCATCCCACATCTTTTTGTAAAATGGATTTGTCTAGTTATAAATTAAAAACTGCCTCTTATTACTTTCCAAGTTTAATGACCAGTGATTAAATATAAAACAGCCAGCAATATGCTAAATTTCATTATAAATGATTATTTCGTTTTGTTTTACTACACACAGCCATAACTTAGGTCATATGGTATTGAAACAAGAAAGATGATTTTGGCTAACCTCGGGTGTTACAAACTTATAGCAACACCAGGTGTCAAAACTACCTGACCTGCTAGAGTTAAAAGATGCATAGACTCCAGTTAATTGAACCTATCTGTCACCTCTTACGAACATGCAGCAATAAACAGTGGCTGCAATTCTGATGCCTCAAGCATTAAAGGCAGCCCTTCAGCCACAAGAGGGCCAAATGATTACTTTGTTATTCAAGCCAATTATATATCATTCATCTAACTATTTACATTGTACTTAGTATTTGTAATTAACTTCTAATAGCTGATGAATTTTTTTCCTATTTAGCATGGTATGGTTTAAAGAATTATAATTTTAAGGAAAATTAAGTAAATTATATTACTTTATCATTAAGGTCACCTTTCTTATCTGGAAACGTGTGAAATTTCAAAGCACTAGGCAAAGCTGTTTCTCATATAAAAAACAAGACGGTGGTCAGAAGGAAATTCGATTTGAACCTGCTTTGCTACAAGTGCTAAACGTTTTTCTTTAGTTTTATCTTATTCTAACACATTAGTTTAACAGCTGACAAATGACTGACAGCAGGAAAGATGATGTACAACAGAGGTGCATACCAATATAGTGTCACCAATATACCTGTTACCATGCCACCAATTTGTACTGTTATACCAGGATCAGAACCTAGTTCTAGTGTACAATTAAACAGTATCGTTACACTATAGCACAGAAAAAAAAACACCAAAAAAAAACAAAAAAAAAAAAAAAAAACCTGTATCTTCAGCATTACAATCTGAGGAAAACTTCCACAACTAAATTTCCCTCCATTCACTCCAATACAAGACTCTGTACTCAATGTATCAGCTTCTAACTGTGATATAATCTCCTCGTGAGACACCAAAACTATAACAAAACATAATAAATGAACATCATTTATCACTTTATCTGGAAAAATATGACCTGCTGTTAGCGAGGCATCTTTATAGTTACAGAAATTTCTGTGACATTATAAATTTTATCTACCACAAGATACTGGATTCTTTTATTTAATCATTCGTCAACAAAATTTGGTGCCTAGTTCTATCTTGTAGTACCCATTTTTGCAAGAGTTTAAGTACAGATGTTGACTTTTTTGCCATGATTTATAATGTTTTAATCTAAGAGAAACAACAAATTAAACAATAATCTTATGTATGGACATCTTATGCCCCATCATATTTCTGTTTGTTATAAAATTCCAGGAAAGATTAATTCTTGTCTTCTTAAGTTTAATTTAAAGCTCCAGCAAAGCATTAGTTCAAGTCCTTTCTGAAGTTTTACACTTATAGATCAGTCGAGTCTTTCTTAAAAAAGATCAATCCAATATTCCTAAACAAAGATCAAGCCAATTCTTCTAAACAAAGATCAGTCTAATATTCCTAAACAAAGATCAGTCCAGTAATTCTGTACAAATATTCCTAAATATAGATCTGTCTAGTATTTACTATAAAGATCAGTCCAGTATTTTCTAAACAAAGAACCGTCCAGTATGATTCCTAAATATAAACAAGTCCAGAATTTCTACAAACAACAGTTTCAATACATCTGTTATAAGACAAGTCCAATATCTTTAATAATGATAGATCAACCTCATATTTCTAGCCACAATAAAACCTTAATATCTTTAATAATGATAGATCAACCTCATATTTCTAGCCACAATAAAACCTTTCATTCCATACAAAACAAAACCAAATTATATGGTATATGATTAAATATTTACCTCCATCTCTGAGAATTGGACTCTCAAATAAAATTTCACAATAAAGTGGAAGGAAGTATTTCAGCTCTTGTGGTAAACATGTAGAGTCTAACATCACATGCATCTGTTACAGGAAATAATTCTGATGTAGTGAATAATGATTATACATGAGTGTCTTAGTGATAAATATTACATGAATACAAATCATGAAATATACACATGAAAAATTACAAGAAGAATAAAATGCTTGATTCTAATTGTTTGATATTCCAAAGCCTGAGTGACAAATAAGCATTCCATTTGGTAATAACTGTTGAAAGTACTTTTCAGAACAGGTGATACAAGGAATATGTTACTTGTAACTAATATAAATCTGAATTTCACAGATGTGATTAAAAAAATCTGTAAATAAATTTATTGTAAAAGACCACCTAAGAGTTCATTCAAGAAAACTGCAAGGTCTGGTAGATAAAAAGTGGCTTCTCATCATTCTTGCAATTTACATAAGAGAGAATTTATACCAAATATTATATAGAAAAGCTATCAATGTCTTCGTTTGTTAAAATATATTATATAAATAATTTAGGTTGTTAAACGTAAAGCTGTTCTTTCAAGACGAATGCTTTGATCACCAAGCAAATAAGCCAATATCTTAGAAAATGAACAAAATTTCATGCAATTTCAATATATAACATTTGATGCACTTTTGATGTAGTCAATTTTGGCCTGCATGCTTTATTGAAAATACTTAAATGGACACATGCATGGAAATGACATATCATGTCTTTGCAATAAAAAGGCCAATGCATTTAGAATTTTAGATGTAAAAATGGTAAGAATCCTAACTTTTTTTTGTTGGTAATCTTTGGTCGAGTTTTACACTGCATAAACACAGTATACATGTAGGTCACATGGCTACTTTCCAGTTTTACAGGTAATGGAAGACCACAGTTGGCCTTTCATTCATTATTTCAGGCACTAACTGGTACCTGAGTAGAACCACCATTGTTCCTTAAGCCTGCAGGATAGTTTCTTCACAAGAAAGAAGCCAAGTCCCTATCAGTTTTAAACCCACACCTGTGAGGGGTAAGTGTGACCGGTAAGTGGTCAATGACTTTAATCACTTGGCCATGGCCACCCCACTTTTCACCTTAATTTAATAAATATAAAGTTTAACCTGTACAAAGTTTGTATGCACATCATCCAGTTGAAATCGAAACGGTATATCATCCAATGGAAAGGCTGGATTTTTCCCATACCCAGAATCTTTTGCAGATTGCTCCACCTTCCTGTTACAGGAGGCAACTATGGGATGAAAATGGATTGAATCAACGTTTGGAACATCAACACTTGTAACCACAGAATCTGGAGCCTCTTTCTGAAAAAAGTAAACAACTCAGAGTACAAGCTTCTATATGATCCAGAGAGAAATATTTTGCAGAGGGAAATATTTTGCAGAGGGAAATATTTTGCAGAGGGAAATATTTTGCAGAGGGAAATATTTTGCAGAAACCCTGAAAAAGATATGACACCACAGGCATTGTTTTTGTACTTTTAAGTTACCCTGACATTACAATCAGTAAATAATAACACATATTTCTTCATTTAATAATATATTTAAATGTCTTAAACATAAACAAATATTATTCTTTAAATCTGGTGCCTCTTTCTGGCAAAAAGTAAAGAACTCATAATCCAAGCTCCTATTTGATACATCAGAAAATATTTTATACAAAATCCTGGAAAACATATTGTTTCTGTTATCTTAACATTATTATATGTAAATAATAACACATATTTCTTCATAATAAATTTACATGAAATATCAGCTAAACATAAACAACTATTATACTTTAACATTTAACAATTAAAGTAAGTCCTAGGTTAACTCCCTTGTGACAGCAGAATGTCAAAAGAATCATTCTTGTTTACATTGCACATTACTGTAAGGAGTGGATTTCTTTAATCATTTGACCACTGATAAGTAAACATCTAACAGAACAATAAATATCTTCTACTTTTATTGAACTGGAATGATTTAGCTGGCATTTGACATTTATAATGATGACATCATTACTAAAATTGTTGGTTTTGGATAATGATGCTATTTATAAAATAGCAGTATTGTTCCCCATCTCTTTTTAGGAATAAAGTATGCGATTACCATTAATAATCCTTTGCCTGATGGTGACAACACATTCTACCCATGTGACCGGTGCAAAACAACATCATTAGTCTACACTGTTTGCTTTTAAGTCAGTACATATTTTGCATTTTTCCCCAAAAAATGATGACAACAGATTCTACCAATGTAACCAGTTCAGAACAAGATCAGCCGGCATATCCGTCCCATCTGAACATAGTCTTCATTGTTTGCTATTCAGTCTGTGCTTATTTTGAAATTTACCTCCAAAAAATGATAAATGGTATTGTCTAGATTAAAAGATGGACTGGTCCATTTAGGATATTTAGTGTGGTAAGGGTTAAAATAAAACTATTACCTCATTCTCCTCCGTAGCTTTTTCTAGTATAGTTGCCTTCTCTTGTAATCCGTCTTTCCCCAGACGTTCCCTCTGTTTCTCTACTCTTTCATTTTCTTCTTTAGCAAGACGTTCTTGTTCTGCTATACTTGGCTCCCCAATTATCTGTATACAATATGTGCAATCAATATCCATTTCATTTTGTCTTGACAAATATAAAGGTTATCTTATAGTATAGCAGATTATACAGATGGAGGACGACAAGTTTATCATTTTGAAAAGTATTTACCAAAGCAAGATATTCATGAAGTCAGATAATCAATTTATTTATCAATTAATTTTATGATTTTTATCAAAACATGATGTTGATCAAAATGTGATGTGTATGAAATCATGTTGCAGTTAATCATTTACCAATAATATATATTATCCAAAACATGATGTTTATCACTCATTTACTTGTTTATTATTTCTGACCTGCATTTTTCCCTATTGAGCATAGAAGAACGGAAAGTGTGTGTTATTATGCAATAAAATCACAGCTTGACGTTCTAAATGTGATGTAATCATTATACACGGACGTAACCACTAGAAATGTAATACACTGAAAATAAGTACAGAAACAAATAAGGCGCAATTTAGCTTAATATCAGGTTTGGCAGCATTTATTTGTTGATGTTGTGTTAGAATCAAAATAATATATCCAAATCAGTGATTTTATCGCTTGATTAAATCAATGTTTGACATTTGGATGAGCATCATTATATAACTCAGGCTACGCCCTCGTGATATAATTCCTCGCATCCGAACAGTGATGTTATTGAGCTATAATATCACAGTTTGGGATATATTATTTCTTAAATAACATATTTAACAAAACATGATGTTTTTCAGTCAAGTACTTGCTTATAATTCAACAAAAAAAGATATTTACCAAAACATGATGTTTATCAGTCATGTACTTGTTAATCAATCCAATCCAGTATGATTCTGGTTCAGCTTTCATCTTTGTGTATAACTTAACTGTTTGTACCCGACATTCAAGCTTAAAAAAAGAAAAAAGGTTTTAAAGTTTAACTAATATTTATTTATAAAGCTAAATCAATTTTTAAAGGATTATTATAAAAAAAATGGGTTAGCAAAATATTGAAAAGATCATTAGTATCCCAAGGAACCTATGCTTATTGCTTTTTTTTTCATAATCATGTTACCATCATCAATTTCTATTCAATAAACAACTCAATGTTCCATTGTTATTTTTTATCTTTTGCAAATCAAAATCTTATGTACCAACTTTGCCTTTCACAGTAGCATCAGCCATATTTGACTTTTGCTCACAAACCATGACAGAGGAAACCTTAGTTATTGACTACATAAAGATTTCACATTGTTAATGTTACACTGACCGATGAAAATAACAAACTTAGACATATTTCTTCTAAAGTTATTGATTCAGTTATTCCATAACCTACTAAATTTGTACAATAAATTTGCCTTCTTTGAAACTGGAATGGTCCATTTGAAAATTATAAATTCCAATATCAAAAATACAAAATTTGAGCTACCATCAATATAGAGCCTTGTCAGACTACATGGATGTAACAAAGGCCAACTTCATTAAGTTAATGCAGGTTAGCAGTGAATAACAAGACATAAAAACATATGTCTCCCAAAACTATGTATGGTCACTCATGTGAAGTTTCATTGTTTAATAGAGGGCCAACGGCCCCTTACTCTATTGTTACGGAATGAACCTCTATTGTTCTCCTTTGTTCTGTTTACTGTTAGATGGCTATCCCTATTTGGTAGTGCAGAAAGACAGATGGCGAAGGCAAATACAGTAATAATCTAATACTCATAATACTGTGATACATACATCTGACTGGTTATCACTGAAGAGAAAGTCTCCAATAAGAAATGACGCCATCTTGTTGTGTGGGTTATCTTCCATCTGAATAATACAAGCATTTGTATAACTAGACACTGAACATTTGTATAACTAGTTACAGAGCATTTGTGTTATTGTATCTATTACAAGAAATTGCAGAAATGTGAAATCAAAATATTTTTTTCCAGACATTGCATTAGCACTCTGAATTTTCCATTTATCTTTAAGAAAAACAGATTTGTACAGTGTAGTGCACAATCAAGTAACAATGAACTGTACTGTAATGTGCAATAATACAGTTTAACATTTCTATGTATTGTACTTGTATGTATTGTATTTCTTTGTAAACTCTGTACCATATGAAATTTATCCAAACAAGACATTTTTAAGTACTGCCAATTATGTCACTTTGGGATGTCGCAATACAACTAATGATTTGTTATGCATTATGTCCTGAATATTGAAGGCATTTCTTCTAGCAAAAAAAACATTTCCCCCAAAAAATTATTTTCATTTTGAGGTAGGTTTTTCATATTAAGGAAGAATGAAACTTACAGAAGCTAGGGCATCTAGAACCTTTCTTTGAATCAGATTACTTATCCTGGTCATATCAATCTTCTCTAATCCATTGCTGATCTTCTTTAATACATCCTGTAACCTGTGAAAATAAAGCTCAATATATAACCTTCAAATAATAAATCATTAATTAAATATATAAGTAGCCATCAAATGTGTGAAAATCTAGTGAGCTTACCTATTTACTTTTTAGTTTAAACATTGGAAAGATTGTGGTACAAAATACTATGTTACAAGAGAGTTGTCTGTCTTTGTGGGTTAGTGAAATAATGATAGAAGTTAAACTGATAAAACTTATAAATAATAAATAAATGATACAGTAATTAAACAGGTGCTTGTGCTCACATAAAATACCATTAAATCGTATAGATTTGCAATAAATGATACAGTGATTCTGTTTACCTACCATGTAAATATTCTTATACATCAACACAAGAAGAAACATGATGATGTTATTAGTATACCAAGCTTATTTCTAAATGTGGAAAGAAAAGTACCTTGGAAAAACTGAGTCCAACTTGTTTTTGAAAACATTATCAAACTTGATGTAAATACTGCTTTCAGCGTTTTCTATCAAGTTTCCATGGACCTGTAACACAATTTAATAAAAAAATATTAAATTATATGAACAATGTCTAGCAAATTTGATCCTGGCAAAAAAAACCCCTCCCTTTTCTGTTTTGCTGTAGACTTTGATGAATTATGATCACCTCATCATAGTAAATACCATCAAAGCAAACAATCTATAGCTAAAGGTGTGTGCAATACTTTCAGATATACATAAAGGCAGAACATGTTAACTGTATAACAGAATTTAATTAAATTTTGCATGATCACAGAAACATTTTAAGCAAAAAATATAGGGGGTAACTAAGCTTATTTCCTGTTACCTTTTACTATGTATCAAGTTTTATTTAATTTTACCCATGAAATATGGTGCTATATCAGTCAAATATATTTCATATTTTTTAAAAATAAATATAAAATATAAATATGAAAGTGGGCGGAGTCAAAACTCATATTTATTTTAAGGGACTTCTTTTGCCGTTTTGTTTGAAAAATCTGATAAATACAAAACAACTTTTTCTTGAATTTTGTTTTGAAAACTATCTAGCATGATAGAAAATGGTCTAACTAAGAAAATTAATCCGAACACCAATATCTTTAATTCAGTAATTAACGCTGTACAGACGTTTAAAGAGTTGTTTACATGACGTCACAATGTAGCGCCAAACAGCGCGTGCTTACGCATAAATTACTGCGCGCTGTACAAGTGCAGTTGGTAGCAAGCAAGGGGATTCGTTACCATTTTCTTTGATAATGAAATTAAATAAAAAGGTTATTTTTTCGTTTTTCGTGAAATATGGTATATATTTTCACTCAACATGATAAAATGCCACATATTTTCACGAGCCGGTACGTTATCATGTTTCGTGAAAATATATTCCATATTTCACGCAAACGAAAAAAATCCTCTTACTATTTTTCAGGTTTACGACTATCTACGATAGCAGCAACATTAATTTAAATAATATTTTGTCATTTTCATACAAAAGCATGCTCCTTAGTTTCTGTGAAGTAGTAGAAGAACTTTCGTACATGGAACAATTCATCTTTCTGAACAGCCTTCTAACTAACAACTACAATAATTATGTGTCTGACAATTTGACAAATTACTCTTATAACAAGAGCATTTTTTCAGTCCCTATCCTCTAGTGGCATAATTGTGAACACATGTCAGAATGTAGATAATTATATGACATCTTAGTAAATGTACAAGCTTATCCAAGTAAATATGTTTATTGTCAATCAATATAGTTATTAACCCTAAAATTTTTAATTCTTGTTCTTAATGTAATAGTCCATTCATATTTCAACTAATTTCAATAAGAAAATACAAAATTTAAGCTACTAGAGCCTGGGCAGGGTTACTGATGGCACAAGGTTTATTTCTTTATATTTGAGCAGGTAATAGGATAAAGAACAAGAAGAAAGGAATTTCAACTACTTACATCAGAGCAGAATGGTTCGTCAATTTCTACAAAATCTCTCTGTAGAGGAGATATAGCAGAATCTGTGAGATAATCTAACAATAGACCAACACTGTTGAATGAGTACTGATCCTGAAAATATACATACAATAGTCATTGAAATAAACCTACAAATAGCAAATATTATATAACTACTTTAAACACTGTATCACAATAATTATATAATGTTATGGTCATGTCTGAAGAAAGTTTAATTAAAGCAGTTTATTTAATATGCAGGATAGGGTATTTTTATAGATTGACAATCAATCAGCACATGACTTAGAGAATTTATCAGCAGAATTCAGATATTTATCATTCTGTTAATAAATTTAGTAAATGTTGTCAGGTTTTTATTAAGAATCAAAACAATTTTTTTCATTCTTAGGATATCAGACTTTCCAAAACAAGGGTGCCATAGTCACAAAATACGCCCGTTTACGAAAGCTTTAGATGGAGATGGGGGGCATTATGGATAAGTGTTATCTAGCAAGCAAGTTTTTATCCTTGGCACTGTGTTGTTAAATGAACCTTAAAACAAATCAGTAGGGAAGATAAAAAGTACATGTAATTGTAATTTAATAACTAAAAAATTCTGATTTAAGATTTTATTCTAGGGAAATACATTTCATTACAATTCTTTATCTTTGAATGAGCTGAACTGATATTTACTTGGAAATTAAAATATAATTAAATTTCTATGAGAAAGTATTTACATTTGATAAGGTAATTACTGTATGATCTTTATGAACAAATACCAAGTCTACAGAACACCATAGTTATCACAGTTAAGAATCTTGACCAATGAATGAAACATGTGTAAATAAATGTTACATTCTTTAGAACATACTCAAGTCCAAGAAAGAGGATTATTTTATGCCCTTTGATTAAATTCTATTTTTAGAATTGAAAGTGAAAGTAGATCAAGGGGAGTAATTGTGTAAGTCATTTATGAACAAAGTAATAACTTTGTTGTCGCCCTTTGATTAAATTCTATTTACAAAATCTGGATATTTCATCATCTTTAGTGACCTTGACCTTGTATATATTGACCTAAATTATATGTATCACAGCCATAGTCTTGATAATGACCATTTGTGTTACAATCCCTCAATAAATGATGACTAAATGGTCCATATACACATCTTCATATTTTTATCTGAACTTTGACCTCTATGTGTGACCTTGACCTTGGCCGCAAGGACCTGAATCTTGCACGCGACACTCCGCCTCACAATGGTGAACATTTGTGCCAAGTAATATTGAAATCCCTCTATACATGTGGAAGTTTTGCTCCGGACAAGCATTTTTCAATGACCTCTAAGTGTGACCTTGACCTTTGACCTAGAGACCTGGTTCATGTGCGCGACACTGCTCCTCATAGTGGTGAACATTTCTATGAAGTTTCATTAAAATCCCTCCATACATGTAGGAGATATGCTCCGGACAAAATTGGACGCCGCCCGCCTGCCAGGGGCGTTCCCATAATACGTCCCGTTTTTCAAACGGGCGTATAATAACTTTATACTCATTATAAAAATGACTTGCTAAAAGTTTTAGGTAAGTATGATGTAGAGTAAGATAACCCAACAAATATTCGAAAAACCTTTTCATTCAAAATCAAGGCTAAATATAAAGAAATATCTAAAAATTTCATGAAATGAAACTCTGACACAGACTTCATTGCAGGAATCCCATTATATTTAGTCATTTGTCCCCTTAATTTCTACCTTGTGGGGGCTATGCCTGCAATTTCATATCATTTTTTATCATTACAGTAAGTTCTCTAGTACTTCCTGATACTTAAGCTGCTTTAGCTTAATTGACTACAATTAGGGCCTATACAGTTTTCTATTTGATATGCATTATGTACCAACCAGACTGGGTACCATATTATGTTAGGATTAACCTCAACATAAAACCAGTCAAACATGTTGCTTGTTTCTATATTTATTTTCTATTGCCAAGTCTATACCAAAATATACAAACTAATAATAAGGTACTATTTTTTTTGTTCCAATATTTGGTCATAAAACTGTACCAACATATGAAAATAAAGTGCCAAAATCTGGTCGTTACTTTATAACAATACTGAGTCACAAACTTATACAAATGATACATTATGCATGCAAAATCATTATGTCTTCATAATACATAAATAAGACATTCAGAAGCCCTGAAGACCACTGATATTGAACTATGTTATGAGTATACTACCTTTGCTGGGGGTCCTCTCCATGCAGCAATCACAATACCATGTGTTTCATCATCAGCAGCATACTTTACAAGCTTCTCTACACTTCCTGGTAATGCAGGTACAGGTGACTGCCAAGGTCGTGTAAACTTTGGTAAACTACCCTGCAACATGAATTTATAAGAAATATGATTTATTATAAACCTAGAATATGATCAATGGTTATCACAGTGATGGGCGGCTCCTTGTATACAAACAAAAAATCAGGATAAATAAAACTGATTCAATTTATCTCTGTATGAAACTTACATTTTTCATAGAAGGCTAAAACAATTTCGTACACATATTGAAAACCAAAGGAACATTCTTGTGAAGTTTGAATGAGGAGATAACGTTACGAGTTAAAGTTTACAGATGGATGCCAGCCAGCCAGACAAAAAGCAATCATAAAAGCTCACCATGTCACTTTGTGGCAGGTGAGCTAAAACTACTGCAATACTGATCAAACTTGGCACAAATGTAGACTATAGCCTTTGTAACAAAATGTTTAATCTTTAATTTCCTGTTACCATGACAACAAGGGGACATCCTAAAATTGCCAAAAATCACTATTTTGCATTGATATTTTCCATCAAAACTGATTTCAAAGTGCTGCAACTTCTAAAAAAATGCTGATTTGCAAAGCAACAAACAGATTTTGGGAATATAAGTTACAGACAGGATCAAATTAAGGATCAATCAACTTTTAAAGGTGCATATCTTGTAAAGTATTTTTTTTTTCTTCTAAGATTTTATGAACTTATGCCATTAAGTTGATATTGCATACTAAATCTATGAGAATAAACAAGAGTTATTTTGACTTATAAATTTTTTTTTTGTGAACTCACTTTGTTAACTCCCGGCCTGAAACATGTATGCACTGTACATTATTTAAAAGATCTTGATACAAACATATTCTTAATGTATAAACTGATAAAAACATTATTAGATCATATCATTCTGATTACTTTCTTGCTTAATACAGAATTTTTTTTAGTTTGATTGTGTAGGAAGCTATCAGCTTAAAAACACACTTTAGGATCTGTTCCTGGAATCAACCAGTACTGAGCAATGAGTGTAAAGTTTCTTGCTCAACTTGCCCATGATAGAGTTTGAAAATATGCAGCTATCGATCATTAGATTACTTATCCGACACATTAACCACTCGGCTATGCCACAACTTCAAAGTGATTGCTAACATAGTGATCTATAAACGTAATTACTATTTACCTTAGAGATAATCTTGTCTTCAAGGGGTTGAAGGCCCTTAAACACCTCCTCTGGTTTTATTTGACCAGTTATTATCAAACACAGATTCTCGGGACGGTAGAATTCCTTGTGGTATGAACAGACCTATATAAGTTGAAATATAAGTTATAAATACATTCTACAGAACAAACGGTTATTCTAAACCAAAGAGGAAGCAGACTTGGTTGTTAAGTTGCATTACCATGAATCTTGAGTTTGGACCTAAAATAAAATAGTTTGTTTCAGCTCCCGCTTCCTACCCACAACTATCACAACTACCCACAAGATTTTATTGCCAAGTAAAAAAAGATTATTTTTTACTAAACATGGAAACAGAGAATGTCAATGAGAATCACATCTTTATATCAATATATTCTGTCTGATGTTCTATAATTGTAAATCTACAAACTGGGATATATGTTGAATAAAACTGAAAATATGGTTCTAATCTTTAAACAGATGCTAAGTATGCAAATTTGATAGAAAAAATATTTTATAGACCTATCTACCATACCCAAACTGGCATGGATTGTAGGAGGGGCAACAAAGAATTTTAAAGCTTGCCTTGAGACCTTGTAGAATGATAATCTTGTTTCCTTACATAACATTCATATAGGTTAAATAAACAAGAGGGCCATGATGGCCCTGAGGTCGCTCACCTGTATTTAGGCCCCCGGAGCGGGGCTAGTTTAAACCCCAGGGCTTTTATTTGAACAAACTTGGAAGACACTCATTAGAAGATGTTTCATGATGTTAAGTTTTTACTACGCACATATAATGAAAAACAATGACCTCCCCCCCCTTTGGCAGGGCCAATTTTAACCCAAGGGCTTTTATTTGAACAAACTTGGTAGACACCCACAAAAAGATGTTTCTTGCAATCTAACCTCTAGCTCATTGGGTTTTTTAAAAGAAGATTTTTTAAGTTTTTACTATACACATATAGTTAAAAACAATGACACCTCTGGGGCGGGGCCAGTTTTAGCCCCAGGGCTGTTATTTGAAAAAACTTTGTAGACACTTACTAGAAGATGTTTCATGCTTAATATCTAAACTCTAGCTATTTGGGTTTTTTCAAAGAAGATTTTTAAGTTTTTGCCATACACATATAAGGAAAATCAATGACCCCAGGGCGGCCAATTTTGAACCCAGGGCTTTTATTTGAACAAACTTTGTAGACACTCACTAGAAGATGTTTCATGCTTAATATCTAAACTCTAGCTATTTGGGTTTTTTCAAAGAAGTTTTTTTAAGTTTTTGCTATACACATATAAGGAAAATCAATGACCCCCGGGACGGGGCCAATTTTGACCCCAGGGCTTTTATTTGAACAAACTTTGTAGACACCCATTAGCACATGTTTCATGCTAAATATCTTAGCTCTAGCTCTTTGGGTTCTTTAAAAGAAGATTTTTTAAGTTTTTACTATATGCATATAGGGAAAATCAATGACCCCCTGGGGCGGGGCCAATTTTGACCCCAGGGCTTTTATTTGAACAAACTTTGTAGACACCCATTAGCACATGTTTCATGCTAAATATCTTAGCTCTAGCTCTTTGGGTTCTTTAAAAGAAGATTTTTTAAGGTTTTACTATATGTATATAGGGAAAATCAATGACCCCCCTGGGGCGGGGCCAATTTTGACCCCAGGGCTTTTATTTGAACAAACTTGGTAGACACTTATTAGAACATGTTTCATGCTAAATATCTTAGCTCTAACTCTTTGGGTTCTTTAAAAGAAGACTTTTTAAGTTTTTACTATATGCATATAGGGAAAATCAATGACCCCCTGGGGCGGGGCCAATTTTGACCCCAGGGCTTTTATTTGAACAAACTTGGTAGACACTTATTAAAAGATGTTTCATACTAAATATCTTAGCTCTAGGTCTATGGGTTCTTTTAAAGAAAATTTTTATAGTTTTTACTATATGCATATAGGAAAAATCAATGACCCCCGGGGCGGGGCCAATTTTGACCCCAGGGCTTTTATTTGAACAAACTTGGTAGACATTTACTAGATGATGTTTCATGCTAAATATCTTAGCTCTAGCTCCATGGGTTCTTTAAAAGAAGATTTTTTAAGTTTTTACTATATGTATATAGGGAAAATCAATGACCCCCTGGGGCGGGGCCAATTTTGACCCCAGGGCTTTTATTTGAACAAACTTGGTAGACACTTATTAGAAGATGTTTCATGCCAAATATCTAAGCTCTAGCTCTTTGGGTTTTTTAAAAGAAGATATTTAAAGTTTTTTCTTTCGGTTGCCATGGCAACCAGAGTTCTGCATGGAATTAAATTCTTTGAACAATTTTTAAAGGTGACCACCAAAGGAACATTCCTGTGAAGTTTGGATGAAATTGGCTTAGTGGTTTATGAGGAGATGTCATTTAAAGTAAAAGTTTACGGACGGACGGACGGACGCCGGACGAAAAGCGATCACAAAAGCTCACCCTGTCACTTTGTGACAGGTGAGCTAAAAACAAGCATTGATAATAAACTGTTCAGATAAATTTTGAACTTTTATAAAAGCAAAGCTTTACATGAATATTGTTTTAGTAACACTGACAAACCTTAACATGATTACATTTTTAGAGTAACATTGACACTTTGAACAACATAAGCCAGCATTTTAATATAATTAGGTTTAAACAACACCTTTTTATGAGATGTGCTCTCTCGTAGAGATTTCATGATGCCACCGGTTTCTGACTTGTACCCACAATGCCCTGGGTAGAGTGCACGAATCAGTTCTAAATGTGTGATACTTTCACCCGAGTTTTCTCTCCCCTGCATCTCACAATAAACAACACCAGCATCTTCACCATTACCATTGATGTGATGTACTTCTGTTGTATATCCAGAATCCTAAATTACAAAGAAGAGACCCGAAAAATAAAATTTATTCAAGACTATAATTATGCATGCTTTATGTACATGTTATATTCACTAAATAAGATATGACAAAGAGACAGGCATAATGTTTTAGGACCAAATTGTCACAATGTCGCTAACTGACACCCGACCTATCATGCATAAATATATACTATTTTACTATACTGGTGCCTCATATTTCCATGGTACTTAACTGTTTAACACAGACAACAAAAGTTTAAAGGTTAAAATTCTGGAAAACACAGTGAATATTGTAGGATAGACATGTCAATTGCATCATAGTTTATTCCATTGTTTGAATGTAAGCAATTATGTATACAACATTGAAATTAACACCCATCTGCGGCCTTGTGAGTAAATTTGTGTTCTCATATTTCCAAGGCAATTACATTTAAACAGTTTCAAAGCAAAACAAATAGTAAACTTTATTTATTAGCACACCTATGTCTAGGCTCATCTGAAAGGGGCGATTTTCTCTTTGGCATTTATCAAATACCTCAATGGTTGTTTAACAAAAAAGATTTTGTTAAAAGGTATGAAATCTAAAAGAAAAATCGTAAAATATTAAATAACTTTGCTCTTAATCTGAATAAAATAATTCTTTTTAGTTCTATATGTAACATTTCGATTAAAATACAATAATAGTAAAAGTAAAACTACTGGCAGGTTCAAGAAGTCTAGGAGGCACTTTAGACTGTTTAAGCCATATACCTTGGAAATATGGGTACCACGGAATACGAGGCACCAGTATACCTAAAACAACCTCAATAACTCAATTCAAACACAATGACCTATCACCAATCTATAGTCTACTTCAACAAGTCACAACGCTAAATCTACTCATTCAACTTGTCACTAAGCGACCCCTTGGATGTGGTCAAGGGCAATAATTTGATCCCTATCAGATGAGGACCAACATGCCAAATAGCAAAGCCATATAATTCACAGGCTGCAAAGCTGTAATGCATGATTAATCTACCCTATCTACAAGATGGAAATGATGACCCTAGATAGCTCTCTGGAAAATAAATGCAAGCTACAATACAGATGTAGGTCATTAGGTCATTTTCAGGTTACTAAATCATTCAACATGTCATGATTCTTTAATAACTCCAACAACTTGTCGCTATCTTATATTAACTCAAATAACTTGTTGTGATTTTATACAATCTCATTCAAGCTTTCACTATTCTATAATAACTCAAATAATGTTTTATACTAACTTAAACAGACTGTTAATGTTTTATTCCAACTCAAACGACCTGTAACTGTTTTATACTAGCTCAAAAAACATGCTACTATTTACACTTACTCAACCTGTTACTGGTTTTTATACTAACTCAAACAACCTGTTACTGTTTTATACTCACCCAAACAACCTGTTCCTGTTTTATACTCACCCAAACAACCTGTTACTGTTTTATACTCAACCAAACAACCTGTTACTATTTATACTAACTCAAACAACCTGTTACTGTTTTTTTTACTAACTCAAACAACCTGTTACTGTTTTATACTCACCCAAACAACCTGTTCCTGTTTTATACTCACCCAAACAACCTGTTCCTGTTTTATACTCGCCCAAACAACCTGTAACTGTTTTATACTCACCCAAACAACCTGTTACTATTTACACTAACTCAAACAACATGTTCCTGTTTTATACTCACCCAAACATCCTGTTACTGTTTTTATACTCACCCAAACAACCTGTTCCAATTTTATACTCACATAAACAACCTGTTACTATTTATACTCACCCAAACAACCTGTTGCTATTTTATACTCACCCAAACAACCTGTTACTATTTATACTCACCCAAACAACCTGTTACTGTTTTATACTCACCCAAACAACCTGTTACTATTTATACTCACCCAAACGACCTGTTACTGTTTTATACTCACACAAACAACCTGTTACTATTTAAACTAACTCAAACAACCTGTTACTGTTTTATACTCACTCAAACAACCTGTTACTGTTTTGTGCTCACCCAAACAACCTGTTACTATTTATACTAACTCAAACAACCTGTTACTGTTTTATACTCACACAAACAACCTGTTACTATTTAAACTAACTCAAACAACCTGTTACTATTTATACTAACTCAAACAACCTGTTACTGTTTTATACTAACTCAACCTGTTACTATTTATACTTACTCAAATAACCTGCTACTGGTTTTTATACTAACTAAAAAAAATGTTACTGTTTTATACTAACTCAAACAACCTGTTATTGACTTTTGATAATAACTCAAACAAAATGTTACTGCTTTGTACTAACCCAAACAAGCTGTTACTAATGTTTTATACTTACTCAAACAAACTGTTACTGTTTTATACTAACTCAAACAACCAGTTTCTGTTTTATACTAACTAAAACAACCTATTTTTAATGTTTTATACTAACTCAAACAAACTGTCAATGTTTTAGACTAACTCAAACAACCTGTTACTATTTATACTAACTCAAATAACCTGCTACTGGTTTTATACTAACTCAAAAACCATGTTACTGTTTTATACTAACTGAAACAACCTGTAACTGACGTTTGATACTACCTCGAACAAACTGTTACTGCTTTATACTAACTCAAACAAGCTGTTACTAATGTTTTATACTAACTCAAACAAACTGTGACTGCTTTATACTAACTCAAACAAGCTGTTACTAATGTTTTATACTAACTCAAACAAACTGTGACTGCTTTATACTAACTCAAACAAGCTGTTACTAATGTTTTATACTAACTCAAACAAACTGTGACTGCTTTATACTAACTCAAACAAGCTGTTACTAATGTTTTATACTAACTCAAACAAGCTGTTACTAATGCTTTATACTAACTCAAACAACCAGTTATTGTTTTATACTAACTCAAACAACCTATTACAAATGTTTTATACTAACTCAAACAACCTATTACAAATGTTTTATACTAACTCAAACAACCTGTTACTTTTCTATGCTAAATCATTCAATCAGTCAGTATTCTGAGCTATGTAAAGTATACAAATTGTAAAGGATTATATTTTACTGTAAGTGTAGGGTACAGGATGTGATCTAGATAGATTGGCATCAGATTAAGAAATCCCTGGTCCCCAGCATTTGTCATGGTATAACAAGTGTGGTCTGTATCTGTCCAGGCATTTGTTCCAGAAGCCAGACACCGGTTAGCAAGTAAATCTAAAACACCCTGAAATTAAAATGACTTAAAATTAATGCTTATAGGAACAAGTAGATGACATTTCTATGCAAGTGACATATATAACTGCACTAAAAAAATACAGACATATATATATATAATATTTTGGGTTAATATACAACAGAATATTAAATTATGTTGTAGTAGCTTTCAGAGGCTTTGTATTTTGCTATGAGCAGCATTGAAAATTGATATCTCTCAAGACAGAAGGTGACTGTGAATGTATCTGTGAAGTTTCTATCTAATAACATCAGAACAGAAAAATAGGCAGCAATATTGACTTTTATTAGCCACTAGAAAAACATGGGCTACAATAATGACTAGCTTTAGCCACTAGAAAATACTCAAACAATTAAAAAACTTGACATTACATTTTGTAAAAACAGAGCAAGTCTGTTAAACAAATCTGGTGTGAGTATTAAAGATTAGGTAAAAGTAAGTAACTATACCTTGTATGGAAAGTCCTCACTGCCCATAAACACAAGATGTTCCAGTGTATGAGGTAATCCATCGTCATCATGAGCTTCTGTTGCTGAAAAATAAAAGTGAGAACTGAATGCATCAGTTTGTATAATATGAGCCGCGCCATGACAAAACCAACATAATGGGTTCGCTGTCAGTTATAGGGTTTGTAAGCGAACAGCATGGATTCTGATCAGACTGTGCGGATGCGCAGGCTGGTCTGGATCCATGCTGGTCACAAACACATTATGTTGGTTTTGTCATGGCGCCTCTCATATATTATGGGAGTGAAATGCCTATACAAATTAAATAAGTGGGAGTTATGGAAAATATTCATTGGCAAATGTCTTGGGGCTACATATTTCCTGCAAGGACAGCATTGTATACAATAACATGTAAATAACTTTCCGTCTAGGTTAATTTCTTTGAAGCTTTCACAAATTAAAGAAATCTACCTATTTTTGATGTCAAAACTTTCTTCTTTGTTTATTGCAAATTCTAAAATCTCCCTCTTTTTGAAGAAAAATCTCCCACTTGATCATTGAAAAAAGTTCACATGTATAATCTTCCGTTAATGTCAAATCCCTTACGGGGACATAGACATGTCTCTCGGCTAGTCACTTCAGAGACAGCTATGAGATACAAGGTAATCTTGGAACCAGTCCCTAGCGCTTATTGAATAGACCCCTTGGTTCTTTAACATGCCTAGAATATAGCACTGATACTTGCGAGGATTACCTGGATTTCTTACCAGTACACATCTAGTAAGGTTGGAAACACTGAAAGTGTCTCTGAAAAATCCCAAGGGTGTTACCCAGGATCGAACCCAGGACCTAAGGAGTGACAGCCAGTGTCTAACTAACTGACCTATCACGCCATCCATTTATTGTCCCATTATTGTGAACATTTGTGCCAAGTTAAGAATTTCAAAATTACTAAAAATATGTACAAAAAGTTATGGACTGGATACATAAAACTCCCTATAACAGACCATGCTGAGTTTTGACCTCTAAGTGTGACCTTGACCTTGTAGTAGTCGTCTGGGTATTGGTCACAACACTTTGTCTCATTTATTATATACATTGTAATGAACATTTGTGGCAGGTATTTTCAAAATCCCTTGATGGTTGAGAAAGTTTAGTTATGGGCCAGACATGACATATACTCTCCAACCGACAATATTAACGGTAAACCTTTAATCACCAAGTTTGACCTTGACCTTTGAGGTAGGCGTCTGGCTAATGCTGAAAACACACATGGTCTTCATTTACAAGTGGCATTAAGTAATTTAAAATTCCTTTGATAAATGGCTTAGTTCAGGACCAGGCATAGCTAAAGAGACTTCAATGAACTGGTTTATACGGGGAAGTCAAAGGCCGGGTCCACGAAGCGCGCCCGGGCTTTGGCTTGCCCGGCTATAGACTACATGTGTATATTTAAAAGAAAATCAATTAAAAAACAATTAAAAAATACATAGAATTCTATACCTATCAATGAAATTTTCAGTGTCAGTACTAGTCGGGCGGCGCCATTTTTAATGTAATTCAATGATAATAAGCGGGATACTCCGATAACGGACAATAGCAACTTTTCGGATAAATAATAATCGTCGAGTATTCCGAGTGAAACGGAAGTGGTGCATATAATACCGAATGACACCTTTAAAACGGAAAAAAATAACTAATTTTTTAACCGACTTCCCCGTTCATAGGCTTTGCCTAATTTCATATTAATACTGCTTTTGCACACCGTCAAAATAAATGTGACATATATTAAAGTTATGGAAGCCAGACCTTGACCAGTCACAAAGGTAAGATGGATGGACAGACAGATGGTGCCCATTTCTATATCTATAGACTATATAATTTTCACATTTTTCTCCGAAAAGACATGGGACAATAAAACTTTCAATGCCATTTGCTGTGCATTGGAACTGACATTTTAAATGTTACTCAATACAATCGATATCGATATTAGTGCAAATCGTGTGTGAACATAGATCTAAGCGTAAGACTGCTAGATTTCATTATTCACTAGTTATTGACATTTGATAACAAACCTAGACAAAAGTAGCCGTTAACAAGAGGTCCCTCAACTTGTGCAATACACACTGATAAGCCAGTCTTTTTAGACCTGTATTTTGCTACAGGAATATTCCCATCAGCTAAAACAGTGCCGACTTTTTCAAACATGGGGGCCGCCATTTTGGGAATTAGCTAAATGCCATTACGTTCTCACCGGGTATCACGGTACATTACGGGAAAGCCGGCAGTTAGCAGATCACTGTCAGTGATTCCCCTTTGCTTCCCCTTTGTCTATCTGTCAAATTGGGTAGGATTTTGGACTTTAGAGGAATTTCGATTTGTGTTGTCTCGGTGCAATAAAAAACAGGAGTGCAGTGTTGTTTTAGGAAATATCAGAACATATTCATACTTGATTGACGTACTTTAGTTTACATTGTGACCTACTTTCGTTTTTACTCAATGTTTTGTTTGAAATACAAAATATTGTATGTGTAGACAATCAATCATGTACATGTATATCTATATACAGGTACATAAGTGATTTTGTCATATGTAAATCTATATTTAACAGTGTGACATAAGCAGCGTATAACTTTTGACCGACATTGTACTCAATAAAACATGTAAAATGGGAAACTTGATAAGCAAATGTTGTGGTAAGGCAGATAGGAAATACAAAAAGAATAACGAGATAAAACAGCCGGAACAAGAAGAGGAAGTTAAGATTGCTACAAATGCTGGAGGTGTCAAAGATACCCCTTTCGTCAGTAAATCAGATGAAACACAGGTGAGGTTAAATATGGACAACGAGTCATCGGTCCCGACTCTGGACCAGTTTAAACAGGGAGTGCACTCTTTCCCACCGTTTTTGAAATGAAAACAAGTGTTTTATCTGTTTCAGTTGTACACTTTCTCTTTTTAACTAACTTTTATTTCAACTCTCACAAATACGTGTACAGTATTACTTTTATTCTCCTACATTTCTTCTTTTAAACTCTCGCACAGATCGACATACACACAGTAATGTTCGGAAGAAGGTGTTGCAGTATAGATAGATAGATTTCGTAAAATTAATATAATACATTTCTCGAAGGAATTTGAAAAAAACTAATTAATTTTTAATTAGGTTGTGTGAGGTAGGATACGGGTGGCAGGAAATCAAGTCACGTCAAGTAAATTTTATTTACAAAGTTCATTCAAACACGGATCTATATATCTGTTATATAAGACTCTGATTCATAGGTTAAAACCCAATGTTGATAAAACAAATTAATTATTTTCCGCCAATTAGTTTTGTAAGTGTGAAACAAAGTTTGTTTCCCGAAATTTGGCTTAGAAACTAAGATATATGCTTTTTAACATTGACCTACAAATGATAGTGACAAGCTGACAACCAATTTATAAATAGCAGAAAATCTCAACAAATAAATACGTATATGTGTAGGTTATTCAGATGTACGTACATGTAGGTTATTCAGATGTACATGTTGGTTATTCAGATGTACATGTAGGTTATTCATATCTACATGTACATGTAGATTATGCATATGTACATGATGGTTATTCAGATGTACACATAGGTTATTCAGATGTACATGTAGGTTATTCAATGGTACATGTTGGTTATTCAGATGTACATTATGTTGGCTATCAGATGTACATGTATGTTTTTTCATGATACTCTTACGTTATCATTTGTATTGATTACAGGATAATAATGTGAAAGTTAATAAAAAAGACAAAGAAACTGAAAATTATTACACGGGAGATAAGCAAGAAAAGAAGGTGAAATAAGCAAGAAGATAAAAAGGGAGATAAGCATAAAGAAAAAAAGGGAGATAAGAGCCACAAGCGAAAGCACAAACGGAAACAGGATGACAGTAGTGAGGATAGCAGCGACTTTTGGTCAACGTCCAGTTCAGAGTCCTCTTCTTCATCAGGTATAACATGTACTGGATTTCTGTTTTACTATTAAAATGTTCTAAATGTATTTTAGGAATACACACATGTAGATTCTATGTGATTAAACATAATTCATTCGCATTTGCAATGGTCAAACTATTCCTTTTCAGATTGTCAAAGGGTTAGAAAAATTGTAATTTGACTTTGACTCGAACCCGGAGCATTCAAGTTTAGTTTAATTACTGATGATTTTGTGAATAATTGCATCACTGCCTTTGTCATCACTTCTTTATTAAGTCATTCATTACAACGCCGCGTCTGTTTGGATTTGGAACTTACTAGCAAATATTTTACCTTCTACAGATAGCCAATTGTAGATTTGTAACATCTGAAAGAAAATTTCAGAAATTCAAGTACTTCTGCTGGTCACATGACTCAAATATATTGAATAAGATGAATGTGATAGGGGTACATGTATAGATATTCGTGTTTTAGATTCGGATATTGGCCACGTGAAGAGTAGCCGGAACGTTTATAACAACAAAGGAGGAGGGACAACTATCGTCTCAAAGAAGACTATAATAGGAGGTAGTAAAATGTCGATAGGAAAAAATGCTAGAAACGTTACTATCAACATTGGCACAGGCAATAGTGCACCAGTCGTGAAGAAAGAAGGTACATGTAGTTTCAACAATAGAATTTCATTGTGCTGCGATATATATGATTGTATTTAATTGTGATATAAATCCGCGATAGTTACACCTGAAATGTATCACGATAGATAATGAAATTATCACATACATACATGTATATTTTCCTATACAATTTTGTATAATATATAAATTTCAGCCATATAAATTTCAGCCATAAATTTATGCAACACATGCGTTTATTTTGAATTGTGTTTTGCAGAGAAAACGAGACCTTTTGAGAGTTATTATACAGAGTCGAGTGCAAGGGAAGAAGAACGTCGTCAGTTCACATCACCATGGGGCCAGGATGCAGCGCGGCCACCCGGTGGTAATTTTATAGATACACGAGAATTACACATACAAGAATACGTGTTCGAATCTGGTGTAAGGGTTGATGCTGCACGTTGGGTTTGCATGATTTGCTTCCCAGGTGGAAGTGGTACGGGGTTTCGTGTTGGACCTAGACATATCATGACCGCCAGTCATGTTGTGAAATATATTTTAGACACAGGTATTAAATGTTCACATTAATTTGTTTTCAATATACAGCTTTTAATGTTTAATTGCCAGTTTGCCAAAAATGAAAATTTATCAACACTGCAACTATAATTTCTCGCGCCTGCTCATCAAGTTTTGCAGCTACCAATATATACAGCCGTATTTTAACAGTCTGGAAAAGCACTTTTTATAATATACATCGACAGTATAATTATACTATTATTGCAATATTCTAAACAGAAACTAGAACCACATGAAAGGGTGACCCTTGAGCCAGATATTCCGATTTGACAGCTGGTGTAATTATATTATAATCAGATTTGTAAAGCATGATACAATTGTTTAAACGTTTTTTTTTAATGGAAGTGTTTCAATGAAGTGAATATATTATACTTATTCCAGAACATTGTGTTTGATCAATGTGAACTAATTCGTTGTAATCCGTAAAATAATAAATACCAGAAATTAACCTAAGTATTAGATATTGAAACAAATTATTTTGATTTATATATTTCAGGCTATCAGCAAGTGGGACATAATCGAGATCCTTTCGAGTCATTACAAAATGCGGGCGTTTATGCCATTTTCAACTTTACAACTGACGGGCCCGTGTCAGAGAGACAAAAATTTCGTTTTAAAGCGGTCGTACCATTTCATGATGATGCAACTGATTGTGCCGTTCTTGAACTAGAGGACAATTCTATGGGTACTGAAATGCCCCTTTCTTTCACATTCTTCAGTTTACCGAGACTTAATAACAGATTCACTTTTATCGGACACTCGTTGGGAAGTCGTATGGAATTTAACCACGTGGACAGGATAATTGACTTGAACAGTGCTGACACGCAAAGGGACATAATTCATGTAAAACAAACTAGCTTGCAACATTCTGGCAAAGATTATGAGATGCCTCCTCATAATATTCTGACTAACCCAAATAGATTTCTGTTTCATTGCAAGTTTACAAAGGGGGCGTCCGGATCACCGGGCGTAGTTATATTGCCTGATGGGCGTGTTGTAGTTGTGACAATGCTATTGTGCGGACTTCCGGATTGGTATTATGACCCTGCCGTTCAGGACAACGTAAAAAACAGTTGGCTAAAACAATATTGTGTGGAACAAGGGGTTAATCTAAAATCTGTCTACGAAAAGATGTTTCGCAACAACCCAACGCTTTGTCAACAAATATTCTTTGATCATGTAGATTCTATTCCTAATCCAAATATATAACATTGTTAATTTCCAATTGGACTGTTCCGAATTTGTTTCAGAAAGACAGAAAGCCATGTCTATAAATATGATGATCATCATTTCTATTTCATTTCTATTTCATTTTCACGAATATTTAATGCTAAAAAGTATACTCAGTGTACGTAACATTTTTAGCTCGACTATTCGATAAGAATAAGTAGAGCTATTGCAGTCACCCGAGCGTCGGCGTCCGCGTCGGCGTCGGCGTCGGCGTAACCACTTATGATAAAGTTTTTGTAATAGTTGAAATATTTTCAAAGTCCATAGACATATGGCTTTGAAACTTTGCACACTTGTTCATCATCATGACCCCAACCTGTAGACAGGAGGAGGAAACTCTGTCAAGCATTTTGACAGAATTATGCCCCTTTTTCGACTTAGAATTTACGTTAAAGTTTTTGTAGTAGTTCAAATATTTTCAAAGTCCATTGACATATGGCTTTGAAACTTTGCACACTTGTTCAACATCATGACCCCAACCTGGAAACAGGAGGAGGTAACTCTATCAAGCATTTTGACAGAATTATGCCCCTTTTTCGACTTAGAATTTACGTTAAAGTTTTTTAATAGTTCAATTATTTTCAAAGTCCATTGACATATGGCTTTGAAACTTTGCACACTTGTTTACCATCATGACCCCAACCTGTAAACAGGAGGAGGTAACTCTATCAAGCATTTTGACAGAATTATGCCCCTTTTTCGACTTAGTATTTACGTTAAAGTTTTTGTAATAGTTCAAATATTTTCAAAGTCCATTGACATATGGCTTTGAAACTTTGTACACTTGTTCACCATCATGACCCCAACCTGTAACCAGGAGGAGGTAACTCTATCAAGCATTTTTTTTTACTATCAAGCACTGAGAATAGTCGAGCGTTGCTGTCCTACCGACAGCTCTTGTTACTTTAAACAGGGTGGATGATCACGTGACTTGTTTACGGTACTGTATACAACACCATATGCGGCTCACCTTTGCCTGATTTTTTAAAAGAAATTGCATATCGCCGTATTTATGTAAATGCTGTGTTCCAGCAATGCTTAGGTTTGAGTTGAGGTCTACAGGAATCCTTTTTATGAAGCAAAATCGCATTGTATAAGGAACTTCGTCATTTATACCGAATTTAGGGCAGGTTAGTAAAGCAAGCAAAATACATAAGGCAGGCAACATTTTAAAAAGCCCTTGCTTATTTTAATATATTCTTTTTATTTTGAAGGCATCGCAGAAACTGTATTATTTTATAATTATTACATGTATATTTCTTGAAACATAAAAATATTTTTACTTCAGCAAGCTAAAAAGACTGCTTTAAAACACACTTTGTAAAATTAAACTAAGGTAAAGTAGTATGTTAAGAGGTCTACGTTCCCTTCTCACTTGTTGAATAATTTGTTCAATTCTATTTTTGACCTTTATTTAATTTAGAAATATATAGTTGTGTAAAACAAACAAGCACGTATGTTTATTCTTGATACCAAACATAACTACACTGTGCACTTATGTCGCCGTTTGGTGGATACATAAATGCTAGTGATTATCTCATTATCTGTCTTGTTTACAATTGTCAAAGAAAGATGTCACAAGTGTTGAACCTCAGCTATTCCCATTATTGAGTGAGTGACAGTGAGAAAAAAAAAGAACAGTGTGCAAAGGTTTTTTTATGGATAATGGATCTGATTTTTATAATCATAGTTACAACACTTGAATATATATTCCATTTACATGTATATGTGTGGCCTTTTAATTTCCCAACGGAAATTGCTGCATGTATGGAGCACCCAAGTCTCATCCTATGCTTTTGAAAGTAGGGGAGGTGCAAAATTTCTGCGTGATTTTTTAAACAATGTAAGTTTACATCCAAATCTCAGAGGGTCTCCGCTCTTGATCCGTGCACGGAAGACAAATCAGCAAATACAATTTGTGAAATACAAGAACATTTATATCTGATAAATGCATTTTTAGCATTTAAAATGTTCGTTTTCTTCATTAACTTGCAAGTATATAAACTATCAAGTTTGTATTAAGTAAACTATTCAGTTTTTCTATCATAATAGTGTGAATGGCTTGAACACCAGTTTGTGTATAACTTTATACTGTATATTTATACATATGTATGTGCAATTTTTTAAAACTGAATTATGAGAAATGAAACCTAGATCGCTCGTTAGTTTCTATTGCTATCATAGAAACATTTCACGCATTCGTTTCATAGAAAATGTGACTGTAAATTAACTTGATTATATGATTCAATCAAACCATATACAGTAGATGTTGTCTGTTTTAGATCTTAGCCTCTATATTATATAAAAATATATGTTTTGATCATCATCACTGTACTTTTTCATATATATCACCGACATTTTTTTTATCTGAAAACTTTTTTTCTTTTGGTTTGGGTTTACGTCGCACCAAAAATAGTATAGGTCATATGGTGACTTTTCAGCTATACTGGTGGAGGGAGACCTCGGGTTTCCTTCCATGCATTATTTTAGGCACAAACGGATACCTGAATACAACCCCCGAACTTCCGAAAGCTAGCTGACTAGCTTCATAACGTGAATGTAACAATAAAGATTTAATTATAACTAGTATCATTTCTTTATAAAAATATTTCAAACATTATTTATGCATTGTTTATAAACAAAGTCTTCACGTAGTTTAAGTGACTTATAGGCCCAACGTGGCCGTTAATATAATATGTTATATGATTGTTTTACTATATTGCACATAACACAATATCACTTTAATAAAATTAACTAAGTACTTACTTACTTACCTTACCTTACCTTACCTTACCCCTACCTTACCCTTGCATCACTTGCCAATTCCTCAAACCTACAGGAAAATATGACAACCTTTAGAAAAATGAACCTTGTCATACATGACATGAATCAGTATGATCAGGAATAACTATTTTCAATCTTTAGAAAAATCTATAAATGACAAAGATGAAGTTAAACGTAAATAATGTTTAAGTTAAACATTCTAATATTTAAGGGGAGAAATATTGGTGTTATAGATCTGAACTTTATTTGAGGTTGAATACTAAATAAACAAGAGGGCCATGATGGCCCTAGATCGCTCACCTGACTTATCAAACTCATCTAAACAATTACCTAGACAAGCATTCTGACCAAGTCTCATGACAGGTGAGTCAAAAACGTGACCACTACAGTGTTAACAAAAATTATCCATATTTGAGCAGTGCGACCTAGTTTTTTACCCAGGTGACACATATTCAAACTTGACCTAGAAATCATCAAAACAAACTTTCAGACCAATTTCCAGGATACTTGGATCAAAACAGTAGCAACTAGAGTGTTAACAAGATTTTTCTATTTTTAGCTCCGGTGACCTAGTTTCACATGCGATTTCGAACTCATCCAAGCAATTACCTAGACAAGCATCCTGACCAAGTTTGATGATAATTGAGTCAAAAATGTGACCACAAGAATGTTAACAAGGTTTTTTTCATATTTTGGCAGTGTGACCTAGTTTTTCATCCAAGATGACCCATGTTCGATCTTGACTTAGAAATCATCAAAACAAACTTTCAGACCAATTAACAGAATATTTGGATCACAACAGTAGCCACTAGAGTGTTAACAAGATTTTTCTATTTTTAGCTCCTGTGACCTAGTTTTTTATCCGAGATGCCCCATGTTCAATTTATTCCCAGCAATGACCTAGACAAGTTTTCTGACCAAGTTTGATGACAATTGAGTCAAAATTGTGACCACTAGAGTGTTAACAAGGTTTTTCTATTTTTAGCTTCTGTGACCTTGTTTTTCATCCGAGATGACCCATGTTCGAACTCATCCGAGCTATCACCTAAACAAGCATCTTGATCAAGTTTGATGATGATTGATGCATAAATGTGACCGCTAGAGTGTTAACAAGGTTTTTCTATTTTAAGCTCCAGTGACCTACTTTTTCATCCGAGATGACCCATGTTCGAACTCATCCGAGCTATCAACTAGATAAGCATCCTGACCAAGTTTGATGATGATTGATGCATAAATGCGACCGCTAGAGAGTTAACAAGGTTTTTCTATTTTTAGCTCAGTTGACCTACTTTTTCATCCGAAATGACCCATGTTCGAACTCATCCGAGCTATCACTTAGACAAACATCCTGACCAAGTTTGATGATGATTGAGGCAAAAATGTGACCTCTAGAGTGTTAACAAGGTTTTTCTATTTTTAGCTCTTGTGACCTTGTTTCTCATCCGAGATGACCCATGTTCGAACTCATCCGAGCTATCAACTAGATAAGCATCCTGACCAAGTTTGATGAGGATTGATGCAAAAATGTGACCGCTAGAGTGTTAACAACGTTTTTCTATTTTTAGCTCCGGTGACCTACTTTTTCATCCGAGATGACCCATGTTCGAACTCATCCGAGCTATCACCTAGAAAAGCATCTTGACCAAGTTTGATGATGATTGATGCAAAAATGTGACCGCTGGAGTGTTAACAAGGTTTTTCTATTTTTACCTCCGGTGACCTACTTTTTCATCCGAGATGACCCATGTTCGAACTCATCCAAGCTATCAACTAGATAAGCATCCTGACCAAGTTTGATGATGATTGATGCAAAAATGTGACCGCTAGAGCGTTAACAAGGTTTTTCTATTTTTAGCTCCGGTGACCTACTTTTTCATCCAAAATGACCCATGTTCGATTTCATCCGAGCTATCACCTAGACAAACATCTTGACCAAGTTTGATGATGATTGAGGCAAAAATGTGACCTCTAGAGTGTTAACAAGGTTTTTCTATTTTTAGCTCTTGTGACCTAGTTTCTCATCCGAGATGACCCATGTTCGAACTCATCCGAGCTATCAACTAGATAAGCATCCTGACCAAGTTTGATGATGATTGAAGCAAAAATGTGACCGCTAGAGTGTTAACAACTAAATGTGAACGGACGACGGACGGACGACGGACGGACGACGGACAATCATTGATCCTAAAAGCTCACCCTGAGCATGCTTAGGTGAGCTAAAAAGCAACATCAATCAGGTTTCATAATAAAAAATTATATAACTCAAATGCAAGTTAAAACAATGCTCTTCATTCACAACTACGGGTCTTTTAACTGTAAAAGATAAAACTTGTTTTACGAG